CGTCTCACCAGAACCGAGGGATAAACCACTACCGTATTACATCACAGTACCATGGAGAAAATGTGCCATTGATGTACAGGGTGGTCAACAGACTGCTGGCATGTCCCAAGAAAATGCCAGACGTAGCGGCTCTGAAGGTAGAAACGAACTCTAATATCCCTTTAAATGTGATCATCCGCAAACTCTTCCCATACTGCTTAATTCAAAGGCATCCTCTTTCAGTTAATATTTCCGTTACAGGTCACTACATCTTTGCAGGAGCCCAAGGACATTATGATTCAGTTTTTATCAACAAAAAGTTTCTGGCATTCGGAAGGTAACTAGAGGGCAGTTCAAATACCGACAGACACATATTGACATTGACATTGAGTTCGGTGGTCAAAATATACAGTTGCAATTAACTTAATTATAATGTGTTGAAAATTTAGCTGAACAGAAGGAGTATGTGTGTTTGCCATTAATGCCACTTCTCAAGCTGTTTTAATTGATTGCGCGTCAAGAATATTCTTCGTCTTTACTCCTTTGGTCTTTTAAACTTTCAACTCATTAGCTCACATTTAAACAGGAGAATTACTCTTTACACTCGCTAACGTTAGTTATAGTCTTTTATAATTCCAATCCTATTTCCCTGACAAGTGTTGTTTCTTCGTGTCACAATCCCAAAACATCTTTCAGCATTATTTTAAACAATCTTTCGTAATGATGAGCATAGCTCTCGCAACCAGTTAACTTGGTCCTTTATGGTTGCGGTAACCTTCGTGATACAGACTCTTTGTAGCACAGTCACTTGGGATGGTGGGCAGGTGTCGAGAGTTGGTTTCTCACTTTTTTCTGTGCATAGTATACTTTCCATAGTGTATATCCCCTTATATTGACCGTATAAGATCCTTTGGCGCAAGTAACTTATTTCTTTATTTGGACTCCAAGAGCCCCGTTTTTCATTTGTAATCTTTACGGAAAATAATTTTTCCTCCTATTGTTTGGTTGCTTCTACGGTTTGCGTTTAGACCAGTACTTCATTGTAGAGCCGTTAAGCTGGCGTACGATATTTTCAAATCTGTATCAGCTCCTAACCAAAATCCCCTAGTAGTAATGCACGGGTTACTGGGCTGCAAGCGTAACTGGCGGTCTATTGCTCGTGCACTCAACAGCAGAGGCTTCGGGAAGGTACTTGTTCATTCAACCTAGCCTATCTCAGGTGTATTGCGTTGATGCGCGAAATCATGGATCAAGTCCATGGTCGAAGGACATGAACTATGAATTTCTTGCAGAGGACATCCTTAATTTTATAAATCAGCTAGAGGCTTCTGACGTCTCTTTGATTGGCCACAGTATGGGAGGCAAGGCAGCGATGATGGCCGCACTGATGGAGGTACAATGCGCATGCAACCCTTTATGACCCCTTATTTCAGCCTTCTATGATCAACCGTCTGGTGGTCGTAGATATTGCCCCTAACATATCGCCCAACAGAGCTACTACGGGTTTGTTTCTTTCCCTGATGAACCACGTCGATACCAGAAGAATGACCCGTGCAGGGAGTGTTCACACCCTCCGAGCGCGTTTGATGGAGGAGTGGAAAGAGGCCGTACCCGTACTTTCCTATCACTCAAATCCGTTTTTACTTTCCACCTAATTTATTTCAATTAGACTTCCTTTTTAGTCATACCATCAACGTGCATTTATTCTTGATAATCTGGTTGAGTCTGGAGGCAGAGCCGTATGGCGAGTCAATGTGAAGGCTATTCACGACAACTTGAGTGATATCTTTGCTTTCCCTTTCTCCAGAGAGGACGACAATATCACTTTCAACGGACCCGCTCTTTTCGTCTCTGGAGAACTTTCACCATTCTTAAAGTATGCTTTTCGCTCATGCTACATCGCATTTTTCCAAGATGGTTCTGCGAAGTACGACCAGTAAATGCATTTTAGATCTGATCAAATGCCCTACGTACTCCACTTTTTTCCACGAGCTAAGCGTGTGGAGATTCCCGGTGCTGGACATTGGATCAATGCTGACGCTCCCGGGCTACTTATCGACAACCTTGCCGAGTTTCTAAGTCTCCAACACTTTTAATAGATAATAATTCTCTCCTTCTCGAGATACTTTTACGACCCATTTACTTCACCATAGGCTGTCATTTATTTACCCAGTTGTTGTGATCCTCATATCCAAATTAAATTTAAGAGCCTATCGAGCCTCAAATCTCAACAAACTGATTGAGTGTATCACAGTCTTTAATCTGCTTGTTTACGATGGTAACAAAGAACTGCGTTGTAGCCTATTGCCTTGGATAAATCGGTGCCTTCACTCACCACTGAGAAAATTGTTGCGTTCAAGTGTAGGTTCAGTAGTTCATAGTCTATACCTAGAAAACCGTCTTCTAAGGCCCAAAATCAGCGCTTTCATAGAATAGCCTTGAGTAGTATATGACCGACTTTTTTTGCTAAAACGTTTAATCAATGATATTATTTAGGGAGTCTACCATCAGGCGGCGTGGCTACTTGAGCATAACACTGAGTTTCGGAAGTCATAAAGACGTACAAAAATCAGATGCGAAGCCGCACAATATGCTACCACTGATACAAGAAGACCAAAGGGCAAGTAGGGTACATTTCAGTGGAGTACAAATGGGTGGAGTCATTCCACAGCCATACATTTCAAAAAAAGACTCAGAAATTTGATTTAAATCCCTTGATCTCATTCATTATCTGATGTATGCTAACCAACTGGTTACGCACTGGCATCGATTTGTATGGTGGAAGGGTCATAGCCCTTTGGAAACGATGATAAACTTGAACGAGTTGCGAAAGAAGAGCCTACAAGAGAGACAATTTTTGAACCAGTGAGTATATTCAGTTGGCGAGGTTATAGAAGAATCGCATCGATGCAGAGCGTCAACCTTTACCATAGGGATAAAACTATAAAAGGGGTTTTCTAAACTAAAAAGAAGCTGAATAATGCAAAAACTATCAACGCACATGAAAAATCTGAGTTCCAAGGGTGAAATTAGCGAATTCCAACATAATTTCGCTGTTAATCTTCTCAATAGAGTTTTTCCAGTCAATGTTAAACCCTTTGACAATGCGAGTCACCCTACCTGCAAGACATGAAAGAAGGGCGGGCGTCAACTGCACATATATTGTGTTTTGATAGGATGAAAAGCCGCGTGGATTGCAAATATCGAGTTGATGTGGTTGCTGTGGTACAGAGTTAGTTAATATCCCCAAAACAGTCAGATGCCCAAACACCGACTCACTTTAAAGTGTACTTTACCAATGTAACACAAAAGTGAGGTGGGATTGGCTGTTAAAAAAATGCTTTTTCACCCTCTTCATTTTGATCGACTGTTTCGTCGGGGCCCCGTTTCTCCACGAATTGGATGAAATTGATCATACTGCCGAAGTAAGGCAGAAGCGCCTGGTCGATGTAGGCTGTTGTGTGCATCCCAATTGCCTCCCGACATCGATTGACCTCCGGAGAGTTGCCAGCTCCTTTCTCCTACAATAGCGGATTTTTGTAATTAATATTAATGCCTGCTCTATTACCATACCCTTTCAAACTTTGCTGTAATCCTTGAATTAAATGTTTTGTATTTTGCACTGAAGGAAGAGCAATCACTAAACAAACTACAGTTGCACGAACAAGTGAAGACGCAAAGGTCAGAATTGGAGTTTAAGGTCCGAACAACGACATTAACAACGAAAATTCCGATAAATATGAGAACAAGTTTTATGTGTTAAGCTTTTTTTACTAATTTCCACAATGCAAATTCGCCAGCCAAGCAAAGCGCACCACCAAAAATGCTACTCACTGAGAGAACACTAACGATGAGGTCAAAATTGTTGATAAGGAAGACAAGTCGGAGACGATTACGGGGCAGCGCTTTGGCGAGGCGGTAGCAAGCCGCCTCGAACTCGGCGTGCATTCTGGACAGTGCAAGGACAACTCGTGGATCTAAATTGTGTCCCTCCACCTGTCCCACCGTTTCACCTCCCTCCTTCGATGCGCCTGCGTGAAGTGATAATGCAGTCACTAATTCAACAGGAAAGCTAACTACCGGTGTTAAATTGGCGTAGGCTTTACCGATCAGTAAAGTTAGATCAGGAAACAAAGCCTCACACACTTCAACTAAAAGTCTGTGAAGGAAAACAGTAATTTTCAAGAGGTGGATAACTTACCAGAGACCGAGAGCGCGCTCCCAATGGTATGTAGGCTGGCGGCCAACTCGGCGTAGCGACGGGCCACAGGGTGGGGACGAATGAGGCTATAGGCGCGAGGGGAGAGGTTGGCTACCGCGGCTGCCTCATTGATACTGGCGCCTCGTTGGGCACGCAGATGAAGGGCGGCTAGGTGAGCAAATTGAGTAGTGTCTAGGCTTCGCAAAGACGCGATGTGCGCCTCCATGCGGTCTACCACGCGACTCCACATTGCATCCAATTGATTAAACCAATAGCTGAGAGAAAAGGGCTCAAATTAAACTACGGGCATTACCCAAAGTAGATACGAAAAAAGCGTCTATCATGAATTGTCAGCACCATACATTACAGTGCCCAGCATCGACAGATAGGAGAACTGAAGAGTACGTCTGGATTACTTTAAAATATTTTGCAACCCGAATCGATAGTGAAAATGAAGACGAAGACATTAATGAGAGACACAAAAAGTAAAGGCATAAATTGTAGTAAAATAGGAATATTTAATCGGAAATAAAAGTCACGACCACAAATAAAAAGGAATACGCTTCGCAAAAATTAGCATAATGAATCGTGGGTATAAAGTTTGTTACCCTCATTGTGATACGCAAGCGCACAAAACCTACCGATCAAGGACGGGGACTCCGCGCTCCCTCATTAAACTAATCATTGAATGGGTAAGTTGAATACTCAACAAGACTCCAAGGAGATCGTATTGGCCAACTTGAATTAGCGTAGGCATTACGCTTGTCTCCAACGTGCCGAGTGTTCGACCGAAGACCTTGTCAAATAATGATGCAGCAGCCTGTTCACTTGTGAGTGAAGCCTTTGAGCTGGAAACAGGGGAACTAAAGCTATGCAGGAAAAAATCACCAAGGAATACGTATTCCCGGCAAGCTGTGTCCAGAAGGGCATAATTGATCGACCTGTACACCTCCTCCATTAAATACTAAAAAAATAAGAGATTGCTAGAGTCCACAATGCTAAAAGTAGAAGGGAAATCAATGATGGAAAGAGGACCTTGGATTCGTTCTTTGCTGCTGCATGAGGTAGAAGAATGGCGGCTTGGAGGCCCTCTTTGGTTAGTAATCGTTCGGCTCGGCCACCGAGACCGAACTGGCCCGGACGAGAGGTGGACTGATTTGTGGTAGCTGAAGACGACTGCAAAACGTTGACGACGCTTGATGGACCAGAGTTCTGATTCCAGTTGTTCAATTCATCGGACTTTTTGCCTACAAGATCATCCTTCTCGAGAGTACTATCTGCCTGAAAGAGCATTATTTTATCAAATTGCCACTATCAATAAGCAGGATTTCTGAAAAAAAGTCTACCACGGTACTACACAGAGGTAATGATATTCGGTTCGCATTAGTTAGAAATACGTACAACCAACCAACAATGATGAAAATAAGCACGTAGATGGGACTTAAGCTCAGAGCGTGCAGAGGAGATGGAATGATGAAAAGTGTAGAGTGAATGTCAGCAACGAATGTACGTATCTGATACACAGATATTTGATATGCATTAATTATGGTAGACTCAAAACATAAAGCAGAAAAAAAAGTCGAAGCTCGATTTTGGCCTAACAGTGCTTTCAATAACAAGGCTTTAGGCAAGCACAGACGGGACGACAAGTTACCTGAAGTTTGAGTAGTTTGGATGCATACGTTTTGAAGTAGGCGAAATAGACCTTTTCCATTGTAAAAAGATAACTACCTCGAACCTCTCTTGCTAGTTCTCTCTCGTGGATCAGGAGAAATGCATAAAAATACCTAACAGAAAAGGATAAGGGAATATCAAAATAAAGTTTGACGAAAACATTAAAGCATTTACCTGAAGCGCAGAAGTTGAGACTGAGGAACCTGATAATTTGCCATTGGTTTGCGCAATACCTTAATTTTTTCCAAAAGGAACTCTCGTATTCGAGTGACAGCCTTAAAATAAAGGCGTTTGACAGCTTATTCATTTCATCTCAGGAAATAAACACGGGCCTACAGCACGTTTCTGCGCAACATACCTTAGTTTTTAATTTCTTTAATAACGATCCAATATCTTGACAGGCGGGATATTCCGATACACCTTGATCAGCTATCATTTTCAACTTGTGATCAAGTTCGTGCAAGTTTTCGATGAATTCCTGCTCTGTTACTGGAGTGAGAAGAATATGCCTGTAACGAAACTAAATGTTTAGGAGGGTAAAGCGAAAGTAGGAAGTAGGACGTCCGACTTACTGAATAAGGGCATCCGGAATGACCATATCTGATAAAAATTGACTGAGTTCACCACGAACAGCCTGAAATAGCAATGATACTTCAAGTTACACAGCTTAAATTAACGCGATGATTAGGAAGTAACCGCAAAGTCCCTACGAATCCTCCTAAAAACAACAGCTTGATTGATAAATACCTTGTAAAGAAGAAATGATGGTTGCCTATTTCGGCGCAAACCTAAAAGCTGCATTTTACAATTAATTGAGTCACAATGAGTAATCCTTCATAGGTATCCTACTTAAAATATAACTCCACAAAAACAACCTGTCGATTTTGCAGTCTTTGGTGCATATTCATTGACCGTATTTGAAGATCTTGTATATCCGAACTAATGTTACCGAGGTCTCGGTGAAAATCTGCCAATATTGTTTCCATGCGCTAAAAATTAGGTAAAAAATCAAGTGTACCTCTAAAGTTTTGCAACAAGTCGAAATTTTCTTGTGTAGTTCAACTACGCTGGGACCCATCCGAACATCTGAAAATAAAATAAAGAATCGAACTCACAGGTCTCGACGGCTGAAGATTCGAGGCTTTCCAGCTGTTCCTCAACACGCTTTGAGTAAATTCTGAGGTCAACATCCTGGAAAACTATGTAAGATCAATGAAAGTAAGTACGGATTCAAGAACGATGTTGGAAACTTCATCACTTAACGCCCCAATATCATCCATTTCACCACCGCTACTGCACCGCGACACTTCATTTGGAACGTTACAACAGAGCGACAACGTAGTGTCCGCCATCCCGTACTGCCAGTGGCAAGGTCACCTGTCGGGTGTAAGATGTTTTTGAATTACGTGACTAACGGTTGATCTGTGAAAAAAAACAAGTTATAAGTGGAAAATGGCATGTTTCTGTCTAAAATGCGAGAACCTAACTTGATTTCTAGTCATGTATGCATAGATTATTGATAAAAAACAAGGCTTCAAGAAAGTGCCCGCAGATATGAATGAATGAATGAGAGGGGAAGCAATCAATTTATCTTAGATCGACTTACTGATCTATCCATTGTCCCTTAAAAGTAAGTCAGGGTTGCTAACAAAAGAAAATGCCACCTAAAAATTTTGCTAAAATTGAATAACTAAATAATTCTAGGAGATCCGGTAGTTATTTTACAATCTCGTTTGTTTAAACCTTGTCTTCCATTCTTGCTTTGCATAAATTTAATGAATTAAACTTTGTTCCAGGCTATTCTCTATCTTTTCTATAAGGTGATAAGATTGGGAGAGTGGTTGCACTACAATTTATTTAAATTAGGTGGGCTGTCAAAATTGCAATTTTTGTTTGTGATTCCACTCGAAACAAAGACATGATAATTTTTTGACTTTCTATTTGACTGGATGACCACCAGCCTTCGTCAGTGCATCATGATTGGCTATTCATCAAGACTTTAATGTGCTCTCCGTTTGCTTGGCCCTATTTTTTGTTTTTCTAATTGGTTCTTCTCCCGCCCTACTAAAGTTTGCTAACGAATGGTAGGTTTGTTGAAGTCCTCCTCCCCCCAGTAGCCTTTTCCGGGTGTTTTGTCTTTGGTCACCTTGTGTTGACAATCTTAAGCATTCGTATTGCCAGTACTAATGTTCCTTTAAGTATTTTGATTTCCTTCATGCTTGCTTTAGTTGAAACTAACATTTTTCTGCCAGTTTTTGAGCCTTACGTCGCACTTTCTAGATGTCAACTTCGGCGAAACTAAATGTAGTCATTGGTACATCTTAGTTCTAATGTTGCATGAATTACATCATTCAGGCGGTGGTGCGGGTCTCATTGGGAAGGCTTTAACGTCTAAACTCTTGTCGAAGAATGCAAATGTTCGGATTATTTCTCGTAATCCCAATCGCAGTGGGGACCTGTCTTGGGTATGAAATGTCTAAATTTTGTTTTCAAAGCACAACAGAAAGTGGTGGAATCTTCCGGCTTACCTGGAGACACCCATGTTGTCATCAACCTTGCAGGTAGCAACATCGGCGAGGTCAGCCCAAGACTATTGATTCCCAGGTTCATTAGAATATACAAATTATCACCTCGCTATTAGTGCTATGAGAAGTTTTCTACAAGATGTTTATTCAAGTCGTGTAAAGACCACTCAGATTTTAGTCAAAAGTATTCCCAAGACCACGAAAACATTCATAAACGCCTCGGCTATCGGTGTGTTTATCATATTTGCTGGTTAAATCATGATAAAACCAAGTTTAGGTTTCTACGAACCCCACCTTTCTCGTTGTTATACTGAGGATGATCCCAGTGTCGACTACGGTTTTCTGGCTCGTCTCGTGCGCGATTGGGAGGCCGCTTGTTCTGGAACCCAGCTTGAAGGTGTTCAACGTGTTTTCGTCCGAACGGGTAATGCTTGCTTCCAAGAAATAACGGCCAACATTCACAAACCCAGCAGAAGCTCTATACCTTTTCAAGTATAAGTTGACGTTCATCCTGCTTAATGCACACATTTCGGTTGCAAGTTTTGGAAGGCATGTTCTTTGAAAAGTGCCTGTATTTGTTCTCCTAGGTATCGTTCTTTCAAAGGATGGAGGAGCTCTCTCAAAAATGTATCCAGCTCACCGTCTTGGCTTAGGCGGCCCCATTGGCAGTGGACAGCAGTGGCTCTCGTGGATTCATATTGACGATCTCGTCAACCTCTATTGCTTTTTGATCATGGATCCCGCAGGTGTGTCATGATGATTTTTCCACGATTACGAAATGATAACCACTCTCCCTACTGCCAAACACCAAAGCCAACACAGCACCCCCAAACTGCAAGTTCACTCTTTTTTCAATTATTCATGATAGCGAAACAACCAACGTGATCCGTCCGGCCGTTTTAAGTAGGCGATTCCAATCGATTCTTTCATCCGTTACTATGACCTGCCTGAATGACTTCAGGTCGACAACTTACGGGAGCAGTGAACGGCACTGCACCATGCCCTGTTCGTCAGGGTGCATTTTCGCGTGCGCTCAGTGAGTCACTGGGCGTCCCCTCCATTGGTGGGTGCATTCCCACACCGGCCTTCGTGATTCGCGCTATTATGGGGAAAGAACGTGCGCCACTGCTCCTTGAGGGCCAGCGTGTGCTGCCCGCCAAAGCCCAGGCGGCCGGCTTCAAGTTCAACTTCCCCACGCTAGAGTTGGCATTGGAGAGCATCTACGGCAGGCGACCGCAACCTGTACCCATCGACTGAGACTTTCACACTGCCGTACTTTTAACTCAGGGCTTCTCAGCTGTTCTTGTTTTGGGGACTATTTTGACTATCTTAGCATACCAAGAACTATGCAGCAAGTTTTTTGCTCTTCATAACTAGTAAAAAGTTAGAGTGGCGTTACTATTCAAGCGCAAATGTACTTTTAATTGTGGGAAATTGTCTTTGGTATTTGCCCTCCGTTGGTACTTCGTAGCAATAAGTAACGCTTATTTACAAGATCGTCATGCAGGTCAGCTAAGTGTTTACAAATGAGTTCGTTCGAGTGCTGAAAGACAAGTGCCTCTGTGACTTTAAAGCCAGATTTCTGGAAGATGAAGGGGGGTACTGTCCTGATGTTGATGTGTTCCCGGTGTTGGAAGGCTTCCGCAGGGCAACCGAATCCTGAGTTGTCGCGATGGTGCCTTGGCACCCGGTTCTAAGAAATACATCCAGCCTTCAAAATCGACTATAAACAGTGCATCATCTGCGTGAGCCTGATTACTCCTTTTGGGGTGAAAAATAGGCGCAATGGGGTCAGCGGGCTTGGTAAGAGTTGATGATGGTGGAACAAATAACAGGGCGACGATAGGGCATGGTGAGGGCTGATCCAACTAGGAGAGGAAAAGGTAGTTAGGCACACCCACAGTAAGCGTTGGAACCCATGTGGGAGTAAGCAGGTTATATTTTTGATCGCAAAGTTCGAAATGGTTTTCTTGAGTTCCACCATTTAGCTGATGCACAACTAACCCGCATTACTGAGACGGTATTGAGGGTCCAGCTGCTGAGCCAAATAAGACAGCCTCTTGGACCGCCAATGAGAATGCAACCCACTTGACAACCCTGGTGGTGGGAAAATATGATGGGCAGGTTCTCTTGAGAGTTACAGAGAAGGGGCGAATCAGTGCTGGTCGTAAACCCTGTCTCGGCTTGAAAATCGAGAATTCTGCTACAGCTCTGTCGACAATCCGCCGTGAACAGTCCGATCCAGATTTCTGTAATGAAAAGGCGAAACAGTGGCAAATAAAAGAAGCCGTTAAGTGTGGATAATGTATTAATCATTAGTTCCCATCCGTTTGTACGCAAATTTAATAGGGCTTGGTGATCCGCAAAAAATAAATAGCCAAGAATTTTTCTCTTGTATCTGGAAAGTCATGATGCGCGAATAAACAACTACTTGTATTTTTACTACTAAGTAGATGCAGAGTAAACGAAATTTACCGTGAGGTTCAGTAGGTCCGGCTCGAGCTACCAAAAGGTCACCTAACTTCTGATCGAAAGCTAGACCACAAACCCCCTCAAAAACACCACTGCTTTCGTCCATTTCCAGTAGGGCGATGAATGCCGTAGAGGCCAAATCCCAGACAGCCACGCGACCGCGCGCATCTGCGCTGGCAATCAGTCCATGTTGAACACAGGTGTCAACGCAACTGATGCTGGCACCCGTGTGACCAATCAGGCATCGCCAACCCACGGTCACGTGGGAGGAGGAAAGGCGCATTTTATGATTGCTTCGACTTCCACGTACCTTTACGTAGCCGTCGACAAAGTTATCAAAGTTGAAGAGATTTCCGGATGAAATCGAACGGTATTGGCATGGCTGAAACAGATGAAACAGGTATCTCCTAATATGGCAACCTCTGGACTATGAAATAGGTGGTTTTCAGTATCTTCGCCATGACCAAACTATCCTGATAAATAAAGTCATAGACAAGTGTAAAATTGAGGTTCTCAAGTGCGGTTGGTCATGTTTGGAGTAAAACCTCCTTAGTCACGAGTCAGTGAATACAAAACAAGCAGGATTAAGGAGGTGAATCGTGCAAGTGTGCGAGGAGAATGTGAGAAGTGCACCCATGAACTGTTTATAAAACACCAGTCAAACGTGACAGCGATTATAAGTACGATTCTTACCTGACATTCGTCGTTCTCGTTGCTCATAAATCCACATATAAGCTCTTTGGCTGATAGGGTTCGTGCATAAAGACCCCCAAAGGAGGTTCCCACAAGCAGATGTATCTGAGCGTCGCGAGATAGAGGCCTTCCATCAACAGAAGGAACAGCGATAAAAATTGAAACCGGCTCCACAAACGGGACCGGAATAGTAGTAGAATACAACTCAAGCCCATCAGCGAAGCGCCTAGCAGTTATCCTAATTACTCCAGATAGAAGGGAAATTTTGACGAGTAAGAGTAGATGGGAGGAAAGGTGGAGGAGGAACAGGGAGGCAAGGGAATCGGTAACTAAAATGGTCCAGGGAGAATTAGGTTGGTCGGAAGAGCTACTGCGGAGACGGTAGGATCGTGAACCACCTTGAAGATTGGCATACCAGCTGATTCCAAGCTGAAAAAAAAGGTAATACCTTAAGTCAACCAACGAGACACTGTTGAGACAAAGATTATGATTTTGGGAAGAATTAAACCATCAGTTCATTAAAAGTAATAAGCTTGCAAAATTATTTAACTGGTGCCTCTAAAATAAGTTGGGTGTATCATTCTTCCAAAAGCTTCTCGCCAGCCGACGAGTTATAAGACCCCGAGTACTCGAATAGCATTGCAACCTGGCGCTTTATCAAAGGCTGTACAATCGGCCAGATATCTAAAGGCAAAAGTAGATAACTACGATGGCAAGGTTTGATGGGTTTTCCGAGTCTGTGAAAACTTTCCCACTTCAATGAGACGTTAGAATAACCATTTGAAGAACACGATTCATGCGCTTGACAAGCCTCAGTGTATTTATGCCATCTAGCCCTAATTTCTATTTGGTCCACATCTGACCTATTATTTCCCTGAGAAAACAATATGAATCTCAACAGTCGTTCCTTCTCACCGGTTCCAGGAGAGGGCTGCCCGCCCAGTTGCCCCAGCGCAGTCCCTTCACGGTGTCCAAAGGCGCGCCGGCGGTGAGCGGCACTATTGAGGTAGCTACACTTACCCCAGGACCAGGCCAAGGCTCTTCCTCGTCCGCTGAAAATGACTTAACCATGGCAATCGGTGGTTCGGACACTGACTGCAACGCTTGAAACTCGTTGTGATTCTCCATTTTGCGGAGCAGCAAAGCCGCTTGCTGACGCGAAAGAATGTACCGGATTAGTCGGGAGAGGCCAAAGAAGTCGGAGTATCTGCGAGAGTCTGCAGAGGTGTTGACAGTGATGAAGGGAATGGTTCTTCGAGGATGAGGGTGATTTGGAAATAGTTGACGTGGGACTTGACCGTAGTTGCGGATCATCGACTGCACCGCAGCGCGTCGCAATGGATCTTCAATGTTGTCGACGTCAATTGCCCCAAAATATGTCTTCATGAGTATGAGGAAAAAAAGAGCTTTTCTCTGTATGCCGGTGTAAAACAAAAACGGGCAAAGATTGGGTATGCATAAAACACGTTACTGTATGGACACGTTCTTTAAAATTGACAGGTGATAGCGTTACAATTTTACAATTATTGTTTCTCAACTGTAATAGCCGGGTATTTTAGGGATTTTTAAAAAATGAAGGATAAGGAAGACAGAAAGCGACTAACGAATGGGTGGTAGAGATTGACGGCACGTTCGCCCCAACGACCGGTCTGTTTATAGCCGAAGACGAGATCAATCCACTCGGGTATGTGTGCAGTGACGTAGGGACTTTCCAAGGCAGCCCGGTTGACCAGAACAAAGAGACGTGGGTCACCCTTGGCCCAGCTGTAGGACAAGGATCAAAAAGTTAACACTCAGGACAGAGTGTGCAACACTTTCCCGCATGAACAAGACTGCTAAAATAGGACCCTTGAAACATGACTGAGAGTTTTAAGGGGGTGCTGAGGCGGCCTGAAACACCTAAATCTACTCAGGACTTACGGGGGCAGTTTGACCGAATCAACGATTTCGCCGTCATGTCGGGTGCCCAGGTCAAAGTTTTCATAGTTTACGAACATGTCTGGCCGAAAGTAGAACTCGGGGGCCAATTCCTTAGCAAAGGCTGTGGAATTTGTGGTTAGTGACCACTCAGAAGCAACCGAATGAAAGAGGCGGTTGGGATCGTCGAAATTACCATCTTAAATGTGGAAAACAATAACAAATGTTCATTTAATGTGAAGGTTGTCTAACTTTATACTTAGCTGTACAGCCAGCCTAATTTTTATAAAGATCTTTTTGGGGTTCGTTGTGATAAAGTGCCCCATCATATCACGACAAAATGTCTCGAATAAATAACCCCGTGAACAGGCCAATCGGCAAGTGTCAAGTCCCATAAAGAGATGAGATTAAATCTGAAAGCATATGTGATCACGGTGGATTGTTGATTTGAAGGTCTTTAGTCATAATGATGAAGTAAACCTGTCACATGGCCTCACAGAAAACTTACCTTGAAATTGTATTAGACGAAAGGCGTAAGGGATGAGCCGAAAGAGAAGATGCAATATGATAGCTTCGTTTGAGCAGAAGGAGGGGTAGTGAAAAACGGGGCAGAGTAGCGTCCTCTGCTCCTCTCCACCGACAACGTCAATCTCCAACTGCTGCGCTTTCAGCTCCTCATAGTGTCTGGAAACAGCGCTTATGCGAGACTCTGTTTGCACCGAAATGGGCCGATCCAGGCGTCGAAAACTGCTCGACGTCTTCTCAAGGTCAAGCACCTCGCTCTCATAATCCTATCAAGATCAAAAAATTAAAGAAAAAACTCCTTCCGCATCCAACTCAACTGACTGACACAATATGTTAATGTATAAAATACCGAACACTGACATTGCTGAGCAACAAATTCGGTTTCATCACAAAACCTGCGAGGCATTGTTATTTTAACTAGGTGGAAGGGTTTGGTGGTTAAAGTACCACAAACTATTTAAAACCCCTACAGCAAGGATCCAAGGGAAGATGGGATATTGTGTGATATCATTGTATGTCCTTCCGGCAGCGGTGTTGAGTGCCATTATGTAGTCAAAGTTTGACATCTGACCACAAAGCCAAGCGACCTGAGCATCGAGAAGGCGAGCACGTGTGGCAGGACCGATAAAGGGTGTAGGAAAAGGCGCAACAAGGACGTCGCAAAGGTCTCGTAGCGAGAGCCGTGGACCGCGAGTGGATCTGACAGATGTGGCATGGCCGAGGGCGGTCATTCGCCGTCCCGCAGTCACCCGCCGCTGCTCATCGGGTGGGCGAATGCACAACGAGCCGCACGCCTCCACCAGGCTCCGAATGAAATGGTCGCGCTCCTTCAGGCAGAGTAGATATCCAATTTCAAAAGCATTCTCTTACATCACAACTTGTGAAAGGGATTAGGGTTTTGGATAGATAGGACCGAGAAATCAAACACTTTAAAACCGCTGTCAGGCAGCTTAAACTAGGACACATGTAAATGAAAATCACCTTGTTAGACCGAAAAGCAATCATTATAGGCGGCATGTTACACGCGCGCTCGAAGAAGAGCTCCAGAGCGAGATCACGGAGTTCGAAACGTCTCGCTTCGACACGCGTGACTGCATGTAGGGGACAAGTCAGCACCTCCTTTTGGCTGGCGTCCTCACCCAAACCGTGCATTGGTGCGCCGCTACAATTTCTATTACGCTGTAAAGGAAACATTTGCCGATAGAATGGACTTGAACATATCACGGTCAACAGCTCAGCATGTAACAGAACACAAAAAACCAAAACTATACCAAATTCCGTGATTGAACAAGACTTGTAGATACGAAGAATTTTGCTGTAGATTATAGGAGCAATACATTTGAGCAGGTTGTAGAATTCAGGCGAGACCCCAAGGAGCCAGATGATGGCAACAGTTTAGTAGGGTTTAACTTTGGAATTAGAATATATTAAATATATGCGTTTATAAAGGATATAATCTATTTGGTCAATAATCTCACCATGGGAGATTCAGGCAGTTCCCTGACATTGATAACTAGATGGATTCGGTTGGCATCTAAGGTGAGATCCCCATCCAACGGAAGAGAATCGGATATTTCAACTAGTCGGCATGACCAGACGCCAAGACACCGATCTGAGAGCGCTACTGACGGTGGGAAGAGGGCTTGACAAGAGGAAGGGAATTGAGTGTGTGGTGTCAGGAGGCAGCGCTTTCTTGCCAGCCCTCTCGGGGGGGTGTAAGTCGATTGGTGCATCATCAAAGGGCTCAGTGGATGACTCCTAAGATATTGGCCTGACAGCCATTTGAAAAGTAGCACATCAAAGGTTCTGCGATAAGTAATTGTAGAGATTAGAATAAAAATCATGAATCATTATGGAGAGTCCCCGGTGGGCAATTCTGTTTAATGAACATTTATTAGCAGTCCGAAAACATTTTACACCAATCCACTGACGATTAAGGCTTGCTGCTTATTAACGCTAGTGGAGGTGCCCAATTTGCAGGCAATTTATTTAAGTGAGTTACAAAATGATCAATCCACTCACTAGACCTTTTGACATGAAGCAACACCATGGAGTCAAATAGTGAGAGTAGTCACTAGCATCTATCAATACTCACCCAAAGCATTTACAGACGAAGATCTCACAAAACGATCGTCGATCCATATAACCACTGGCCGTCGTCGGCAGCGCTGTCTTGATTCATCTTCAAAGGTATCCACATGTGAAAATACGGGCTTTAGAGCCTCGGTGTAAAAGATTGAGCTGTGGAAGGAATGATGAGATAGAAGTTTTAAACATGCTGCAACAAATGGGGTTTAAAAGGATTCCACTTGTCTACCATTCATGGCTCATAGCGCCACCCAGCTGCATCCAGTAGAAGGGGGCCACCACATCAAGAATGTGTCTGCGTTGGGAGACGAGCATCGACCAGTGGCGCTGACCCGCCTCGTTGGCTTCTCTCAACGGTGACAGCCAATCAAACTGGTCAACAAGCAATGGAGGGCAGAGGTTCGGTTCAGGACCCTAGAGGGCATACGAAAACGTGCTCCAACACTACTCATTTTAGCTTCAAAACGATTTTACTCCCAAAAGGGATTTGTCCTTCTGCCAGTTATTTAGTCTGAAAAGAATAAGATTGCCCACCTGTGCCAAGTTGCAGTGATAAAACAATGATTTAAGACTACGGGTAAGTCTGCACCAATGCATTTAAATTGAAAGTCTGAACGCGTCTGATGTAAAGCATTGTTCCTTACACCGACCAAAAAATACCACGATTAGAACGTACAGATAGCGAAGAATTAGATATCGCATATTGTGGCGATTTTTTTGAAATGTGATCAAAATTGGAACACAACTTTTCCACCCACTCCAGCAGGGTTTGTACGGCATTTGAGATCCTATCATAGTCGGTCTTCCGTCTCGCGATGTCACCACGGTCGCCCACACAATCAGGTCTGTATGTGCTGTACGTTAACGGGAGATCGCCGTTAATTTCTTGATTGTACTGAATTTCTTCAGATCTCCCCGGTTTAATTGAAAAGATGGCCTCTAGCATTTGGAGAATATTCCTCAGTTCCATGAGAATCTGCAAGGGTAACATCAAAAACCTCAGAAGAATGCGAATAAACGGTAAAAAGACAAAAGACTAAGGTACACAAATTGCCGTGTGCTTGCCCTTCATAAGAAGATGTCGAAATTCCCGGATTACGTCTATGCATTTACAATAGTAGTATTTAAAAAAGTCTTACAAACTCTAATAAAAATGATTAATTTTATCGTTTATCTCCGATTGTGAAAGCTTGACAGGAAATACCTACATTAGGGCAACAAGAAACCGCCTCGTCTCCGATAATGTAGGGCTCTTGGGAAAGGAGAGTCAAAAGCCAAAGACCCGTCGTTGAGATTGTGAGGGTTTCCAACAAGGTCTCGCACCATGTGTGTAACAAGCGCATAAGACTGCTCGATAGTGTAAACCAAATCGCAGCTCCAGCGTTCCGCTAAAAGAATACTATATGTTATAAAGTATACTAACGTAAGGCCTCAACCACTTCGACTAAATTAAGCATCAGGCCATCTGTAAAAGCGGTCATGTTTGATTTATTTGTACCAATCTATAAACGAAAATTTCTGCTCTTTACGCCTGATTATGACGACAACCATAAGGCACATGCAGGTACCATGGCATGAGACGCGGAGTTCACGAAGAGGGTAATGATGGCCTTCTCCAGAAGATGAATAGTGGGAAATTGTGGACAGCTAAGGCTTGTTGGATCCGCAGTCAGTGCTTCAACAGGTGATTTGGACCCTAAATAATGGAAAAGTAGTACAAGGCATTTGAAAACGAATTTCCAACGGCCACAAAACCCAAGTGAGCCTATTTGTAGTTCGAGACGCACATTCCCGTAATGAAATAAGAGAAACAATCCTATCATTTCCGACACTAAAGGCAATATTTTGTGTTAAAACAAGATTTGAAATTACCTATTTTTGAGAAGGAGTAAGAAATCCAAAGAATCTTAGCATAACAAGCAACCATCCAATAAAGAAGTATACCTTTGTAAAGAAGGGTATCTTCAACCATAACTGCCGTCCATTGGAGTTGTGAGAGAAGAGGTTGTGTAAAAGTTGTATCTAAATTTGATAGCAAGGGTTAATAATCCAGTAGCACAGTTGTTTCAACGAAAGAGGTAAAGCGTACCTTCGTTAAGTTCTTTAAGGATGCGTCCAACTAATGCGAGTAGGACACGAAGAAGGACCTCACGAACAATACACATTTGGTTGGAGGCTAAATAAACGAGTAAACAGATGCTCAAATACATTCACACATTTACCTAGGTAATCCACTTCATTGACAGACTTGCCACCGAAACGCAAATGAGAAATTATCACTCTAACATCAGCAAATGCAATCCGATCCTTGACTCTGGAGATGATGGAACCCAGTAGGCGAGAAATCAAGTTCCCAATCTCATGGAATCGTTCAGTGTAAATATTGATGCCACTAGGTGCAGAACAAATGGACTGGAGGAAGAAGACAATTTCCAGAAGAATATAAAGGGAAAAGGGGTCACGAAGGGCAGTCAGGACAGTGGAATCCGTCTGTAATGTAAAAGGGATGTAAGAGAAAATATCCAAACGGAAAAATATGGTCAAAAGGAGACAAATACCTTTGCACAATTAAAGAAATTCGATAAACCGTCAAGATAATCCGTCCACCGCTTGGTCAGTTCCACTAATAAAGCTTCCTCGACTGATTTTTCATTATACATCTGATGAAATGCTACAATGTCCACCAAGGAAGACGCAACTATTGGCAATGCAATGGATGTAGGGACTACGGCGCTACCATCAGTGGAGGAAGAATATCCGGATATATTTGTCTGAAATTTGTCAAAGTTATTGTGAAAATATTGTAGTCATAGGAGAAATAAGGGAATTAGGAATTAAAACTGCTTTTCAGACAATACAGAACCCGACCACAGAAATGTATTCGCCCAAAGAAAAGCCTTGAACAAATAAAGTGTATGAAAGAGGTGGCCAAAGGTAAGGGATTAAATAATTGACCGTCTAGTCAAGTAGAGGTCGTAAAATGGCTAAAATAAGCGAATGATATCGGTTTGACGAAAGATGCAATAGTACGACGTACCTGGTTTGACTTCGAGTCGACAAATGAATTGACGATTTGGCATGCAGAAGCAACCAACGATCGTGAAGTCAATGCAACATGCGCAAGGGGCACAAGAGCGCAGTCACTGGGATCCAATACACACCTAGCAGCGCACCGCATTTCTGTCACGGACGAGCAGTACCGAAAAGTAATGGAGGAGGTGTCCGAAAGGAACTGCATCGCCAAAGCGCGGTCGGTGCCCAAAGAGTCGCACCTTTTACGGCTTGGATGAATGCTCAGCAGTGTGATGTAAAGAGACAGAGCCTTGGCGATAAAGACCAATGAAATGGTTCATGTATGAGGTCTGAGAACATCTAATGAACAGATGCGCTATAAGAAGCACATCAGATGTTAACTGAATTTAATCTAAGGCAGCATATTGAAGCAGCAGAGCTTTAAACCCTTGATCCTACAAATGCTTGAAAACAAGCAAAATTTAATGGATTAACCAGAAACCACAAAGACATTGATGCTGAGAGCGAATAATGATAACGTACAAAGAGCCCAATTGTAGTTCGAATGAAAGGAATTAGATGCTGGAGGTGGAGCATACAGGAATTTGCATCATGAAAAATTTACGACTTGTCGCTTTATTGAATAAATTAGAAGATAGATTTGTCCCCTAGCTTTCCACTCTTAGATGCAAATCGACTACCATACCATGGATTTTTTTCACTATTTTGATGCAGCACTAAATTCCAACATTTTATTTCTCTTTCCAATATATTTCAATTCGTTCTAATCAAATACGCAACATATATGCGGCATCCAAGTTCAAACATAGAAGTCGGAGTAAAATGTGGTTAAGTCACAGAACAATTACATATTCTCGGAACTTGACGCAGGGATGACACCCAAGATGGTAAATAAGCCAGAACGGAGGAGCCAAAAGGTCTGTTTTTCGCTCCGTTCCAGCAGCAGCTTTTGCTGCTGCCTCTTGCCAGAATTTAGTAAGGACTGACAGCGTCAAAGCAGCCAGGTGGTGTCGTTGAGAAAGCAGAAGTGGAGATATCGTCGGTGTGCCAAGATCAGCAGCAGCAGCAGAATAATCCTGATTTTCAGAGGAATTTGCTTCATCATTGCTTGAAAAGGTAGAGGCCTCCGTGACAGACTCTAAAAAGGCGCGTGATCACAAATAACTACAGTTTGGCCATCTGTCCTATTTACATCAATAAAGAAAAGGCAACTTTTCGTCAATTCTTAAGCTAGATAGCGTTTCTTTAAGTTTCAGAACAGTGTGCACATTTCGGTTCAGCGGTATACATCTGCCAATGAAGTACCTTCAGTTAGAGTAAAGGAGTACTTTACTGGTAAAGTTAACGAAGTTAGAAATGAGATGCGATTTTAGAGAACCGGAAATATAAGCAGATTATTATCCTTGCCAATGATTTTAAGAATAATTCACTAATAAAAGCTTATGCTATGGTTTATAAACAAGAGAAATGACAGAAAAAGTATCCGAAAACAAGGAAATGTGTTAATTCCTTGTTTTAATTATAATATAATCTAAAAATAATGGAGTTTTGCAACGCACGTGATGTAAAAGAGGAAGACTCAACTATTGGCATCGAGATATCAGGTAAGCTGTGATACCGCGCAAGCGAAGAACAACTTTCAAATCCCTTCTCTCTTTCTCCTTCAGCCAGATCAAGATTTCCGAACTCCAGCAAACTGCTACACGAGCCAAAGAGAGTGGATGATAGACTAGAGTCACTTCGGCCACCACCAGAGAGAATGTTTTCCCGAAATCTAGCCAAAGTAGCGGCCTCGGCATCGCTCACACCCTCTAGGGTAAAGGAGGGCTGCAGAGGGATCAGGGGAATCGATATGGTGGAGTCCAAAGGCGGTGGAGTCGAATATTGTTTAGTGCTTTCTTCAGAGACTTCATCAGTAGGCAATTGCAAAATTTCTGCCTTTGGGGCAGAATTTCCATCTATGAAGATAAACATAAAGATAAGATTCTATGAATGAGAAACTTATTGTATCCTAGAGTAGCTTTTTAATGATTTGAAAAAAATTTAAAATTATAAAAGCCCATGTTTTTGAACAATTGCAAATTAAACCTGAATGCAGCATTTAAGAATATAAAGGCAGTTTAATTTTAGACAACAGTTTTCCCATTACAAAGGAAAACCCAAAGCATATAACCATCAATGACTAGAGAAGTGCGTCAGAAAGTGAACACAAAATTACTTACGTGGCTACAACATTAATCACGATTTTTGAGGAGGCTCAGATACAAATAATGAATTTGAAGGCTTGCAACTCGAGTATATAAAGTGCAGACAAGATATACCATAGTTTAGTAGAGCACTAATGGATGTAATCCCCGACATTGATGGACGGGTGTCCTCTGCCTCATGTACTTCGATCTTCACGCTGATCTCCCACCTATGTTAAAAGCTTTCCAAACCGTAGGGTGGGCATAATGCAACGATATAGGTAAATAAACTACGAAGTTGAATCATAAGAATCACCGACAAATAAGGGAGTGTAGGTACTTCACCTCGTTTGTTTGTGGAGGTGACATCGAAAGTAGAGACCGCTACATCTTGAAGAAGGTGTAGACGAGATCGAGCCAGGCTCGCCAGATCCACACCTAGGGAAGTATCACGAGCTTTCGCGTCGAAGGCGCGTGTGGCTGCGCAGTGGTACAAATCGGGATCGACTGAGGCCAATGTCTGCAGCAGGAACGTGAGCAGGGCAGTTGGTGGAGGTCGGACGGCCAGGCGTTGCGAAAGCAGGCGAGAGAGCGATGCACTTGTCGCTTCAAAGAGTTGATTAACATCTTCATTGTCGTTTGATGTGGGAAAGCAAACCTTAAATAGAAAAATTAGGTAGGTATAATCCATCCCTAACCACAATTGTAATTTTCACTATGGGACATCTCTTCCATACCGATAGAGTGACCCGTTTCGTTTGTACAAGTCTGAGACAATATATTTACCATAGACAGTAAAAAATGTAAACAAAACACAAAACCAGGAGGCAAGACTAAATGTGCGCACTTTTGCATGGAGTGGGGAACATCATGCCTTTGGGTGCAGAACCGTAGATGTCTTTGCAAACAAAACTATTTTAATTTTTATTTATACACACTTTATTTAACGCAAAGGTATTGCATAATCCTCACGGTGAATGAGTTAGTGCCTGCCTTAAAAACGTAAATAACTTCGTAAATGTTGATAAATTATTTTAAAAAACGGATTTATTCCTGAATACTCTTAAATAGAATTCACTCAAGGGGATGAATGGATCACAAAGGCTATCTGTGATAAATTTACTCGAAAGCTGGTAACAGCAGCTTCAATTATTCGAGATCCATCCACATTCGTAATGTTGCATGACAAAATTTGGTCGTGACTCCTGTTTGTGCTAGCGAAACAGTCTCCCATCGCACTGAGCACGGCTGGAAGGCTCTCCAACGATGAAAAAATCATCTGACAAACAATCAGCTCGGGATCTAGCAGAAGGCAAATTCCTTTATCGACGACTTTTACATATGCATATTTCGTGAATACCTAAACAGAGTAAAAGTCTCATTTTAAAATCAAGTGGGAATGCATTGTTTTTTTAGCACAAGAAAAAAATTGCCCACCTCTTGAAAAGCCAGATTTACGCGCCTTAAGCAAATTCGATTAATGAGGGAGGTCAACAGACATAAACCATAGTTTGTTATGTGTAAACGGCCAAAAGCATCAACAGAACATCGAGGAATGAGCTCTTCTGATAGGGGTTGATAAAATTTTTCTGCGGCGACGACCGAGTGCCTTGTGAGAGTGAGAATGAGATCCAAGGAGGCTGCAATGACCTCGGTGTCAGCTTCAGATGCGCAGGCAACCTAAGAAAGCGAGTAATACAGTTGAGGACTGCAAGTAAAGCCTAAGTGCCAAATTATGAGAAATGGACTGTTACCTCAACATTCAAACGACAGTTTATAGAGGTCTTCTTGTTTCAAAATTTAAATATGCACGAGTAGATTGGTGATATGTAACCAACCACAAGCTATCGAAAAAAAACAGAGTAGAGAATTGTGTTGGCCTTAATCATCTACATTACTACTTTAGCCCTTTGCCTCGCATAATTATAATAAATTCATAATATAGCTGATTCCGGACTCCTATGCATTGTAACATCTATAGGAGTAATTTGGGCATTACAAAGCAATAAAATTAAGATCACAGGGCCAGATTAATACGGTAAACGGCAAACATGAATCACAAAGCCCAAAGAAGACGTACTGCGCCGGCGAGAAAAAAGGCAGAATCGACGCCGCCAATGGACGCGATGGTCGCATCAACGCCGCATTTCGTCAGTGTGTTGAGATTCTGCGCAGTAACTTCAACATCAAGATTTGACACAGGGTCAACCATCCACAATTTTGAAGGAACTTGAAAACAATTGTAACCTCTCATCTTCTCACTAGGAATGAAATTACATTGAAAGTGACGGTTAAGTAGTCTCTCTGATTTCTAAAAGTAATCGTGAGATTTCAAGGATGTGATCCAGAAAAATATAGGAGGACTGTTTGGAGAAAAGACAATAAAGGTGAAGTCAGAAACTCACTGGAACATTGAAGTAGTATCTGTATAAAACACTGAGACCGATGGGAAAAGGTGTTGCTTTGAAGGAATCCGAACGGTCCAGTTGACACTAGCCGATGATGGGTATCCAGTGGAAACCAATAAGTTGTGCTGGAAAGTAAAAAACTGCTAAGTTTACTCTCAAAATGCCTAATTCCTAAACTAATGTTCACTTTTTACAAAAAACGTTGCAACAACGACCAAGGTTTGTGGTGAAAGAAAGTGGCTTGGAAAACAAGGTAATGACATTCAAATAAAGAAACGTTGGGGTTGGTCATCTGCAAGAGAACTAGCAAAGTGCGCTCAATGGGGAGGCCAATCTAATTGTGATGAAAAGCACGAGAAACACTCCAACCCAGAGCTAGAACATAACAATCATGGAAACTACTCAACTCACATTGATTAATCTTCGTAAGGTGTGGACCCACATTGTTGTACCGCCTTGGAATTGTTCCACAGAATCCAGAATGCATTGTCCTCGCAAAAATAAATCACCAAGTTCTTGTGGACGCAGACGGGAAAGGAAGGCACTGAGATAGCAGCGACCCCTAGCTACTAATGTAGGCCAGACATCCTGTGAGGCACAGGGCAAGATGCCACTCCATAAAGGCCCACACAGGGCAAGGTAAAGAGCCAGTTCCCTCAAGTGGGCTCGGGATCCTTCTGTCAGTTTAGCTGGCATCTTAGGGAGAATATCACCTGCACGGAGATGAATGAAGATGCATGATGAGCGAAGTAAATATGGGCAGAGGCATGTTTAGTAACTGATTTATTTGTGCTCAACAGGAAACGCTTTACAACCGATGCAGGAGCATACTGAAGAATAATGAAAAAATTCGAAATCACATGACTAGAATCTAGTCGTAACGTCTGGATGCGACCTTTCACACAAAAACTGTATTCAGGGTAAGCGTAGGCATAGCTTTTACCCACTTGTTTTTGAAATCTGAAGATTTAGTCAGCGCAGACTCCACTCCGTGGTACAATGAAAATCCTTGAATTATCCCCAAGGCAGGCATTGGCGAATCATGCAAGAAAGCATTTTGTTTACTTCCTAGAATTCTCAGTGCATCAGAAACTACTACTAAGAATCCCAAAATAAAAAACCAGAGCATAACCCCGATGCGCATTCACTCAAAATGAATAACAGCTCCATAAGTACCATGAAAGCATAAATTGTGCCTCCTAAGATAAATAGTGTCATTAGAATTATTTACAAACACAAAATAAATCGCACTTTTACAAATTCATCAAATGGTCCAGGAGAAGGCATTCAACACCCTCATTGTCGTCGTAAACATTTGATGGTGTCAACAATATCCGATCAAATTATGCCAGCAACAATTCTGTTACAAAAGACCTATTTTAATGAAAAGCTTACGTAAAAGGCTCAAAACCTTCCACTCAACGAACAAATAATTAGAAGATTGGAAAGATGAATTGTTTACCAGTAGCATGGCTCATGTACAAAGAAACTGAACAAAAACCTCGTTTTAAAACGGTATTAGGTCCTCCTTCAATCCAATTAAAAAGCGAAAAATACAAAATGTGAGATGAAAACTAACCGGTAAACACAAGAAATCCACCAGTTAAAAGATAAGGTTCATTCGAAGTAACAGTCTTAGACACTCCAAGTGCTGGGTTTGCATGGCCTATCCACAGGCTTAGTGAACACAAATTCGTCGTAAATCGGCGACTGTGTACAAAGTTAACTGTACGATTCCTGTTCAGATTTGGAGAGGCTAGCAGAGGAGACAATTTAATTGTCGACTCTGTGTATGTTGATGCATTGGTTGTGACAGCTACCTGAAACAAAGACGGTGATAATTAGGTATTTTTTGTGTAAATAAATCAAGGAATCAAACTTACAATCCCTGTAAGGTTCGCCTTTGAGTTCTCATTCCACAGGATGCTAAACAGCATATGTCCCCAGGAGTTGGAATCTAGAGCATCTGAAAGGTATGCATCACCGGCCAAAATAAGCTCTGAGGAGTCCCAAGCGGAATGGTTCGGTATAAAGTGCTGCTTTCCAAAGTCGCATTTTCGTCTGATACGGGTGTAAACACCCCTGGTTGAGGGAACTAACCAAATCTATTGGGAGAATTAAAAGACAAAGAATACAGGACGAAAAGTGGAGCGCAGGAGTTGCATACCACACATACCTCAATGGACCAACAACTGAGTGACGGAATTGTCCGAAGATAAGATGCACGCGTTGAATGAGTGTGCATTGAGGAGGACGGCTTCGGTGATCGCGAAAATGTCGGGGACTCTTCCAGCGTGAATAGATGAAGCATTTCTCCTTGCAAAGCCAAATTAGACAAGGTGGACTTCGATAGAGGAAGGTTGGCATCAAACGTTGACCCGTAGTTAGCCGGTGTCCCCTGAAATTGAGTGATTGTCTTAAAAAGCAAACACCGGCATTTGAGAACTGACTTAGTGATCGCTGTAAGCTGAAATGGAGCAAGAAACTAACCACAAAGCATACAGAAAATAAAAACGTGTTGCTTTAAATTCGGCGGTTAAAAAGTGTCGAAAAGGACAAGGATTTTAAAGAAAGGTATAAAGCAGGGGGCATCTCAAGTGTTCCTTTTCACAATGCAAAGTACCTGATGAAAAGTATGAATTTGAATAACCACGGTGTACGATAGTTTCACACAGATAAGACCGCAAAAGTCAGTCGAAAGTCTTTTAAACATTTAAGAAATCCGAAGATGCGAGAAATTGGTTTGTGAAAACCGACAAACGACGCAAAAGTGTGCCGATAAACACACCTACACAAATCAACCTCGTTGCGCCACGAGCCTGTAGGATAACGAATTCGTAAACAAAGTTTGCTTCAAAAGTTCAGGAGCCACCGTAAAAGATAACATTAGAATTAGTACCATTAACGGAGTTTAAAATGAATTAAAAAGCGGAAACCTTTGGAACACAAAAGGCACGAACATCCAGATTTTATGGATTTCAAATTCACCACGAATCGAACCGCAATTTTTTCGAAGTCAGGTGCAGACTCGAGGTTAAAGTAGTTTAAAGCCTAGAATATGGAGTCCATTCCATGGGTTAAAGGGGAAGTAACTTACAAGTTTGTACCACATTGCTACTGCCAAGCCGCTAGAAGCATAGTTGGACGTAGCGATTGAATTTGCGATGTCCAAGGGCTGTCCATCATGAACATCCGGGTGCCGGTCGATAGGTAGAGGCCAGATCGTGGAGATGAGGGTTAGTGGATAGGGATGAGCAGGGTCAAAATGCCATTGTTCAAGTGGAATACTAGATCGGGCAAATGCAAAGTTTTGGAACACCGACGTATCACTTAGGTCTATGATTTGTGACTGATGAAGAATCGGAGGTAAAGTGAAGTTCAAATGCCGAGGCCATGCAAGGAAGTGCTCAGGTTCCAAGGGATCTGCGCGGCTTGACCACCCCACTAGGAGACGGACAATTCGCAACTGAAATTAAGCGAAAAAATTAGGTCTTACCTGCAACTTGCGGGATTTAGTTCCAGTAGTAAGTTGAAGTAAATTCTTGAGTTGGATGGGGGTGACTTGAAAAAGAGCAGACAATGACTCGTGTTCATTTCCCAGACAAAAGAATTCAAGGAAGTCGATAAGAACATCCGAAATGGAATGGTCGGCGTCCTCTGCAAGGTGACAGAAGACATTACTACTAAAAGTATCTTAAAATTGGATTAAATATCCCTCCACATCTACGCAATGGCTAATAAACCACCCTTAACTTTGTGTAAAAGGCACCGACATTGTGTTTGCGCAGGCGGTTTGCTGTTAATCAAGTTGAACAATTTGTGCTTTATTAAGACAGAACGATGTTTACACATATCTTTAAGGGAACTAATACAATTAAGACTGGTAACTCATGAGAAAACGGAGTAATTTCACGCTGTTTTTGTAATAAGACTACCAACATCCTATTAGTTGAAATAATCGGCATTAAAAACCCTGGTCATTTCTCAACTCTTAGTTTGTAGAGCAGACAAGCTTGAAGCACAATCACAGGGTTAAACCGGAACCCTATGATATGGAGGTCCTAGGTGGGCGGAAAATAGTGCGTGGGGTAATAAACAGTACCGCACCGATAGATCGACACAACATTTTTTGAAGCATACAATCGCATACAGCTTGCATGCCCCTACAAGTTGCAAAAAGCCGTTACAGCAAGCTTTATAGAAAACGCGTCAATTTTCTGGTCACTATATAAACGTGATGGTCAAAACAGAGCGAAGTCGCAACGAAATGGATCAATTTTAAGGGGTTAAAATCACATATGCCAGTATAGGTGACATATTTGATGGAATTGGTGTTGAAGTCTGAACTCACCATTCTGAGGCTGTTGAGTACGCAGCAACTCCAGCGCATCGGAGACCACATCAGATAGCCACTTCTAAAATTCACACATATTTAAGAAAGTGAATTAAAAAAATCCCAGGGGAGCTACACAGTGGAACAGATTAAGAGTATGTATGACATTTATAAACTCACTATAATTTGATTGTTATTGAACGCAAAATAATGCATGAGGTCATGTCGTCGGAATTTAAGGACTTCGCGCAGAAACCTCTTCAAAGCATATGGGTGATCAGGATTTTCGAGGTCACAGGTACGCATAAAGCGATGAAAAATGAAGAGGAATAGGTTGAGATGCTTTTTGACTTGTGGATCTTCGTGGGTATACATTTTCTTCTCCTCGTCCAGGTAATAGCTGGCAGGAACGGATAGAGTTCTTACCTTTGGTTCTAGAATGAAGTTGTGCTAGCTGAAAAGAGACGGTACCTTCAAATATTTCGGGTGGCTCAGGAAGTTCATTGTCCTGCCCACAATTCTCACCCACGGAGAACGAAGTAAGGCGTTCAAGCACGTCCAGATTATTGCAGTCAAGCGGAATGTTATCAACTGGAGAGTTTTGCGTCTAAATGGACCTTAAGTTACCAGATGGATTGACTAACTCCACAGTAGAGTTCACACAACACTCCAATCAACGAAGCATGGAGATCGATGGGAGTATCAACAGAATTAGCAAGTTGATCCTCTGCTGCCTTAGTAAGCGACTGAAGCAGACAACCACCAGTTCCGGTACGAAGAAACGGTTGTGATATCAAATTCCCACTTAGTGGATGAGACAAAACACGCCACAAAGCAGTCCAAGCAATAACTCTGAGGTTAGAGTGTGGCACCTTTAACAAAAAAAGGGCGAGTTGCGAGTCACATGGAATTGATGAATCGTGAAATTACATATCTAGACATAACATCAGATCCGCATCCAACGTCCATCCAATTCAAAAACAAACATTCAATTAAGTAGCATTTTTAACGAATAAGATTTCGAGAAAATCCAAAAGAGGCCTAAAACTCCATTATATCTTCAAATGCAAAAGCCGCTTCAATGCCACCCGACGTAGGGACAAATGTTGACAGAGCTGAAGTAACTGCATTTTCTCACTGACCACATCAACAATTATTCATCATGCAAACGACTCATCGGGTTAAAGGAAACCAAAAATCACACCCATGTCTTACTCTAGTTGTGCTAAATGGCATTATACCAAAAGACTTACTGCGGCTCAAAAAACGCCATTAATGCAAGAATGGGACAAATGCCTCATTTCGAGCGACCATAAATAAAATCTTGGTCCTAAAGTACCAAGATTGGGGAAGCTGATCAGAGCTTCCCAGCTAATTGAATTGGAAGAACATTTTCACCGGCATTATATCAGACTCACGGATTCACGCCCAAACATGTCGAGTGGTAGGCATGTGCCAGTCGCAGCCCCATCTATCCTTCGGGATCTTGCCGGTCACCTTTATTTTTGCATTTCTGGAACTTGAAGCGTTCAAAGTGGTTTTATTTGCTTTTAGGACGCCAAAAATGTTGGATGTTGAGTGAAAGAAATTCAAAGCTGGCTCACATCTAAAACAATTCCTAATAAAATTTTGGAATCCTAAGATAATTGGCCCATTTTCAAGCGCTTCTAACTTCATTGATAAGGGGTCGGCATTTAATGGGGACCATTCAAATCCCTCCGTTTCTTGTAAGCATTTCACAAGAAGGTTAAGATTAGCTAAAAAAGGAAACTAGTGTGTTTGCTAACTGTTACTTAACATTGCCAATCAAAACGTTAAGCTAATTCTTTTACGAGTGTATTATAGAGAGATGAAGAAATTGTTGCTGGTGTTGGACGTTATGCGCATAAGACACTACAATTAATTTTAATAGCTCGTTCCGGAAAACTTAGCGTAGTGCTACTCTGCGCATCTCATAGGTATGCTAATAGAGAGAGGCGAATGAACTTGCAAACAAATGTAACGAGACTCCAAACGCAGAATTTCGGTAGTGAATCAAGCAGGCGTTTCAACACATCCTAAAAATTAACAACTACTATCAGAGGATGTATTTAAGCCACTGCCAACGGTTATAGTCTTGATGGTGCTTTACCTACGGCAGTAGCCAAAACGGTTTTGGTGTCACAAGACCCTTCAACCACTGACCAATGTTGAGTATTCTTTGAGCCATGTGGCCTAATGTGTGAAGAAATGAGCGCAACGATCAAGCAGCGCAAGGTCCGTCGGGCGTAGTAGAGTAGGCGACAGCTTCGTAACCTAGCCGCTGTACCTGGAGGACTGCTGTTTGTGGCAAGTTTAGTCGGCATTTGCCTTGGCCTGCCGCGACGGCTAATCTCAATCGTTTATTTACAGGCCACCACCCTCACAACTTAATCTATTCAGCCACAGTAAACACATCCAACTGTTGGAATGAATTTAGTAAGTTGAAGATGCCAAAAGGTTTGCAAGGAATCGGCATGCCCAAATATCTGCAAAATTTGGTTTCATGCGTGCATAAGTGGTTTGCCTCTGTGTTACGACAGCAAAGAGAGGCAACCTTCGGGACTGTTTTTTCCCCCAGCAGATCTCATGAAATTCAAGCAACTATCCACCATCTTTACCTTGACAGTTTGGTGCAAATGACCCACATTGTTCTAACAACAACCACACCAAACCTCGTCGCCTAATCGTTTGTTGAAATCATTCGAATTCATCTTGATTTCAGCTCTGGTTTCCTAGGAAAGTAACACTCTAAAGGTTGAGACCGGGGCAAAATGTGCGTTTGACAATAACGTCCTTCTTGGTCACGACGAAATACACAATTCAAATAACGTTTAATTAATAAAAAACCTTAAAACTGCTTGAAAGGTATTTACAAACCGTAATGTTTTCGGAAATGGTGGTACGGTTTCATTGGTAAGAGTGGATAACAGTCAAATTAGAGGCTCTGATTTGTTGACTCTGGAACCAGCACTCCATTCGATTGTTTTGAACTTTATCCACAATGTGCAAGACCAAGACAAGATTAAAAGATACCGTGAATTTTTAATCTACGCAAATCTTTCGTCTAAACATAAGTGGTCAATTCCTACAGACGTAAGTCTGGTCGAAATAGTTATAGCAGACTCGATGATTGGCATGAGTCAACATTTTTAGGCTGTTTAAAACTTTGCCTTAGAGTTCTTTCGCATAGTTTGGGTTTAATTGAATTGAATTTACAAAGGCAAAAATAAGGTAACATCCACTTTTAGTGGATGTAAGACCTCTAGAAAAAGACCTACGGATGGCTCAACTCGTACGCATCGAAGGATGAGTTGAAGAAAGCTTATGACAAGCGATTCAAGAAGAAAAGTTCTTGAGTTGGCACCAATACCACAGAAAGTCAAATATGATGGGCAAAAAAACGAAGGGGAGGAAGTGAGGCAGTCGACAAATGCACTAAAACAAACACAACCAACAATAAGGTAGGGAAATTCAGCTGGCAAAATCACATTAAAAGCATATTAATGCAACCAATCATACGCAAAAGAACATAGTATAACGGAAGTACATAAAGCTACTTCGGAAGAAACGGCTATACCAAAAAATGTGGAATTCTACTTTCAGATACGGGAATTCTTGGGGATAATCGGATACGTTCGTGTGCGATTGACGTCCCACATAAACGCATAATAATCACCCGCATAATAAAGTATTTTTTGATAGCACTAAAAAACTTTCTTTGTACTAAACGTCTCCGTATTATTCATTTTATTCAAAATGAAAATAGCAACCAAATGAAATGCTAGAGCCTACAATCGCGTAAAAGTAGCAGTGTGATACATCACCCACACAGTTCCAATCATAGAAGTACCTTTGAATTGAATTAGGCGACTTAATGATGACGAAAAATCTATCCAAACTAGGGTATTATTAAAAGTATTAGCACATACAAATATGTAGGACACCTAATTTCATTAACACTAATAACTTCCTTGTTAAATGACCTTTCTATATGGTGGTAACGACATCTTCAATACTTGGCAATAATTTCTCCCTCGAAAGAACATGAATTCATCTAATGGGCTATGATAACTTTCACGCACCTGATAACGGACGTTATGCCGGATGCTGATATATGCGCAGTAAGAAGAACACGATTAAGAGAAGGGAGAGTATCGGACACCGCTTGGATTGCCTCTGGTTCTGTAAGATTACTGACCAAACGGATAAATGAGGAAGAAAATTCAAGGGCCACGGTGACCTGAGGTGTGCCGACCATTTGAAAGGAAATCAGGTAGGGACAAATCAAAGACTGAACCATTGCACACCGGAATCGACAAGCTAAATATGCGAAAACAAATGTAGCTATTATTGAAAAACAATCAAGCGAGGACGGGTGCAGAAAACATCCTTGAACTATTCAGTTCGTTGGTAGTCCAAAAAAGAAAACAAGTGTAAGAAATGGCACAAGGAAATTAAAATATCTAAACGTGGTTGGGTAATTATAACCCCAATAGATCGACGACCATAAATGAGATAATACGAGAAAGCGATTATCGTGTGCACAGCATACGAATATTAAGTATGGGGAAATGGACCATACCCGCAGGAGATCTGCTAGCAACTCCGGAGAACACCTGAATAACGAAGGCAACATCTTGATAGTTCAATTCACTTCCTTCAAATTCATTGAGATTTTCGAAGTACGGACTAAAAAGTTCCGCCAGCTCACAGACATTCAGCTGGTTGCATGTATCTTTTTCCAAAATGTTGATGTATGCGCTCACTAAAGCGTGTATGCACACGGGGTGCATGAGATAACGAAGTGGGACAGAAATTTTAATGCAAAGCCAAACGAAAGAACTGGCTGAGTCCGCAGAAAGGGCTTGGATAACCAAGGAGAGAATGTTTGGAGTCCCGATCGTCAGGAGTCGAATGAAGTGATAGATTATGCTTGGCTTTTTATTCGATTGGAGCCAAAACACAAAATCATTAAGCAAGGCAAATGCTGAGAAGTCGTGAGGGTGGTTCGCAGAGGACGCATAAACAGCAGCAAACAAAGCAGAGAGAATATCCTCGTGGTACACCATTAAGAGAGGCTCATAACATTTCAAATCATGGAACTCAGAGTGCCAAATACTCAAATTTTGAGGAGTAATGCGAGTGACGAAGTGAAGCGAAATTAGGACATAGTCCAAGGCTACAGCGAAATGACCAGCAGATAGCAACTGCTTTCCTATTTGGCAAAGGCGACAAAGTAAGGTATGTGCTTTGGATGCGTTGAGATCTATCACAGCGAAATGTGTAGGGACGGCCACGATTAGCATGTTAATGCATAAAGCATTGTTTAGATAGTTGAAACTACAAGTATAAAAAAACACTTACGCAACAAGCAAATGAGCATATGAACCAATTTTGCAGATGTTGACTCACACCATAAGGTCCTTCTCAAAGCAGTAATTTGGAATCAGCTCAGCTGCTCCCACAAAGACCCCAAGCATTTCAAGAGTATTTGACAGGAACAAGTAAGAAGGCGACTCATCAAAGCATTTCCATATCCAAATACTAATTTTCGTCACATAAATTAGCAAGACACAATCCAGCTGAGGACCCAGGGAAAGTGAACGTTTCCAACGGAGAAAACCATGATACGATAGACAACATAGATTGAAAATACTATGCTTGTCAGAGGGATCGTCAAAGTGCACCAAGTATCTCAGGAAAGGATGAAAATACTCTCTTGAAGAATTGTCAATTTCGAGGCAAGAAATTGAACCAAGATCTGAAAGCCAGTCAAAATCACAGATTTTAACGCCTAAAAGGGTAAACACAAGGTGAAACTAGTAAGATTGAAGGAACAGCCTGTAAAAAAAATCGGACACGTACTAAGCACAGAGGTGGATTTGCCAAAATTTCCTGCGACAGATGCCAGGAAATCCCTCAGAACGTTTTGGAATAGAATAATCTCTTTGGTAACGGTCTCGTTCATAGTCGAATCGATCAAGCTTGAATTCGAGCAAGAGCCCGAACTTAGTTTATTGCAGATAAGATGCAAACTTTCGCATATTTCGCGAGGCTTTTTGACGTAATCCGCAAAGCGAGTCCCAGTAAAGAAGGCCAGTAGTTCGCTAAGAGTAAAGTTGCGAAACATTACGACAGTCAATGTTCCACCAAATACTAGGCCTAAATTGGATCAGATCTGCATCTCGCCCCTAGCAAAACCGCGCGAATCTGTACAGTACTAGACAATTTTGGGTTGATGGTGCACGTGGAGAGTGGGCAAGACTGACTCAAATTGACGTCAACAAAGAACAGAACTGAAGCACGATTGAACCCAGGCCAAAGTACCCGCAAAAACTCAGACGGCCTTCCAATTACTTGTCGATTTATTTTATTGCGATGGCTAATAGGCAATTTCAACACCCTAATGTTAAGTTTGAGCTACTCGCTTCAAAAATCTTTTGATTAGAAAGTTCTTTAAGCATGAATATGCGTAAGTCAAAGTTTTAGATTTAAGTGCAAAGATCATGGACTGAAGCAAGCCATAGATTTCAAAACAACATATTTTCATTTACCAAACCTGTACTGAAAACAGCAAAATTTTTGCGTAAGTAATGGACTAAAATTAGTGGTTAAAATTTGTTCACTTTCGGATAACATGATTTTCTCGCACAATTGCTGCGATATAAGAATAACCCACATTAGTGTGGAAATTTCAAGTGGTCCAATTTTCTATGTTCAGAATATATATTTCCATCAAATAATTTGCGCTGTTATATTTGTGTGCGCTTGCCCCTAACTGCTCTGATATCTTGCAGTCCAAACTATCCTCTAAGGTCGGCTTAACTATAGTTCTGGAATTTTTCGTAATTAGGAATTTTGATGCATGGCAGATGCTAGCGAATCGTTATTGAGACGTCTTGGTGCTAATTTCAAAATTAGTGAAGGTGGTGTAATTTCCTCTAGTGTGGGTTGTGTTGTTTGTGTCCTCGTTTTATTTTTGTTTGCTTTCTTTATCCCCTGATTGTGCGCATTTCTGTTTTTGTAGCTGATCGTTTGTCTTTGTGCATCGCTTGCATTTCTCTTCCTGCATGGTATCATTTTGGAATGAATTTGCATGATTAGAACTATGGAGGTTTGATATCTTCCAGCTTATTGTTTTATTTTAAATAGCAGAATACGGAGGTTTTGAGTAATTCGTCCTCATCTGTGGAAAAGAATTCTGACGGGCTTAGAAGCGAGCCTTTGATATCTGTGCCAGGGGAGTGTGTAGCTATGTTCATCTCTCGGGCCCTAGAACAAATTATCACTGAAAAGCAAACACGAAAGCCGTCTAATAATGAGCTTCGCGAGGCTTGTTGTGACGGCATCGAGTTCTTAAAGACTCGTATCAACTTACCAGAAAATGGTAAAAATGGGTCTCTTGGATCCGACGGATACATGCCTACTTCTCAGGCACAGAGAGGCGCGCTGTTGAATGACGAAAAGCTGTTGCGTCCATTGGAATTAGCTTGCAAGAGCAAATCTCCCAAGATCGTTGCTATTTCTTTGGATTGCCTACAAAAGCTGATAGCCTATGGACATATTCCTAACAATGCTTTGGATTCGTCAGGAAAAGAGGGAGTAACCGAGCGAATTGTTCAGACGATCTGTTCATGTTTTAATGTAAGTTTTGAAGCCTTTTTGTTTGATTCTGTTCCAGATTGACTTTTACTATTGGTCATATTTAAGTTCATTTTTTAAGTGGTCCATTGTATTTAGCTTGTTTATTTTTATCCGGAATTAACAAACCCTAAAAAATTGCTTTTTAAACTTAGCGGTTTTTGCTTTCAGGGTGTAAACACAGATGAAGGTGTTCAGCTTCAAGTTATTAAGGCTCTTTTAACTGTTGTCACATCTCCCGTTGTCGAGGTGCATGAACGAGACATTCTTCTCGTTGTCCGCACATGTTATAACATCTACATGGCTACACGAAATCTTGTAAATCAAACGACAGCACGTGCCACCCTCACACAGATGCTAAATGTCATTTTCCAACGAATGGAGCAGGCCACCCTTGATGCCGCAGTTCGTCATGATCAAAAGCTTTCTGAAGCCAAGACTGAGGCTGAAGCCACAACTGATGGAAATGGAATTGGTATTGGAAATTATGTTTCTGATCAACAAAACGCAATTTCCGAAGGAAAATCTGACTCTGAAAGTTTGGACGGAGAAAAGGTGGAAGAGGGTTCTGTTGATCAGGAGGAAATACTAAACGAGCCAGCCTTTTCAGAGGTTGATCAGACTGAAACCAGCCAAGAAGAGTCGATTGTTACTAAAAATGACAATGGAAATATAAAAGGGGGAAATAAAGAATGTATCTCCGAGATGGAATCAACTGTTGGAACCCATAATGCTCAGGAGAAAGCTGATGGGCAGGAAGCCAAAGCCACTTCCGATGAAGCAAGCGAGGAGGGTTCTTCAGCAGCTACGCCCGATGATGATGAAGAGGGTGTGACAGGAGGTGTTGTTGATGCAGCAGAAGCTACTCCGATAACTGAGGAGGAGATATCAAAGCCGAATTCACTGCACCCCTCCGTGTCTGCCTCATCTCTGGGTGCCGAAACCACAAGCGGTTCCGCGACCGATTCATCCGATGAAATCGCCTCCTCAGACTTCTATTTTGCTCATATCTCACAGAAAGACGCCTTTTTGGTCTTTCGTTCGCTTTGTAAGTTGGCGATGAAGCCTCTAGCTGGTACAAACCCTACCGATCCCAAATCACATGAATTACGATCCAAGATACTCTCCCTTCAGTTACTTCTCAGCATTCTTCAGCAACCGGGTCCGGCCTTTAGGTCAAATGCGATTTTCATCACTGCGATCAAGCAGTACTTGTGCGTCGCTCTATCCAAGAACGGTGTCTCCTCGGTACCAGAGGTCTTTGAACTGTCTTTGGCTATTTTCCTATCCCTTCTGACTCACTTTAAACAACACCTCAAGATTCAAATAGAGGTATTTTTCAAGGAAATGCTTTTTGCAGTCCTCGACTCGTCATCTGCCTCGTTCGAACACAAGTGGATCGTCACAGAGGCGCTGCAGCGTATTTGCATGGACAAACAGTGCATTGTTGATGCCTATCTAAACTACGACTGCGATCTCGAACGAGCGAATGTTTTTGAGAAGTTGGTAATCTGTCTTGCAAAGGTAGCCCAAGGTCGTCCCGCCGTGGATACGCGAACAACACAACCGCAACTTCAAAACTTGCGCAAAAAGGGGTTGGAGTGTTTAGTGCTGATCCTGAAGTGCATGGTACGTTGGTCCAGTGATCTTTTCAACGTGACCAACGAAACCCACTCATTCCTTGGCTCAGAACCGTCTAATGCCTCTGCAATCACAAAGGAACATGACACTGACAGTGGGTCATCTGTTCGTAAGTCTCTTAGATCTCACATTTCACGACTTTTTCTCATGGGAACAACTGATTGTTTACTTGGATATATGCAGTTTTAATATAGACGACGATGAATTCCGTGGTTTTTAACGTCAGTCTAGCGAAACTTTGCCATGCTTCATTCAGTCGAGTTGCTTTAGTTAGTGTAAAACCATAAAGCGTTCATAATTGACGAATGGACATTTTATACGTTTGCCTTTGAGATGAACACAGATTTTTTATTTCACTAAATACACTTATAATCCTCTTGTACACCTGTTAATGCAGCAAGATCTTTGTTGCAAATGTAGAAAATGTTGGCATTCATTTTTATGCCTTTGTATGCTCTGATAATTTCATATTTTATTTATAACATTAGGCCTGAATCAGACGGTTCAAGATGATCCTGAGGCATTTGAATCTCGCAAAGCCCTTAAAGAAGTTTACGAGGCTGGTATATACCTATTTAATCGAGGAAAGGTTTCCCGAGGCCTTGCTCTACTGCAAGAGAACAATCTTTTAGGAACCAGTGCTGAAGACGTAGCCATGTTCCTGCACAACGAGTCACGCCTTTGCCGTACTGCCATTGGCGACTTTCTGGGCGAGAACGAAGCTTTTGCTTTGGAGGTTATGTACGCCTACGTAGATTGCTTCGATTTCTCTGGATTTGAGCTCTTACCTGCCCTAAGGTCAGTTTTACACCTTGTACTTAGTTTCCATTTTCCTTCCTCTTGAGGAAACATAAAAACTTCTGTTTTGGTATCCATTTATCATGTCTTCCTTTTGGCACCATCAGGCTGTGATATTCCATTTTGATCTATTTAGATCATTTTTATCTGGTTTCTGGTTACCTGGTGAGGCACAAAAGATAGACCGTTTAATGGAAAAATTCGCCGCCCGATACTACGCCTGTAATTTGAATAACACACTCTTCGCCTCCGCCGATACTGCCTACGTACTGGCCTTCTCCATCATCATGCTTACTACCGATCTTCACTCTGAGAAAATTAAGCAAAAACAAAAGATGAGCAAGGTATTGGATTGCGGCACCCTTTTAATATGCCTAACGAATTGACCAGTGTTCTTGCCAATGAACACTATCAGACGTTAAATAAGAGGTTGATTTAAGCGATTCATTGTGAATTGTGAATACAGTGTTTTTCTCAAGAGGTTACAAAATGCGACCTTGAAGCTTATGTCGTCCTGTTTTGCGTTTGTGGTTGAACCTTGGCGGTTTTGTTGCATACACTCGCGTAATTGTTTTTTTTGCTATATTGGATCTCCATTGACAACGATTGCTGTTGCAGTTGCGCTTCATGATTCATCTGTTAGTTGGTTCTTTTTTTGGATCGCTTATTCAACAATTGTTTTGAGTAACTATGACCGTCTTGATTTCAAAGTCGAGCCCAAGACTTGGGTGGCTGCAGAAGTATGCCATCAAGACAAAACTGTATCTGAATTGCACCCGTACCTTCTTTCTACGATGCACCCGCTTTATTTCGTTAACCATCATATGCTGTGTATAACAAAAAAACATGTGGCGTACGCCTTTTTGTTTATTACATTACATTCTGACCTTAGCGATGTCCTTCAGACTTCTAAAAATGAAGAATTTTCTCCGTAAATACCAACTTTTATCAGTCTTTTTGAGGATATTCTGTGATACTTATATCGCCCCTCCTCTCCTATTGCAATAGAAGTGCTAAATATCGAGCTCCTTTCATGAATTTCTGTTCTTTAACGCCATCATTGTAACTCTGTTTAAGGATCACTGATAGTGACAATCCATACAACTTGCACTTAATTAGGATACTTTTATTCAGAATTATTATATACGATAGTGGTGTAATTGGCAGCATCTTTTTTTTGCCGCGTATTCTGCTAGGAGGACTACATCAAAATGAATCGAGGCATAAATGACAGCCACGATTTGCCACGTGAATATCTTGGTAAGATATACGACGAGATCGCGCAATGTGGCATTCAAATGCGTTCTGACGATATTTCGACCGTACTTGCCAATAATGGCACTCTGGGCAATTCAACCAACGGTGTGGTTACTGGTGTAAAGGGTCTAATGGAATCAGTGAGTTTTTTTCCATGCCTTGTTTGTAGCCACGTACTACAAGTAAATGCGCGTGTTTCACATTCCTTCTAAGGCTCATTTGTAGAGTATTCAACTACCAATTCTCCATTTTGAGATAACTTCAATTTTTGACAGGTAGTATTAGTAATGGATTACTAATCCATCCTATTGACCAGTATTTTCATTTAACACTAAGTGGTGTCATCACAAATAACAACCAACCTTTTTTCTAATTTCTTGTGACGTTGATTATTCATTTCACGTATGGTGGTTTCTACTTTAATTCAGTAAACGGTTTATCCTTTTGAGAAGCCAAGTTTGCGAATGTGACGTGTAGCTGTTACATAACTGATTGGTGCATAACTTTTGTCGAGTTTTCGGGCTTGATGTGCACATTACGCAAATCGGAGCCAAGGGTCATTGCTTTAAATGATGACCCTTTGCCACTAGTAGTGCTTGAACATTCTTCTAAGTTCTCAGTGGTTGGAATGGTTTTCATGTCGTTCTTGCGAATACAATACATCTTCTTTCGTCCTTAATGGAGGTACGAACTTTTGATGCATTAAAATGAGTATTGTTCCACAAATATATGCGAAGTCGAAAGGTTGATTGCTCGAATTTGAAGCACTAGTGGTTAATGGCGTAAATCCTGTCAAAAGTATTAAATTCATATGTATTGAGGAGCCTTGGGTAATTCATTTAAGCTTATACTCATTGTAACCGCGAACTATATTTTCCTAACCTTTTGTAAAACCAATGCTCTTTTATGGATTCGTGTGACATTAAGGGACACTATGCACTAAACTGTGCTCAAGTTTCCACATCCATCGACGTTCCACCTAAAATGTACCGTCCAGTCTATATTGTCAATATTTACAAGGATAATTCAAAACGCCTCCTCGCTAATATCAGGCAAGCTAAATACTTTTGGGTTTAAGAGAATCGCTATTATCCACCATAGTTTCTTGCATAACGTTTGTATCAATGTTTGAACTTGGTGAATCCCTATGCTTCCAGGTGAGTCACATGGAATCTGAATTCACATGTGCAACGCATTTTGAACACGTCCGGCCGATGTTTAAGTTGGTGTGGACACCCTTCTTGGCGGCCTTCAGCGTCGGACTACAAGACTGTGATGACCCGATGATAGCCCACCACTGCCTCGAGGGTATCCAGTGTGCCATCCGCATCGCTTGCACATTCCGCATGGAACTTGAGCGTGATGCCTACGTCCAGGCCCTGGCTCGCTTTACCCTCCTCCTCTCCACTTCTCAGTCTCAGAGTGACACAATTGCGATCAGTGGTCAAGGAATCGGTACTATGGGCAACCACTTAAGGTAGACGCATTTAGCCTCCATCCATACCTGTGTTGTCACTTCTCAGTTATTTTCTCACGGATTTCGTGAACATCTTTATTGCTCACTTTAGAGGCCGTCTTGAGTCCGTGCACAGCCAGTTGACTGGAAGCAATTCGTCCATCAACTCCTCTTTGGGCACAGTAGAGCCACCTTCGGTGATAAATCCCACACCGGAGATGATGAAGTCAAAGAACGTCGACAGTATTCGCACACTCATCTCAGTAGCTCAGACCGATGGGAATTATCTTGGGCACTCGTGGCTCCACATTCTTCGCTGCATCTCCCAGCTGGAGTCGGCCAACGTCATTGCCACCAACACAGCGCGCTCTCTGCCTCGACGTCGTCATGGTCCACGTAGGTTTCTTTAGCTTCCTTATAGGTTCAAATCTTGTACCATGCCTGCCGTGGTTTTAATTTCGCTTTTATTTCTTTTCCCTCCCTAACTACACCTACACAATTCCCTCATGGGAGATTGTTAGAAATTTCAGATGCTTTACCAGCAGTAGATGAGTTTCTTATTGATTGCAGACGCCACCCCCGAAGAGGCCAATGTAGGAGAAGGTGAAGGACAGAACAAGTCGATGCGCAAACGCAGTGGCCTCGCCCCGGGCAGTTTAGCTGCCGCCACGGTGGACTCCCGCAAGGCTGCTGTGCTGCAGGAGGTCATGGGTGAGACAGGTTCTCGCAGTGTAGTGGTTGCAGTTGATAAGATTTTCTCCGGCTCTGTCCGCCTTGATGGGGATGCAATTGTAGACTTCGTACAAGCTCTTTGTCAGGTAATTGAAGGCACTGTCAATCACTTCACCTATCTCATGCTGTTATCACTTCCGCAGGTTACACTGGTGATATAGTGTTGAGCCATTATTATGTTAGGACACATTGTTGTGCCTGAATTTGTGTCTGTTACTGTCATACGTAGCTGAAATCTTCAACTGTTTGATTGGAAGGCATGATTGTTATTCCCCGCTCTCGAGAATTATGTAATTATTTTTACTGGTTTGTACACTCCCAGCTGTGTGCTGGCAGAGTGGGTGATCGTAATGGTTAAATCCATCCGCTCACACTTAAATGGAATGTGGTAATGAATGGCTGCGTGTTGCCAATGGAAACGTAGGTTATTGTTTTCTTCCTTTAGCGTTGCTCAGCAACGGTCCATTTACCTTTAGTCATTTGTCAAAGGCAAAATAACGTTCCTTTTGGACATTCAATGTTGTTTCTACGCCCTTTTGAAATGAAATGAAATTGTTTTTCCAAGTAGTACTTGTAGCATACTACACTACCGTCAAACAAGCGTTCATGGGGTGCAGAAAATCTTTATTCATCATAAATATTAGCGTGAAAGATCTATGACCTTGCGCCCACCTTCACGACACTAAGTACTTAATTCATGTACTAGCTATGTGCGCACTGTGATATTGTGCGGATATCGCCCATGGATTTACGGAGGAAGTAATTATCTGCACGAATATTTTACACTTATCAAAAGTTGACCGAGCTTCATTGTTTTTCATTTTTACTGACCTTTTACTGGCTAGTAGGTAATTCATTCTTTTCTCTTAACTACTTTTGGGTATATTCGTAATGAACAACGCTACACTTAGTCCTTGCTGTAAAAGTCTATTTCATTGGATTCGCTTTTAATCCCATTTATTGTTTAGTAAGCTGTGATTTTTAACCACGTGGGTGTCATCTGATGTATATGCTGAGAGAAACCGCTTAAAAACGTTCATATTATCAAAAAATCATAATAAACGGTTAGTCGTATTCTGCTGTACATTTAGGTGTCACTGGAGGAGCTAGCTCTTCCTCAGCCCCGGACATTCAGTCTTCAGAAGGTGGTGGAGATCTCTTACTACAACATCGGGCGCATTCGTCTGCAGTGGTCGCGCATCTGGGAGCACATAGGGCAGCACTTCACCACCGCTGGCCGCTCCGCCAACGAGGATGTGGCTATATTCGCTGTGGACTCTCTGCGGCAACTCGTAGTCAAGTTGATGGAAAGAGGTGAACTGCCCAACTTCCACTTCCAGAAGGAGTGCATTCGGTCAGTTCAGCACCATCAAACACCATTCCTTCCTAATTCTTCAAGTATGATGAGTGTTGGTGTGTGTAGGGATTGTCACAATAGTCACGAGCATTGTTTTCTGTTTTTTGAGACGCATACAACACTTGAAGTCTGGTCAATTTTGCAACTTGGTCTTGTCATTATTGCAATAGATGCTGCCCTTTTTTGGTAATTAAGTCAAATTACTTACTTAAATTGCTTTGATATTTGCAGCATATGGACATTTAGGTAACTGACCATGGTCTTGGAAGTTTTTCATTTTTGTTCGAATGCTGAAACCACCTCATCGTTTGCGTTTTATGCTTAGTGTGAAATTAAGCGATCAAAACTATGTTGCTTGATGCTATGCTTAAAGAATACATGAATTTGTACTGCCATAGAGTGATATTATTTCGTCTTGTCTATAGAGCTTGTTTTTGGCAGTTGGTGCTCTTCACTTATCCGTATTTATGCCTATTTCGTTTTGCCTCGATAGTCCACAACACATTCTGTCCACTTTTATATGTAAAGGTCATCTTAGCTCCATTTCAGACAGCAGTTACCGTGTTTCAAGGGAACTCTTTTCATGAAGGAACTCGCAAATGTAGCTTAACGCCGCGTTCTTTTTGCTTACTCCAAGAGTCCGTTTAAGTTTTCACTGCCAGGGTTATGGTCGTACATGTAAAGTCCAGTCCGCGTTTTATCAGTGCGCGTGTATGTTAGTTTTTTTTGGGCCTCAGTGAGTGGTAACGGCGTGAAAAATAAACTTTCGTAAATTAGAGATCACAGAAATGTATCGTCTTCAAGTGCCATCACACCTCACTTCCGACAGTGTGATAAACCGATTTGGGATCATTTACAACGTTGAACCAGAATCTTTTCTTAACAGTGCCCGCTTAAGATCTGCGTTACTTCCCATTCGTGTCACTTAGTCCCTTTGATAATATGACGTAATCTTCCTGCGTATTTGTAAAATTTAGGCTTCTTCACTTGCTAATTTTGCTTATTTTTAGCACCTTTCTGATTACCAATTGATATTTCCGGTTTTGTAATTATAAACATTCTCGCACTTAAATACCTTCATTACATTATTATCATCAGATTCCACTGCTGATTCACTGTTGTGCCTCTTCTTTCAGACCGTTCTTAAATATCCTGGACGACATAAATGAGGTGGAGCCCAGTATTCAGGACATGGTGGCTCGATGTGTCTTGCAATTGATCCAATCTCAGTGGCCTAATATTCGCTCCGGTTGGACCAACATCTTTCTTGTACTCTATACGGCTGCTGCATCCGCTGAGGAGGGTGTTATTGAACTCGCCTTCAGCTCTTGCTCCTTCGTTATCAATACCGTCTTTCCAAATAACTTCTACCTTCTTATCAACTCTTTCCCAGTATGTTCTCCTTTCTGTCCTACCACCAATCTATTTATAACATTGCTCTCTCTCCGAAGCCCACTGTAAATTTGGGTTCCATTTTCCAGTTTCTTGATCATCTACCCATTTTGATCTAGTGAGTTTGTTACACTTTAGTTTGAGAAGTACTCTCCGATTTGCTCCACCTTTTTCTGGTCATTTCTAGATGAGCTTCCTTAAATTTCCTGATTTCAAAAAGTTTATCTTGATTCACTTTTCCAGAGTTGTCGATGTGTAAGGAGCCTAATGCTTATTTTTGCTCTGTGGATAGATTTTCATAAAGGCTTTGGCGGAGTTTGCTTGCAACTTACATTTCCCTGACATCTCGATGGAGGCGATTCGACTAATTCGACTATGTGCACGCATCGTTAGTGAGAGGGCCCACCAGTTTTCTACGGAGGAATCTAACTTGTCCAAGAATGCTCCGGCTACTGAAACCGCCTCTTCCGAGGAAAATAAAGAAGACGATGCGCTCTGGAAACGTGGTTGGATGCCTATCCTCTACGAGCTATTCCGAATTATTAATAAGTAAGTGTGAAATCTGCTTGTAATTTTGATATTGTTCTCCTGTTTATTCATGCTTGTTACTTTGAGCTGTTTAAAAGAGATAATAATTAGCGTAGTACTTTGGTTTTTAACAATTTTAAATAGACTGTGACTTTTTATTTTCTAATTTCACAGACTCAAAAGATTTTTTTGCTCAAGTGCCTAATTAGGAGTGTGGGTTAACATCGCGCAATGCTGTGCAGAATTAAGCCTTAACAATAGTCTGGGTGAATGGTTGCAATGAAGCAACTAATTATTCCATGCGCAAATGTACCCGAGCATTCGTGGTTTTATGATTACAATACCTCTGAATACTGTTTATATTTAAATAGTGTGCATAATTTATCTCCTCAAATTCACTGAACTTCAATAGACTCCTCGCTTCATGCAAAGCGGATGAATTTATTTTACATCCTTTTTTTTTCCAAATCTTGTACGTTTTGTTGTTTTCATGCTCCCATACCCACATAAATCATTCTAGGCTGTTCTTGTATAGAGGTATTACTAATCCGTCTTGGTCTCGGGTCAGCAAATGTAACTTTCCTTATTTTTCATTTAGCAGAACACGCGAAATCATGTATCACCTATTTTCCCTTTTTTCCACACAGCTGCAAGTTGGACGTGCGGACGCGAGGTTTGACCGTATTTTTCGAGGTGATTAAGTCCTACGGTTCAACCTTCCACCTCAGTTGGTGGGTGCAAATCTTCAAGCTAGTCTTCTCCATCTTCGAGCATGGTCGTGACACCAGTTTGGGGGTCACAGCCCCCCCTCACACGGCGAAGGAAGAGCGTCTGCGACAGAACAGCCGTCATCGCCTCATCTCCGGTGACCAACTCGACGCCTTTACTGTCACATATCACGTCTTTACAAGCCCTGCTGATCGTAGTGAATGGCTCAACACGACGTGTAATCATGCTCTCTACTCGGTTGTGGACATCTTTTCTCAGTTCTTTGACCAAATCGGTGACAGTCTGCTTGGTAAGTGCATCTGATTCCCGCTTCTCCTCCGAAGTTCTTTGGAGACTGTGAAAGTGGTCGCTCATCATTAAAGATGAGGTCTGGATCTCGTTTATTTTAAAATAGTGCTTTTATGACACTTGGGATGCAGTGTCGCCTTACCTTTGAGGTTATATATTTGCAAGGATTTGACCTTCTCCTCTGCGATACGCAAACTGGATTGCGAGTCTCTGCATTTCTTCTATAAATTCTGCGTTTTATCGATAAAGTTGAAGGCACGAAATCCCTTTTTCATCGGCAGTACATTCTCTTTTACTCCTTTTCATTCTTTTAGTATTTACCGTGTGTGGAATGCATAATTGGCGTTGCGTCATTACTTATGCTACAAATTTTCTCTGACACACCACCATACCTTCACTTCCTTGTGAGAGCGGAATTTCACTCCTTTCGTTGTCGTCAAGATCGGGCTAAATTTGTTTTTCATTGAAACTTCATCACCTTAGTAATATTGGTTTTCCTACTCTAACTGCCAATCTACTTGGCAACGACATCCGTGCATATCATTATTGACGTCACTATATTTGATGATTTGTTTCAGCATAACTTAACACGCGCAATTGTTGTTGTAGCGAATCTCTACGAGCAACTGAAGTGGTGTTGTCTTCAAGATCACGAGCAACTAGCTCGATCGGGCGCTAGCTGTCTGGAGACCATAGTTCTCACAAATGGATCAAAGTTTAATGATGAGAAGTGGATAATGACCATCAGTCTTCTCGTGGATCTCTTCAAAACAACTGTCCCTAACGAATTACTCACCTGGCGTCCGGTAATCTTGGATTATTTGTCGTCTACCTTCAATATGTCGATTTTAGCAGCATTTCACTATTCTATCGCTGTAATGGTGCAATTAAAACAAGTGAATGACTTGCAGCGGTAAGATTGGTCTTTGTGATAGAAGCTTTACAGAATCTACCCACCTCCTACTTTGGAGTATGAGTTTTGTTAAATAGATTTGCACACATAATTGATAAACACCTTCCTGGATGTCAGTGATTCAGTGTCAAAGAAGCCACAAATGTTGTAATTCTGGTTTGGTCGCCAAGATGACTACCTACTAACTATCAACCGGAAGGCTTAATGCGGTCTGGTTTCTGTCAGGGTAAAAGCCGGTGTTCTTTGATATTCAGGTCCCGTGTTTTTCTTTTGCGAAAAATGATACATCAAGATCAGTTTTACCGCACTGTTGCATGCGAACAAAAACCAGGCAGCGATTACATTTGTTTTTTTATTAGTGGTTATGCCTCAATTGCTCACAAAACAATTGACTGTACACATCTCCCTTATTCAAAGAATATGCGCTTTGTTTTTTGGTCACTAAATTCCTTGAAAAAATAAATTTTGCTTTTTATTGTTTTTTTTCCTAGCTTACAATCAGCGATGAGACAGATTAGTCCGCGCATCATAGTTGATAATCCCACATAATGTACGAGTAAGTCTGTTTTCCCGGCGTAGGGTCCTACAGTCGACGGTATCGCGGTGGATGAGGCAATGGTGAAGCGACGCCAATCGGCATGCACCCGCCTTTTTTTGCGCCTCCTGGTCAACTGCATTGTGCAGTACGAGCTCATCCAGACAGTGGACAACATTCTGTTCTTTCCCTCGCGCAGCCGACAAGAGGATGCGTTGATTCTGCAGGAGACGCGTCGCTCCTCCGCTCAGCTGAACTCGCAGCTGCTGAATGGTACGGTGGATACATCCTCTGGCAGAGGCGCAAACTCCTCCCTTCAGGTGCACACCCCCGAGGAGAAACGCCTTCTGGAGGCTGTTGCTAAAGACGGGATCGCTACTTCCTCTACTCCCTCCACTGAACCTTCTGCATTACCCGATCTTGGAGGTGAGATATGATTATTTGCACCACTTGTAACGCACTATGTTCGATGCACATGCACACTTTTAAGTGGTTGTATCAGTGCCTGCGGATTGCGGTGCAATAGTACCAAGCCATTTGATTTAAATTGTTGACAAGTTACTTTCTGGGGGGAAAATTTTTATTGTTTAACGACATAGTAGTTCCACCTATCCTCGGAAGTCTTATTTTGATTAGTGTTTGGTTTCCTCGGATCGTTCAAGGAGCACTAATCGTCCATTTCTGTGCAAATGTTTTAAATAGTTTGTTTACAAGTGCTTGTACTGGAATAATTGGCCTGCCACAAACCACATTGTTTCTTATCTTGTAGTTGTGGAGGAACTAGTAAATGGAGCCTTGCCATTGCATAAAAAAGCAACTTTCCCCTACATTTCTTACGATCATCGTCTCACGCTCGTTCACTGCCTCATGGAATCACACAAGTTCGCTAAAACCTTTAATTCCAATATGGAACAACGGAATATCCTATGGGAAGCTGGTAGGTTGAATTGAACCCCTTAGATGCAGAATTTTGGTTAAGGGAAGGTATATTTTACACAATTTTTGTTACCTTTGAATTTGAACATGAAGGAGTTAACAGTGCCCACACAACTTGCTTTTGTATTTGTTGTCCTCAAAGTAATTTGAAACTCAATAAACCACATGGTGCCATGCCGCTGATTGAAATTCTTGATGTTGAAATCTTAGTGACAATCTCTTGAAATCTTGATTTAATCGTTATTAATCCCGAAGCATTACCATAAACTCTCAATCATTCTCATTCCCTAAGATTACTTCTTACTCTTTCAGGCTTCAAAGCAAAGGCTAAACCGAATCTCCTGAAACAGGAGACCCACAGTCTTTCCACAGCTCTTCGGATTTTGTTCAAAATCAGTGAGGAGAAAAATGAGCGTCAACAGGAAGTAGGTTTACGTTGACGTTCAGCCCTTTTTCGCTGTTAAGAGTTCTCATTCTTATAGTCTAGTTCAGTTTCTCAATGCTTGTCATTGATTTCACGGAGAATACCCTCTCGCATATTTTCTTAGTTGATTATTTGTTTCTCCCAAAGGTGACAGAGATGCTGCAGAAGACGATAGAGGAGGCAATCGCCTACTACCGAGGCCTTCCCGTAGACGGCCACCGCCAGGCCTGGGACAGTTGTCTCCTGCTGACCCTCACGCGTCTGGTTCACCTCTCGCCGGACAGTAGATTCGCCTCTATTGCGACCCGTCTCTATCCCACCGTCTGTGACCTCGTCGGACTGCCAAACCTCTCGCCAGAGGTTTCTGTCCTCCTTCGGGCTTTCCTGCTTCGTAAAAAGACGTAGTGTGTGTGCCAGGGCAATGTGCCCCTTTCCCCGCCGTTTCAATCCCAAGCTCTTCTTTCATGCGGCTGTGTTTGCATCTTAAGATTTGTAACCGTGCTCCCATTATTGTTTCAATGACTGATTCGTGACCTCAGTTTGCCTTTCTTTTCCTCTCCTCCTCCACTCTATATTGATCCCTCTTTTCCAACTTATTTAGCTGTGAACATTGCTGAATTATACTGCTGGTGAAAGCAATGTGCACACTCACAGGTCTTCGAAAATACTGCCAGTGTGATGATAACCCATTGGGAACGTTAGGAGTCATTGGTGTTGATGTGTGCGTCAGGTGAGCGCAGATTTGCATTGACACTGGTCCAAACCAGCCCAGACCAGTTATAGCATGAATGGCACCAATGCTAGCATTCCAGTAATCCTTGATAGGAGGTGTAGGCTCAATATATGACTGTCTACTTGAGCGCTGCAGCGAGCAGGCGTTAGTTACAGTTCTCAATGCGCAAGATCGCAGAAGTCCAATTTCCAGACTGGTGGCTCATGTTAGGGGCACCACTAGTGCCCAAATCACTCTATACACCTATACCGAGGTTAGTTCAAGAGCTACGAATTTTATAACTTAATTCTAGGATGGTATTGTAATGCTTTCGGTTAGGCAAGCGAAAACTCATTTTCGCGCAGTAAATATATGGCCGATAAATGCACCAATTTCTGCAGTGTCACAAAACGAATTGAGCACAGCATATTAAGAAGCACAGATTTCACAAGTAAACTGTAGCACTAGCCTCGCTTATCTCCTTTTTCCTGGCCTTCATACCCTTAGAACGGCGAGACTGATTGGATTTGGATATATATTTCGTCCAGCGTTGATGAAGATAGATACAGGTTTAGGGGAAATTGGACACAGGGCTCTTCTCCTTATAGGAGATGCTGACCACATAACCACGAGGTTCGACTCGGTCACACGCTTCCTCTCTAAGAGGTCTCTTGGTACAACATAGGTATTACACATAGTATTACACATGTATTGCAGTGCCTGCATGTAGCAATGAATCACGCCGGTACGAGAGGCAATCTTATCGCCAGTTTACAAAAACACTAGCTCCACAAAAGTCTGCCGACCTTCAGCAGAGGCCAAAATGCTCGTGTAGCTAAGTATTAAGTCTAAAAACACCAGAAAAAATACTTTATCATAGATACGTCTTCTTATATTTGTTGCTATATAACATCACAAGTTCTGACTAAACCACTAAAAGCAAGGTAAAAATAGACATTCTTCTAAGGGTTTAAAATATGGTTAGCACGTAGCTCTTATTTTTACTTTACGAAACTTAGGTGATCAGCAAACTACTCTCGGTATTATATACTGAAACACCCACATTTTCTAGGACTCAGCGTCAACGTAAAAAATCGCTGCAAAGTTCCTCTCATAATTGCCACAATGTCAGAAGCAAATGTTTATTTACAGGGAGCGATATTCTTTTACCTTTTATCAGTTGGCTTAGTCCACTATAATCTAATTGGTTGCTTGAGGTGCTAGTATGCCAAATATCTACCGCAGTGGCGTGAGGTGTAATGGCCAGATACGAAATGCCAATAATCATAAAAGCTTTGGGGGATGAAGGTGTAAAAGCAGCTCTCAAGCGACACATTCTCCGCCTCTTAGATAATGACCAGGTCATCTTTGACGTGAAGAACTTGGGGCTTAAACGACTACCTCAAGTTTATCGTGCTGGGGGCGAAAAGCAGTATGAAGGTCACTATTTCCTCTTTAACATAGATGGCCCCATTGAAGGACTCAGAAGAGTGGCGGTATTGCATACTTCCATGTCATGACTCCTTCTAGACGCTATCCCAAAAAGATAACGGGATCATTAAGTGCCACTCCTGCAAAATTGATGATGGGTGGCGTCCCCCATGTAAGGCTCCAAATGCTCCCGCATGCGAGTTCGGCGAGATCCGGAACCCAAACTACGAGAAGACAGCAAAGACTAGACACGGGTTCCGCGCTTTCTAGGGCTTACTCAGTGCCGCACATCGGTGGCGAAGCCCACCCTTCCGCCCCCCCCCTTGGTACCATCACCCCCTGTTCATGCTAAACACCCGAACTTGGACAGCTTTCCCCACTTTAGGCCTGTGCTGGAGTTAGTACATGACATCTGTACAAAATCCGACCCTTGTTTCCAAGCGCATAATTAGCGGAGCAGAAAGCGTTCACCGGTTTTTACAGACACTGATAAATGCAAATGAAGCTTTGTACAAATCGCTTATTTAAGGTAAATGACGCTTTACACCTATTTGGGATTTTTTGGTTTCTTTGCCCTGTTCCCAGACTTCTTCGAGAGTTGATAGGGTTGCAGTTTAGCTCGTTTGGGTTCAGGACCCTTTGAATACTTGATAGAGAAGTCCGGACCCTTATCCGCTTTCTTTAACGAAACTGTATCGTTTCCTGTTCTGTCAACTTTAATTTTGGTAGGAATTTCCCTCGTCTGACCAGATGGGTCACTAACGACCTTGCCGTCTTCAGCATTTGTATTTTCGCAACGGCATTTCTTATTCGGCTTCATAACCTCTTCGCTTCCCTCCGGTGCTTTGCGTTTCAAATCTTCATGCGAGGCCTCTTCCTTCACCGTTTCCCTCGCTTCAGCCTTCTCCTTGGACTAAAACGGGCAGATAGCTATGCTTGAACCCAACATTTACGTGAATCATTTGATATAGTCAGATGGTTACCTTAATCAAAAAGTTGACAGAAATCGGTACTCCCTTCAAAAGAGTGCCGTGGAGCTCCACGAATGCCTTTTGAGCCAATTCGCGGGTCCGATATTTCAAAATACAAAATCTGAAAAATTGAGTGCCAGTTCAAATTAAAACTAGTGAAGACAAACAGAATGAAACCTGATTTTAAGGCAGCCTACCCCTTAGATGTACCATCCGGAAGGCTTTCATATTTAATCTTGTCTGCAGTGCGAAAGATCTGGGCGAGAGTCGTGCGCTCTGTTAAGCGTGGAAGACACGAGACATAGAGGGTGGTCAGGTCAAAGGCATCTAGTTCCCGCTCCTCCGGTGATTTCCAGTCAGCTTCCACCCGGGGAGGTCTTTCGCTGCACAAGATCGCCTTGATCGCTTTCCCACCCACAAGCTTCCCAGTCACCTCTTTTGCCGCTGCTTCAGCTGCTGTCGAGGAAGCAAATTTGATGAAGGCATATCTAGAAGGAAATAACGAAACAAAAGAATGAGACGGATGCGTTAGCCATCAATGTTTGGGTCACCAGGAGTAAAAAACCGATCGAATGCATCCAGCACTACAAACGCGACCGGAAGCCCTGGTTACAGTACCTGCAATTCTGCTTCGACGGTATACGCACAGCTACTGACGTAGGACAGAGATCCCGGAGCAGAAGAGGGGGACAGGTTTTCGGTACTGGCGATACCCTGATGGTCTTAGCATTTTGATCACCTAATAGAATTTAAAACGGTCCCTGATGGCTAGCACTTTATCGTGGAGGAAATGGTAGGGGGGGGGGGGGGGAGAGCACATTATTACGGGTAAAGCTGCCCCTACGTAGATGGTTTAGAACATAGTTATAATTTGATGAAGTAGACTTGGGGTACTACAAAAGATGCAACTAAACATACAAATGCGTCTTCTGATCTCAGCGAGAAGAGATGCATCATCCAGGTTCTCATTAATTTCTCCTAACTTTCCAGGGAGAATAATCGAGGAGGGCAGTTTCGGTTCCTAAAATATTCAGTAGATGTGCCAAAAGCCGCCACTATTGTAGGGAGTACAGCGACAACAGCACAGAGATTCACAGGAGGGAACTTCGGCAGCTTACTGACCTTCAAGGCACTTTTGGCCCCATTAAGTGATTTCTTTTTCAGATTAGTCCCAGGAGATTTTGAGAGCTTATAAAATGCAGAAAACAATAATAAATGTGCAATAGTGGACTTTGGAGCAGTTTTAACTTAAAAATGCATGAGCATGAAAAATTGTGTAGATAAGTGGGTTAGTTATAAAATAACAGATAAGATCAATACCAAAAAATAGAGACCAATATGACATCACCGATTTGAAGGAATATCAACGAGGACGATAATGGGACGTTGGTACTGCACTCATGAATGTACCTTACTGGAAGCTTCTGATCTGCTAATTTTACTTTCCATAGGTTTTTCTGCAGGACGATAGTTCATTTTCCCCATGATCGGTCTGTAAAAGTTGGATCAACAGATGCTCCGACTTCTGAGTATGGTAGTAGTTCAAGGAAATATTAAATGGAATGGGGCCTAGAAGAGAGTCAAACTGAACAAACCATATGAGGCGCTAATCATGCCAAAGTTATCTGCTAGGAGATAGTTTAAAAAACGCAAGATTCAAACGCCCAGAAAACATAAACATTGGCGTAGTCGCTAAAGTGGTCATTACTAATAAAGGCCTCAGCTAATATCAGTCCAGCACTTTTACTCAACCATCACATTACTGATGACAACAAAGCCTACCGAAACTAGACGGCGGCTGCACGTGAAAGATCTGCACGACCGTGATCAGCCGATGCAAATCACATCCTTTAGATTCATATAAACAAACTAAAAATTATGCATCTACAATTATAAAAATGCTGTCACTAAAAAAAAAACTTGTACTGCAAACTTGGCGTAATTATGCAAAAGAGTGCTAGACTTACGAGACACAGCATTACCGTCTGACAACATGTGCATTTGTTTATTAATGGAAATGAGAAATCTGCATTCTAACCAACGCAATAATTTATAAACCATAGGACAGTCTAATTTTGGACAATGCTATTATAACAAGTCCAAAAAGCACAATATCTAACGAAGACAGCACTCGAATTGAATGATGAGCCTGATGCTACACGCACCACGTTAAGAAGATTTACTGGTATTGGTGAGCCATCACGTTTAGACTTTGAATTAACCTTTGTGTAACTAGCTGGGCAAGCTGGCCTTTGCGCTATGCCAATAGCCCAAACACCTCTGTGCTGAATATATAATCTGCCCGAGCATTGTGTCCATTTTCGTCTTCAGAGAAGTCTTGGAACCCTACAGTACAACGTCCTTAACTTATCTCCTTTTATGCGCCTTCATACCCTTTGACCAAAACAATTTGACTAAGACACTTTTGTTAATTAAATTCAAAGAAAACATGTGCAGTTTTACGGGGTTGGGCCACAGCTCTTATCTGCTTCAAGGAATTCCGGCCTATTCTTAATCACAAGGTTAGAGTTAATTACCCGATTACTCTCTAAGATCCACATTCAAACAATATGAGCATTGCTAAAAAGCTTTGGTAAGTAATCTTATTCTTCTTGTGATAACTTAATCGTTCTTTTATTTTCGCTAGGAATCCCACTGTCGGCAGTTTATAACTCTATTCTGCTGGTTTCTTGTCAGGTAAAGCTAGTTTTCACCCAAGCAATTCAGACACCTTCATTACATTTGTAATACGATGGTGGTTTATCCCTCGGTTCCGGTGAGGCGCCACTTTTGTACTTCGAATTAGCCCCCTTGTGCCTCGCTGGGTGGGCTGGCCTTTTGGGCCATGCCAATAGCCCGGACACCTTCTCCGTGCTGAATATATATATTCTGACCGAGTATTGTGTCTTCTTTCGTCTTAAGGGAGTCTCGGGACGCTACACATTTTTGTCCAAATGCAGAGTGAAACGTCGCTCATGGTAGAATAGAAGTAATTTGTTTTGCTTGATATTTAGTGTGCACCAACTTCTCGAATAATCGATAAACCAAATTGAGTTACTAACCTGATCTAATTTGTACCTTTTTCTTTTAAAAACTTAGATTTAGATAAGTGTTTCTTACAAACTCCGCTGCTTTAGTTGAAGCTTCCTGGGTTTCCCTTGAGGCCTCTATGTTCAAACATAACTTTTGAAGATCTCCTTTTTCATTAAACATATACATGTATGTATATCTGACCTTTGTTTATTCTTGATTACAGTCCCTTATAAAAGCGCATTATTGTGCTGCGCGAAAATCGATTGCACGTAGATTGTTGGTGGAATAAAATTGGTACTTTCTATAATAGGCGTCAAACCTGCGATGTATTTCAAGGGAAGAGACACTTCTGTAGAGCTGCAATAGGTTGTCCTTTAGAAAATTGGATGAGCTGCGGTTAGAACAGAATCTTCTGGCTAGTACACGAGTTTAAAAACCTGTCCCATCTTTGCACAGTGTTAAAGTATGTATCAAAAGTACCAAAGGCATGTATTACCAACTCACAAAAAACCCAAAATGCTAAGAGATTAACTCCAAGGCAGGAGGATAGGACTTCAGCGGCCCAAAGCGCAGTTAAACAAGATCCAGATCACTTCAGCACTGGTTACAAATGCAAAGTTGCAGAGTCTCTCAATATATTGGCCAGATTACAGAAGTCTGGACAAGGTGACATTTTTTTCTAGTTTAGAACAGTATATATGGTAATTACAAATAAACGTACGATATTGTGAGTCTTACGAAGTAAGATTATTGTCCTAATTACGGTTTTTAATTCCCTTTTTTTACTAAGAGACGTTTGTCAGCATAGGTGCACAAAAATATTGGCAGCATTTTAGTGTTACCTAAAATCTAATTTTACCAGTGTAAATTTTTTATTTCTTATTAGGATACTTTATGTTAATCATTTACAGGAGTGCCGCTTCAAATTCGTTTTGTAGGTGCGATGGTGAAGGCTGGTGACGTTCGTTCATTGTTCATTTATTCTCCTTCTAGTTACCAATTTACAATAGTCTTATTGACGAAAGTAAGGAGTATATCCTCGTGCCCAAGCCTGATTCCAAATTGAGGAGTGGCCTACATAGACTTATCACACCAACTCGCCAGTCGGTTATGCGTTGGTACGGAGCAACAGAGGTACGAAAGTCATCTATTCCGATTTTCTTAGACAAATGCACAAAAGTCAGCTAGATTCCTGGTTGAAAATTCGATGGGTTTGTTGCTTTTTTATTTTATGTTAATCTATCGCAGCCATCTGTAGACGTGTGCATGAGGATCCGGTTGTGCTTGCTCGAGCGGGTTTTATCATGGTGTGCGGCCTAGGTGGTGTCGTTCTTGGTGGCAGAGGTAAGTCACTTTTCTCTATCTACTAAACTGATAGGAGTCCTGCGTCAATTTGCTTATGGTGGTCTTGGTGTGGGTTTTGGGACTGTTATGTGTTACCCTTCCAGTTCACTTAAGGCGATGGACTATGCTTGGGATTCTACTACAAGCAAGTTGATTGAGGCGTCAGAGGTGATAAAGCGGAAATACAAACGTAAGTGTCATTTTCTACCTATGCCGCTTTTGTTTGGGTTGGCAGTCATCACTTTCTACTTTGAATCTTGATTATTCTACGCTGGGTACTGTTTGAATGTTTGCTCTATATTTACGGAAGCGCATTGTTTCTGTAGGGCTGCATCTAATTTTCGTGCTTTTCCATTTGTAGGTTAAAGGACATCCACGAAACTTAGTCCATACAGTTTTGTAGATTACAATGCAACTACCCAAATTATGTAATTCGGAGCTACTTAGCGCTACCTCTACACTTGTTTTATTTTCAGCAGCTCTGATAAAGTATTGGGATTGAATTAAATTTCCTCAGTTTTATAGTTTAAATTTCCTTATCCCGCGGCAAAATTTTTTGGTCCCTTTATTGTTTAGCCACATCGTTTACCTGAATACATGAGATCTCGATAAGTGTATTCTCCCTATGGGGAACTTTGCGTTGTGGTGGTGATCTACTAATGGGCGTTCGGTAGTGGATTTGGTTTGCATCGGCGTCAGTGGAGCGCCCTGTGGAGGCGGTTTGCAAATTTCTCGGGTCGGGGACGTTTGGGCGCACGAACGCCTGGTTTTGCAGGTCGGCGTGCGGTCGCGAAATGTGCAACTGTCCGGGGGAAAAGTGTCTACAAGTACTCTGAGGGAGTGTTGGGGTTGTTTTCGTTCCGTCCACTGTGGGGGGCGTGCCTAGTAGGGGTGACCAAGGGGAATGGGGATAGCTCAGGAGCTGGTCTGCCGGCTTGTGGTACTGTGGTCGAATACCGCGCCTTTCAGTTAAGTTAAGTGAGTCAAGATGCACGATACTGTTCTGTTTAAGAAATCGGCTCGTAAGGACCTTGATTTTACAAGTCTACGGCAAAGAATGGTTCTCGAAACTCCTTTAAAACCTAATGGATTAGCTGCACATAAGAGCAGCAATCCGTACTGCCTAACGATCATTCGCAAAACAGCAAAATTTTTAAGTATGCTAGTTAGCCCATAATTGCTAAAGCTCTTTTTTGAAATGAACAACATTCAGTTGTTTTAGTTGACCACCTTGCCACCCGCTCGTCTAAATTTAGTTTCTAGGACTTTTCTAGTTTTTGTTGCTAGAAGTGATGGCGTACAAAGGAGGCAAGCCAACCCAGATCGTTATTACCAACGGAGGCGACAAGGAGAATTCAATTGAACTTGCTGAAAGCGCGCTCTCTAAGATCCTGATGGAGCCGTCTACAAGAAATAGAAAAGTTGTTGTTGTATCCGTTGTGGGCACATTTCGCAAAGGGAAGTCTTTTCTTCTGGATTTTTTCCTACGCTACATGTATTCCAAGGATAAAAGTAACTGGCTGGGTAGCCCTCATGAGCCATTGACGGGGTTTCACTGGCGTGGAGGAGCTGATCGCGACACTACTGGTATTTATATATGGAGTGAACCTTTTTTTGTCAAGCTTTCCTCTGGCGAAGAAGTTGCCGTACTTTTCCTGGACACACAAGGTTCATTTGATTGTAGAGCTAATATGAAGCAGTCGGCTACTATCTTTGCACTTAGTACCATGTTAAGCAGCAAAGAAATCTTCAATATTAAGGATAACCTGCAGGAGGACTATCTGCAACATCTACAGTTCTTTACGGAATATGGAAGAATAGCTCTTGAAGCCGGATATGCCCAGACACCTTTCCAGGTACACACTCCTAGTCGTGACTATTTTTTGTTAACTTTTGACTATTATTGTCACATTTGAAATATGAATTTTCTTTACTAAATCTTTTAGCATCTTGAATTTCTCGTTCGTGATTGGGCATTCGCTTATGAACATCCTTATGGCAGCAAAGGAGGAATGGAACTTCTTAATAAGCGTCTCGAAGTACGTCATTCTGTAAATGCGATTTCGTTAATTGGAGTATGCACACTTGGTGAAGTGGTCATGCTTCCTTAAATTTATAATATCCGATCTAATGCGGGATACTGTTGGTAATTTCTACTAGTTTTGAGTTCATGTGACGTAAATATCAGAATTGAAATGTTCTTATCGTTCTATTTTATCTATGCACTTTACTTGTTTTTACTCGCTCGGAATTTTGGGGAACTTTATATCATTGCTCAAATTATACTGTTTTGCTTTAATTATGCATTCTTTGTATCTACCTTCCGCATGTAATAATGCCCACTGATCAAGTGATTGATTTGGTTTATAACTAGGGTTGCTTTCCTACAATTATTCAACAAACTTTCTCCTGTTTGTTGCCGCATGTGATTTTATTACAGCCTGTAATAATACTGGTAACTCCTTTTTTTTATCGCCTGTAAGTGTTTTGGACAAAGTTAAACGATGGATTAGCTATATTGATTTTGCTCCACTTTTTAATGTCAAGTACAAGTCTGTAGACCTCGCCAGACTTTAATTTTTTTCTTTTTCAATCATCCTATTTCTTTATGCCTTGTTATACCTGATGTTTTAGATCGCCATGCAACACCCACATCTCTCTGGTTATTGTTTTTATTCTAGTTTGAGGTTGTTATATTGCTGAACTAGCTTTTAAGGTTCATTGGTATATCTAATATTCGTCTTCGCCATAGAATGCGCTTACTTTAATACTTTAGACACGGTTGATAAATTCTATTCAACATAATAATGACGAGTAGCTACCTCAATTTTCTTTACCATTTATCAATTAAATAAATCGTCTTCTGTATACAGTGTTTTGATACACTAGATCCGCATTAGCACATGATCACCTACAGTACGCTGACAAGATTAAATTGACTCTAAGAACGATCTTGACTGCTACCTCCGAGTTATGCAGTTACCTTTTGGTGTGAGCCAGCATAAAAGCCGGGATCGCTAGCGAACCACGATTACAGAGGCACACTAAGGCAGAATAATCACTCGATTGGTACATGTTTTTGCCTTCGGCCTAATCATTCTTCTGCATTTTTTAACTTTCCTACGTTTAATATTCCGTCGTTTCTTGATAATCCCCCTTTAAGTGTTTTTTACTGGCTTAGATAATGATAAATGTACCTTTGTTCAGTTTATTCACCTTCTTGTATCTTATGTTTGTGTTGTTTACCTTGGTAGGTTGATGATGATATGCCAAAAGAAAATATATCATTACGTTCACACATAAAGTCGTGCTTCTCCGATCTCCAATGCTACCTGATGCCACATCCTGGACTAACCGTGGCGAATAGCCCCACTTTCAATGGTCGTCTCACCGACATTGACCCAACTTTTCTAAAACAACTGCAGGATTATGTTCCTCATATCCTCTCGCCTTCGAATCTCACCGTAAAGAGCATCAACGGGCAGGCCGTAACGTGTTGTGAGCTGATGGAATACTTCCGAGCCTACGTGAAAATCTTCCAAAGCGGTGAATTGCCTCAACCGGTTTCCATGTATGCTGCAACCGCGGAGGTAAACAATCTGAATGCCTGCAATCGAAGTCGTAGCCTCTATGTACAGGAAATGAATATGGTGAGCCGCTTCTTCTTACTGACCTTATGCGAAATCAAGAATCTGAGTGCAAACCCGTGGTCGTTCCACGCGTGGTGAGGTGCGCGCGTTTGTCGGCGCATACAATCAAAGGATTGTTTTGATCGAAGTGCCGCTAAGTCTTGTCTGCTTGGGTCTAGATGCACATCACATTGCCATGTAATATAACGTGTAGCATTTACACCCTTTCATGTGTTCGAATAAAAATCGTGCTTGTAGGCTGCTAATTATGTACAAGTAAAAGGACCTCTCATTTGCTTTATCTCCCAACTTTTTTTGACAGAAAATACGTCTGTCCGCTTTCAATATTTTTCGAGTGCAAGGATTGATTCAATGCTCTTTTTTTCAACTGAATGGATTTTTTTTGATGTTTCTGATGCCACCATTTTTTCAATATTATTAGCTACCTGGACCTCTATTTTCTAATTCATTGCATGATACGTGTTTATTTGTACGCACTTTCGAGTAATTGAAAAACGGTGTCTTACGGAGCCATTGTGAAACTTGGCTTCACCATTTCGGGGAGAGATGAAAACTATACTGAAAGTGTAGCACATTTCGGTTATGTACCTGTACTGCGTTTTCATGGGCTTCATTTGCTTTAATTTTTAAGCTTTTACTTAAGACTAAGAATAACAGACTTGGATTTATGCTTCCCTAAACTAACGGTGTTAGCTTTTAAAAAGAACTGAATACTTTTACCGAATTCTTGCCAAACTAACGCAGCTGAGAAATGCAAGATGAAGTTTATTGTCATCTGTGCAAGTATACACCCACTACACTTCTCTCTTGACTCGCTACTTCGGGCATTTTAAAGTGTAATATCTTAAGGCCATTAAAGACAATTGCAGCGATACTGAGTTCCCTACCATTCTGTCCCTGAACTTAGCACATGCCCATCAGTTGAAAATATGAACAAATTTTATCCAGATCTGGAACTTTTATTTCTCAGGTTTGTGGACCTCGGCGGCCTTTTGTGTCATCTCGAGTTCTTGAAGAAGCTCATCACCGGTGCCAGGAGAAGGCTCTGAAGGAGTTTAGAAAGACGCCGAAAATGGGTGGTGAGGACTTAGCCGAAAATTTTGAAAAGAAGCTGGTGCAGGAGATTGATGAACTCTACAATAACTACAAAATGTCAAATCAAAACAAGAATACAGTTGAGGTTGTTTGTTACTTTCTTTCGAAATTAACTATTTTGTGCAATACCATACTCTGCGTATATGGCGAAAATTATGCTTCTTAGCTTCAATCCGAACAGCTGCTCACCTCCTACTCTCCGTTTCACTTTGTATTTTTGTTTAATATTTTAGCACTTTAAGACTCCCATGGTCCTCTTGACCGTCATTTTCATCTTTTACCTGATAACTGGTTTTCTGGATGCAATCGGTCTTACAATGGTCTCCAACGTTCTGGTCTTCCCCTTCTGGTTGCTGCTCGCCGCCTTGGGCACGTGGATTTTCGTCCGATGCACCGGTAGTGGCCCCGAATTCGGTGAACAAATTGATCGCGTTGCACAAGGGATTGTTGATAATGTAGGGTCAATTTGGCGGTTGCTATTGCCTTGATAATCTTAATATTGGGTAGGTTACTAAATGCAAACTTTATGGGACTTGTGAAAGGTGGCCTCAAGTGCATTTTGATGCGGTTATGGCAAAAATTGAGTTCTTCTTGTTAGCACTGCGCTTAAGGTCTCTGTCACCTTAAGCACGGAAAACTTGTATGCTCGAGCACTTTTAACCATAGACTGCGCAGCACCACTCATTAAAAGGATCCTCATCGTCGTATAGGAAGATTTCCATGATGGAGTTTTGAGACGACGATTTCCTCTACAATTTGCATTAAATTTGCGTTGAATGCATACTGATTTCTTGGGTAGTTAGAATGCATACAAAGTCGTGTTTCAGGACATATTCTGTTAAAGCTGGCTCATGCTTATGTGGATTGCATCTGTGAATTCACCTAACCGTCGTCGGATGTCTATTTGTCCGTTAATATTTAATTTGTGTCATTCTTTTGCTTCCTGTGATAGTAATCCCACACTTAAGTTGAGTGTAATTGCCAGGTTTTATCTCCATCACTGTTTTACTTGTTATTCGCAATAGCTTAAGTTAGATGCGCTTCGCGAAACGAAACAGTTCAAATGTTATTTATGTTTCGTAAACTATGCAAGGTAAATCTTCACTGTCCAAATACCATGCTTGTATTTGCTGCATAGAAAGGCGTTTACTTGCTGTCCACGTTCACCTAACTGAGCAATTTGTGTGATTATTACTGACCAAAGCTTCTTCGCTGGCTAAAATAAGCGGCTGCGTCCATAAATGGTAAATCTGTGATAAATGGGAATGACAGTTGAAGCCTTGGTGCATTGCCACCCTAAGTGGTCGTTTCTGCAAAGTGCATCGAGACACTGACTTGGCTACAAATACCCTTGGTAAAAGCAAGTTTTCTTTACACAGCCTTGTTGCTTGGCGAATTTCACACACGTGCTTTTGCTACTTTTTTCTATCAAGTTGCATGGGTGCTTCCCACTATTGTTATTATCATTACTTAAAGCACTTCAATGTTCGACTTTCAGGTTTTTGTTCCAACAGTTGCGCAAGTTGGCCAAAAAGTGGCTGAGAAGACTATCGGTGTTTCACCCCGGATATGATCCCCGCCTAGCCGACTTTTAGTACGCTTTGCTGTCCCCTTTTCCTCTATGCTCACGGCGTTTTTTGGCAGGGCAGAGTACTGTTGAAGCGAATGCTAAATACTTCTTCCATTTTGACTGTCTTCGCACATTCAACTCCATACTCATGACTTCTCTCTCGCTTGTAAAAATTTCCATTTCTTCCTGCTTTCTCCCAACGATTTCCGATCCCCCAATCCACCACGAACTTGTATATTGCCACATCAAATTCTCTATGGTATAATTAACTTGCCTTGTTTATTTCTGTTGCCTAACTAATGGCAAATGGAATTGCAATTTACAGCTTAGTGCTACCTTAACCGTGAAAATGTGGTAGCTATGGGAGGTGGGTTTGATCGGTGATCCTAGAAATCCTGCGCATTTGAGGTGATCAGTCATTCTCTGTTGGTGTGTCATTAGACGCGAAGTCAAGGTCGCATCGTGCTGCTCACTGTCATCAGACGTCTGGGGAGGCCATATTAGGCTGTGTGATTGAATTTGGCCTTTTTTAGGTAGAGTTAATGTAAAATCTGTCGGATTCCAGGGCTTAATTACAATTATATCGAACTGTTTGATTAACTGAGTGAGCATATGAACCGTCAGATTTTGTACAGTCGCCTCCCAGCACGGCCCTCAAACCATACTAATGGCCTTTCAGTCCTTCTATGTTTTGTGTATACATGCTGCTCTACACTAATTTGACTTGCTACAACTTTAGCGGAGACTTGTGACGGTACTTTACATAACCAGGAAACATTCAGACACTGCATATAAAGCGAGTGTTATCCCTAAAAAAGGATGTATGTGTAGAAAACTGAAAAATACCAGTGCAAGTAAGTTCGATGATATTTTCACCGTCAATATTATTGAGCATCCCCCCTGTCGAGAGAAGCACCATGGGAATATTCAATCCCCGAAGATGTCTAGAAGATGGATGTAACCATCTAAATATCCATAAAGTTCCATCAAGTGAGAGTGTGGGGCGTAAACATTCAGCATTTTAAGTTAGACATGATCGCATACTATAGTCCTCACTTCTTGCTTAAATCAGTTGAATTTATTTTGTTTCATCTTGAAAACTACAGTATTGAAATATACAAGGATTCTTAATAAAACTGTACTTGAGTATGCTATAGAACTCATGGTCAGTGCCCCAAAATACCCAAGATTCTGAGTCTTCACACTTCAATCGCGTCTATAGAATTGGTGTGCTTTCATTCTAGAACATCTAGTGCCAGTATTTGCTTTTTAAATAATTTTGTGAAGAACTAATAATTTACTTGTAGTACTGAAAAATGGACTACAGGGTCTAGGCAGAAACAATCTACAACCACCTTGTTTATAATTGTGGTACAATTTCCACGCAACCAAATAAGCCAAATTGGTAGGGGTTGGGGTGATGACTGATCGTAGCAAGAAGTTCGAACAACTGGAAGAGCACATTGAAAGTGTCATCGATCATTGTCGTGAAGCCGGTATAATAGTTTGTGACTATCAACCTGGTGTCGCATTTCACAAAAAAATTAATGACTTGGTTCTGAAATTGCGGGTAAGATCATAGATACCGACGAGTATCACGCTTCCATATTCAATAAGGTTATTTAGCGGTAATCTCATGATTATCCCATGAATTAATCGATTGGCGAAAGATTGTGGTTCGGCAGTAGGTCCCCGATTGTTTATGCATACCTGCCTACAGGTTATTCCTGGTTTGTGAATTTCTTAATGCACAGGAAGCATAGATGATTTTGGACCTCTGTTACCGTAGTTTGCACAGGACCTTCTGTAAATCCATTATATTTTATTTGGAAGAATATGTCATTCCAAGGTATTTAATTGAGGCTGTTTTACCAGGCACTTTCATGGATCGACGTGACTACCACATCACCACCACTACTTTTCAGGATGTCGATCGGATGCAACAGGATGTGCAGGATGTCCTCGTGCCAATCGCGGTATTCTCCAAGATTGACGCCGGCCAGAATCCCCAAATATACAGCAGAGAGTGCATGGAACGTGTCATAGCTCACAATGAAGTGGTTCGTGGGAAGCTGGAGAGTCTCCGTCGCTTTCGTTATCTATTAATGGTGGAACTATCAAAGCGATTCCCCGGAGAGATGGCAAATTACCGATCAATGCGCGATGATGCTGAACCTTCCCAACAGGGTTCGCAAGCAAACTCGAATGACAATCTCCTTCAAACGGGCGGGTCCAGCTCGGACACCGGACTTGAGTCAATCCTACCACCCGCGCGATGAACCCGGCAGTACCCATCCACTGCGAGCAGATATTTTAAGACGAAATTCTTTTTTGCTGCCTGTGGACAAATGACGCGAATCAGAGCATTTTACAATGACTCCCTCTTCGCTTTTAATTAACCCTGATAGTGCGTTTGCGGCCTGCTTTACGAATATCGCATCACGTATCTGCAGTAAACAACCTGAACAGTAATGGCCAGTTCGTCAGAAGACGTGCCGTGTCATAATATGGCATTGCTTTTATTTAAAACTAGTTGCTACGCAGCACATATGTAGGCATCCCAGACATCTGGGATGGACTGCAGAATCAGCTGAAGTCCCAGTGAACTCTGGGTGCAGTGTTCTGAAGCACTGTATGGGTCTCCGTCTTGAGGGCCTCGCCGGTGTAGAAAGGATCCATATTGGTATCCGGGAAGTAGGTAACAATGATTTCCGGGATCATCTCATCGAAAGGAGGTAACTTCTTCAAGGCCTCCTTCTAGTTAAATAAAAAGCAGATTAGACAGCTGGCTGGTAAATCGGAAGACGGCATCACTTGCACCGACCATTCTGGTAGCGTCCGCTTTCATACTCTCACAGGCCGTGACATGTTTCTTAACCAGAGCACTCTAAGAACAAAATAAACCACAGGAAGCTATGTTACCATCCTGGTTGCTTGTTCGTCAACCGACTTTTCAACATTCTTGGAATCGGTTGGTGGCACAACTTGTAGTGCCATGTATTCCTTCTTGAACTTGTCAACAAGTCCCGGAACCGGTACTACCTTTCGGTAGTATTCCCAGTTGACTTCCGGGAGTTTTTCAGGCAGCGATGATATTCTGAGTTCGACAAAAACGATCAAAAAGAGAACAAAAAGTAATGAAGAAAATTTCAGAATCCCAAAAAACCAATCAAGAAATGAATAGAAACAATGAAGTGGGGCATAAAAAGCGTTACTTCGAAACCAATCCATCGGTTTTAGTCTTTAGGTCCCGGAATTGTTCGAGCTGATGCTTAGGACAGTTCTGGTAGAGCTCAGCCCAATTAATCGCTGTCCTTGCAATACGCCTGGATGCCATACCCGCAGTGACAGAGATCGCTAGTATTCGAAAGCCGCGAGGGACAGAACGTATTCCCTAGCCCAATCCAATCGCAGAATAATTCCGCAGGAACAGTCAGAAAAACAATACCTTTGTATGAAGTCTTGTTAGAAAGCAAGAAATAAGGGACGAAGGCTTGCTATTTTAATTTCAGCACCTGGTTATTTAAATAGTGATTATCTAGTGAGTAAGTGAGCCAAATTGTTCTTTCTTTGCTTACGGATGCGGAAATCATTACCAGTGAATCTTGTTTGTATCTCCCAGTTTATACAACGGCGCACCAGTTTTATTTTTGCAATAATTTAAGGTGATTTTAAACTTGGTCTTTCCTGCAAGTAACGGCTGTTTTAGTTAAAGCCTTTACTAAATATCTAACTCATTGCCCTATAAGACGTTTCAAATTACATTAAAGATTTTTTGCTAACAGGTTTATGAAATTACTCATTTGAAGTTATTCTATTGCGCAAGTGCTTCTTTCCCATGGAGCCATCTTTTGGTCAATCCCGTCTTTAATACGACGTCATTCTACTGTAGCGAACTAATTCCTGCCACAGTAATGTAATACGATAGCGGTTTATCCCTCGGCATTGGTGAGGCTCCACTTTTGTACTTTGTACTGGTCCTTTTGAGCCTCGTTGGGTGGGCTGGCCTTTTGGGTCATGCCAATAGCCCAGGCACCTTCTCTGCGCTGAGTATATATTCTGCCCGAGTATTTTGTCTTCTTTTGTCTTCAGGGAGCCCCGGGATACTACACTGGTGACAGTGGAAAGCGAACCCGATCTTAAAGGCCATGTATTCTGATTTTTCGCTTCTGCGTGATAAGCCTTAGTGGAGCGAAAGAAGTGCATATGCTACGGATGGGAGAATGGTGATGACCCCTAATAGAAGGGTTGATGTTGACGTCCACCTTCGGCATCTCTCCCAGTCCCGTGTTCTGCAGAAAAGCTATTAACAACTGAAGCGACACTAGCCGTGAACCATCTGGAAGTTTCGTTACGGATTTCCCCTACCGTCCTGAATCGAATCCCCATACCGAACGAAACTCTAGATCCAGCCAAGCCGCCAAGAGGGCTCAGCGACGTTGAGGCCATGTATTCCCTCAGTTGCGCGCTAATTTGGTGACTGGTACGGTCGGCTCGTGGGTGTTTCTTTACTGCACCGACTACGTTGTAATGGTTAACTCGGGAGGTTGACCTGCAGGAGCGCAGGGGACGACGCTCAAAAGAAAAGGGAGGCTATGCAATACGACAGTGGTTTATCCCTCGGCATTGATGGGGCTCCACTTTTGTACTTTGAATTAGCACCCTTGTACTTCGCTGGGTGGGCTGGCCTTTTGGGCCGTGCCAATACCCCAGACACCTTCTCTGCGCTAAAATTATATTCTGTCCGAGTATTTTGCCTTCTTTTGTCTCCAGGGGGTCACTGGACGCTACAGTAATGTGGCATTGCGTACACTACTAACGTACAGAGGGAATAAGAGGCTACCGACATGGCTTAAGAACCAATATACCCAGCGAGAGTATAATCTGGCGAGGCTTCAGTCCTCTCCTTAAAAACTGGGTTAAACAAATCGTTAATGCATCCCAATGTATCTTGCGCATGCAAGCGTGACTGACAGGATAAGTGCTTTATAATTTATTTTCGTAATTTGCAAGTGGAAACGATTGCCCTTGAAATCTTGTAAAGTAGATAGTGCTTTAATTGATTCATATAACAGTCTTCCTCGTCGCATGTATAATTTTAATTTACTAATCTTGCTCTATATAATGTACCCACTTTTTCAGTCGGATGCAAACGAGAGTTCAGGAATAACAAAAATTTTACTTAGACATACGTAAGACAAATTATAAGCTTCGTTCTCGGAATCGATTTCCACAAATGTTCCTTATCTCCTCTTGAGTTGAAAATGTCACCCGAAACTTTATTTTATGATCTGCCGTCACTTTTGTGCTTGTGTCTTGTAATCTGTTAATTAAATCATCATCGTTCATCAACAGCTTACAAAGTTATTATGCACTCGTCTCATAAAGGCTTATGTATCTGCTATCAGGTGAATATGAACCACATCTAAAATGGGCTCTTGGTTACCAGATTTCTTCTTTCATGTCTTTTTTTAATATTTCTATATGGGATTTTCCTTGAACCTAAGTTTAGAGTTATTTTTTGATTGGCAATATCGCTTTAAATAAGTAATTTTACGGCATGACTCTGTGTTTTACATTATGTTAATAATTATAGGGAATTTCTATTACTATGGCAACACAACAAGCCACCCATTTGATACCAAAGGATATATTTATTAATCACATCGATACGTTTATATCATCTCACCTTGGCAAAGTTTGCACGCTTTTATACTAATCTTTAGGTTTTGTTCAAATCAGTCTTTGGATCTGGAGTCCCACTTGATGAGGATGAAGAGGGTTTAGAAGAGGGAAGCGCCATTCCGGCTTCACCAGCTGGATTTAATAATAACATTTTTTGTACTCTCTCAAGTCCTTCTGCCACTCTTAGCTTTCCGGCGTTTGTGATTAAAGTTGGTTTGCAATTAACTTACGTGCCTAAAATGTCTAGTACGACAAATGGATTGACCTCTATCCCAAAATTAAACATTGCACCTATTTTATTTACAACATAAACGACGATGATCTACAAGTTGAAGAAGCTTTATGGATTGCAGAGAAACTTTATGAGGAATCAGAGGGCTTTGAAAAACGGAAAGCTTTTGTCTTACTATCAACTGTTCTTACATGGTCACAAATACAATATTTGCCTGACGCAAGTTCAACTTATTTTTGAATAAAGGTTTAGGAAGGTGATAGTGCGTACTTTTATGATGCAGATTACATCAGACGAAAGGCTCACCAACACTACGGTAGGCATATTGCTGCAGAAAAAGAAATTAAGAGACTTGGTACTCTGGTAAAGGCCTTCTTCTAATTATCATTCCTCTAGAATAAATTTAAATTTTTGACGTATGTTATTGCAAGCGGTATAACATATGGTGAAGAAAACGATGTATTTCATCCATTTCTCAAAGCACGTTTCTTATCATTGGAAAACGTTTTTCATGTTATATTATTAGGGTGGATGGTTGAACAAACCAACTTTGAGTGTGATCGGTGACGGAAAAAACCTAATACCAACAATCCATGTAAAAGATCTTGCGAGGTAAAATAACCAGAGTCTGCGAGATTGTAAACTGTTTCCTTAAAATCGACTATTAAATTTATAAGTTATTGTCAGATCAGTGTTCGACTGGCCACCTAATATAAGACTAATTAATTCTGTTGTTTTATTTTCCATTCTTGAATAAAATACATGATCTTATTTTTTACTTCAAGTATAGTTTTTGAATTACTGAATTTGTGTCCTACAACGCACTACATACTTGCTGTGGATGACGGTTACAATACACTCCTAGAAATAGTTACGGTACGTTGAATGTAGACCCATAAATAAATTTAATGTTTCGGGAACTGAAAATTTTGTGGAAAATGTTCTAGGTTATACATATGTAATAAACCTACTACTTTACATACTTAGGATTGCAGTTCATTATGAGTAAAATCTCTTGAAATGCTTTTAGGCGATTTCAGAAGCACTAACTACAGGAAAAGTGAAACACATTTCTATAGAAGAAGCAAAGCAAATGGACGAATTCACGGTATTGTTTATATGAAATAGAAGTCAAAATAAATGTGTCCATCCAGTAATGACATTTCCACCGATTAGCCTTATCGTACCTGTCGCATATGAGTATTTATTAAATTCGCTAATTTTCAAGACAAAGGGACTCAGATCTTGAGATTTGCTCAAATGGTGTTTAAAGTATCACCGCTATTGATAATGTACATTGCAAATCCAATGAATGGGAGTTGACTTACGCACCTAAATACCAACATCTACCCTTTTAACTTAGGTGAATCTCTTATCTTCATTTAGCAAAAGCACATTGACAGCCTCACCTTGAATTTACGCTTGGAAGCGCAGTTTGTGCATGAAAATTTGCCTTTCAAGTGGGTTAGCGAAAATGGAATGGTTACTTCGATAGAAAGAGTAGTGAAAGAGTTCAAACTCGCAAGAGGCTTGCTAGTGAGCTAATTATATTTTCATTTCACTTTATGTTTTGATATGCCTCACAGACAAAGCAACGAAAACTGTTAAGTTTCTTGAAAGCTAAATTGCCTCAAATACTTAAGGAATAATTGTTTTTAGCCTAATGCTTGGGCTTTAACTCGTGACAAAATTAATTAGTATGTCAATGCCAGACTATCAATAGGGCATTTAATCGTCTTTGTGATTTAGATTGCGAGAAAGTGATTTTATTTTGAACATATGGGTCTTATAATTGGTATGCAGATCTTACGTGGACGGTTTTAGGGTGTTAATCCTTATTGTACATGCTTAAATTGAGTTTATTACCATCATACTCTCCATTTAAAGCCGATTAGAATATGTATCCTGGGTCCACCTCTATCAGGAAAGTCAAAGCTGGCCCAGCTGCTTAGCGAGTACTATTCCGTGCCACATATTCACGTCAAGGGAGTCATTGATGATAGAATAAAGGAATTGGTGAGTAAAATCTTCGAATTTCGTGGTCATTTACTTTCCATAGCGAATGACAAAGCCGCCAGAATGGTGATTCGGTTATTGAAATAGCTCTTGCTAATTTTAGGAAGAGCAGGTTAATTTAAGGCATAAGAAATCATCCGATAATGAGGGAACTGAGGAAGAGGCAATTGATGAGGGTTACGACGGAGCCGAAGATAGTGATCTAAACCCTTCTGCACTGCTGTCACAGATCAAGGAAACTCTCTCCTCTGAGAAGAATCGCCTAAGCAACGCAATGGTTTGCAGGTATGTCACCTAGACGTTGTTTTATATTTTATTATTTCCTTCTCAACAATTATGCAGATTATATTTGATGCCGCAATTACTGTTTGAACTTTGCGAAATGTTTTTTTTTGCTAGTTTTATAAAGAAACGACTAAGTTCAAAGGAGTGCTTAAACCAAGGATACGTTCTCGATGGTTTTCCAAAGACAAGAGCACAAGCAGATCTACTTTTTGGGAGTATGCAAGTTTGAGTTTATTTAACCCTCAGATACTACTGAGGATATTAATTTTCAATTCAAGTAAAACTAGAATATTCTTGGGAAGTAGCTTCATGCACAAAGTTGCGTTTTTTCGCCTAAGGTGATGAAGCTGTAGAAGAAGAAATGGAAGAAATGGAAGAACTTAATGAGGGCACAGAGGAAAAGGACGCAAAAGAACCTGATCCACAGGTCCAAGTTGCCCAGCTTGATAGGGAGCGAGCTGCTCGTGAACGCAGCATTCCCAATATGATTGACGAAACTCAGTTCCTGGGCAAAGTTGCTCTCTCCCCAAACCCCAATTCCCTGCCCAAGGGAATTCTTCCAGCCTGCGTCATTTTTCTCCAGGCTACAGATGTCTTCCTCTTTAGTCGAGTCCTCAGAATACCAAACCATGAAATGAGGTGCTCACACAACGATGAGGAGGGTTTTCTTAGGCGTCTCCTCATCTATCGCCACGCTCACGCTGGGTCTGAGGTGGCAGCTCTCATGGCGAGTGATGAGTTACGAAAGGCTCTCAATTCGGAGTACCTCCAGAAGATCACAGCAGGCGAGGCTAGTACGCTGACCTTAAGTGAGCGGATAGTCCCACTGATGGCAGGCAGTGTTGGTGCCAATTCATTATGCGCCTTTTTCGAGGACAGAGGCATTCGTGCTTTTAACTTCGACGTCGAGACAGACACCTCGGGAGTAAGTTGGGGAGTTTTATCACGTCTTCATAACGCGTTTTTATAAGTGTGTCCTATGCTCAAATCTATAGAAAGTCAAGTGAGAATAAAGTCAGCAGGTTTATGGTGGTCTCTTAGCCTTCTTACAAATAAATTATCAAAACGTATCACCAAATACTCTTTTGTTAACAGCAGTTATTAGGATGCTTGCTACTCGAGATGGGTTCTGTGTTCAAAACCACTCGTTTACCATCATTGCAATGCAATTTATTGAAACAGGTCTTTAACGAAATTGAGAGAAAGATACGCGCTGCAATAGGACCACCAAGAAACTATGGGCCGTCGACATCGAAAACGGTGACGATAAGAGAGAAAATACGTTTGAAGGAGGAGGAAGAACGCCGCGAGTTGGAGAAGGCAAGAGAGGCTGAGGAGTTCAGACGTCGTGAAGTCCGCAAACGCGAATTTGTACGTTAATAGACAACTATTACCCTCTAGCATTCCAGAACCCTTCACTGAAAACGCACGCATATATCAGAATTAAAGGGACACCAACTTGAAAAACTAATCCTTTAATTCTTTTGAAAGTCTGGTCTTCTGGAAAGAGTACGCACAGAAGAAGATGAGGCATTACTGGAGGCATCAAAACCACTCCGCGAGTTCTTGTCCAAATTCGTTATGCCGACCCTCACGAAGGGCATTTTTGAGTGCATCTGGAGACGACCGGAGGATCCCATTGATTATCTGGTAATATGTTTACCATACCTAGTTTATACATTCCGGTATAAATTCATTACTAGCTCAAGTTGATTAGTGAGATTAATCTATTAAGATTTAAAACAAATACATTCTGCTTCTATTTTTAGGCCGAATACCTCTTTAGAAATAACGCGCAGGTTGATTGAGCCTATGAATGTGAGGCGACTAATGTGTTTAATAAGGTTGTATTCCGTGTTATGTCATGAAAAAAAGTCTTTTACATGCCACAATAAACATTTCGTTTCTGCGGCATCGACTGCCTTGCGTATCTCCTCCCTGGTGGCATCTTCACTAGTCTCTAAAATAATGCTGCTGAATAACATTCATCACTGGTATGTTTCAACGGCAGCTTCACCTTTTACGTGTGTCATTGTTGCCCTTTGCCACTTCACTGGCGCGTTCATTAAACTGAAAATGATTTCAAAAATGTCACTCTTGAACACTGCACTGATTAATACTTTATTTTTTCAAATACGACTTGTGATGCATTGCTTACGGATAAACGAAAAAAATAAATGAAATGACAACGTTTCCATTTTCACCTTAGGCACAGATGGGACGTTCTGCTAAACAAGAGGTAGAAAACCATGCATAAAAAATCGCCCAAATAAAAATCGGTTCGGCTAAGGTCCAAAAATGCGTCCAGTTGCCACTTCTATTGCAGTTTATTTGAAAATATTAACTTAATTCGATGAGTTTGGTGAGGAAATGCAAATAACTTGAAATGATTTGATCTTAGTTGTTTATCCTTTTTATGTGTCGTATAATCATTACCATTCTTGGTAATAAAACTTCTGTGATGGACATTTAACTTGTTTGAACTCACCAACTTGAACTTATTTAAACAACTCTAATCTTTCATTGGACTCGCATCACAGCGTTTGGCCACAAAAACCGACTGTGGCTTCAAGACCTGGTGGATGGTACTTGCTGTATGTGTCGTGACACCAAGGTCACCAAGACACGTGGGACCGTAGTAATCAACTTCCTTCCAAGTGGACTGAGACGGAGTGTAGGCCCGCATAAGTAGCATATGACTGAACCTGTAAAAACACCCATTTAGCCCATATAAGTGCAAACGAGGAATGTGGGAACCAAGGATAGCGGTAAAGTCTAGGAATCCAGCAAAAGTGACGCCTCACCAGGGCGGGGGGTGCAGAGGCCGCCGGTACAATGTAAGGGACGAATGACGTAGCAGAAGAATAACATACCATCCAATGTTGAGAAATAAGAAGAGGCAAAGAAAGGAGGTAAATGATCGCAGTGGTGACCGATTTACCGTTACTAAGACTCGGCTGCTACTGCACGCGAGATGTCATAAGACACCTCGAACATAAAAAGCATTTAAGCATAATTGTTACGTCTTTTATCGAATTGATTTTAAAATGACACAAGATGTCCCAATATTTGATGAGGATTTAGGAATGCTCAAATTATGAGGAAATGAAGAACTGCATCACAAAAAGGGGTTAATTGTCTTGTATCAACACATATGAGAATTTAATAGAAAACGGAAGGAACCCCACAGGATTGTCCAATAGTCAATGAGAATGAAGCATACCTTTGGAACTGGCGATGGAGATGGAAAGGAGAGAAAAATGATGCTCCTGGTGACGGGAGTTTTGCGTAGCTGCTAATAAAGCGAGAATGTCCCGGAGGTGATCGTCCATCCTATGGGTAAAGGCAAGGCAGCTGTCCCGACTACTACGTCTACAGAGAGACATTAAAAAGCATGCATTTACGGAGTGTTTATCAACGACAGCCCAAAGTGGCTACAGGCTAGCGTGCATATCGGCAAGGAGATAGGGGAAATTGAGGTATGCTAAAATAGGCGAAACCATCCATTCGAGAGAGATGAGGTGCAGCATTGAGGCACATGTGAGTTCCGTCATGACAGTCGTCATTTTGGCGGCGTCGTGCCAAAAGGGGACTTTTAAATATCCAATGATGACACATTTGTAACAATATCTATGTAGAGCCCCAGGACTCACCCGAAGACAAAAGAAGACAAAACACCCAGAGAGAATATGTAATTTCAACGTGCAGAAGGGCCGGCGGTTACTGCTATGGTCCAGAGACCATGCTGCCCAGCGGAGGTAAAAAGGCGGAGCCTCAAGTGCCCACGAGACCAAAACGAAGAGTTGAACAAATGATTTAAGTATTACCTACACCCATCTTAATTTAATCTTCGTCTTCGTCACTTCCCCTCGTCAACCCCCCACGTCAGTAATCGCAACGAACTTGACGCTGTAAGAAAAACACTCACGAACCAGTCATCAACTTTGCGTGCAACAGTGGAGGTATCTGGCAGCAATGTCAATGGTCTCTCTAGACATTTCACCTCATCTGGAGTCTCCTCCTACTTGGAGAAGGCAAAATGTGGTAGCTATCGTTATCGTAAGCACATTGGCCCAAAAGTAAAGCCATTTAATGAAAGATGGGGTTCAGAATGGTTTCATAATGACTAGGTTTTGCGCCTATTTTTCCCTGCCACTTCGTTCTCACTTCAGTGCTGCCCATCCAAATGCTAGATGGGTGGGGGGGTATCGCAAGTTTACATAATTGACAACTTCATACAGGTACCGTAGACGGTAATGTAATAAATTTTTTTAGGTGGTTCACTGCTAGTATCGCTTCAGCTGTCAATAACATGACTTTAGAATAGGGAACTGGGGCGGTTATCGACACTAGACGTCATTTCCAACTCAAATGCTAGGAGTCATTACAAATACTCTCTCTTCTGCAGCATATGCCCTTCTTTCTTCACTTTAGGATTTACCGCTAAGGTATCGCCCTGAGTCCCCTCTGAAGTCGAAAGAAGTCGTAATACTACAACAGAATATGCATTACCGACGTGGAAAAGCGTTGAAGGGTTATTAACAAGGCTCAGAGGCCATGCTGCTTAGTGGAAGTTTAAAGACGTGTACTTAAGTGGCCTTAAAAGCAAAAGCAAAAATTGCAAACTAAACTGTGCCAAATCGCAGTGGATTTAGATGATTGCGTAATGTGCCATGTTGTGGAAGTTAAGCATACTTTAATTTTAAAAAGGAACAAGCGAATTCATCAAATGCCATAGTGCTCAAATTGCATCAATGAAAGAGATGGCCTGAAGTGGACAGAAGAGGGGAACCAATGGAATAACTATCGAAAAATCCAACCTATGCAAACAGATTTTCTCTTATCTTCCATTCATCTGATAATATTCGACTTGTACTTTAAGGCTGCGTTTTTTCTCCAACAGATTAAATAGGCTACCTAATGACGTGGTCGTAAAAATCATATTACTCGTTCCATGAACTGGTGATTAGGTGTGAGCCCAAGCAATTTATTGTTACGGCTAACGCGTATAAGACGGATGGCTGAATGCTGGCGACAAGGAACGGTTCAATTTATAGTACTTTGAGTGGCTGTGACCGCATTGTAAATACTAACACAGTTAAAGTGTCTCCACTTTCTATTGGCCAATCAAGGGCCAGTTGCGAAATTTTCCCACGACATTTGAGAAAGGGAAAATTGTGGGATTTTCTAGAAAGTTAAAACGGGATCAGCAATTCTGAAGCGGCACCTATCCCCAGCAAGGTACGCAAAATGACGCTACGCCAACTCACCCTTCTTCACAAGCAAAAATTCGGTCAAGGAAAGAAGGCAACCACTGAGGCGACTCATCCATCCAAAGGTACTACCCGAGAAACTGTTCTGGGGTGGTTCATGTTGCGGGGTCTCAAAGTATGGTTTTGAGTTTTGCAACTGTTTCTGGGACTTTATTGACCGTTTTCAAGCTTCAGGGAGCCGACCACATAAGTAAAAGCGATGTATTAAAAGAGGCAAAACGCGGATGCTCCTTTCTATCGTAGTCAACACTGGCACGGAGACAAACGAACGTTTTTAAAGACGAGTTATTAGACATGTGCACTTTAAAAGCACACGAAGTTCCAACAAGACAAGGGGGTGTCATCAAACCCATTAGTAAACGTAATGTGGAATAAGTTTTCGCAACAGCACTACAAAAGTGAAACACAGATTACAGGTTTCTGATAAAAAAGCCGATCTTTAATTCACCTCTGACTGATATCCATATAATCCGTTAATTAGTCTCTCAAATCCAAGTTTATTTTTGTGGGCGCTTAAGGCTTCGCCATTGCACTTCCACCTAGTGGCACGACCTCTCGGCCATGCGGTAGCTCCTCAGCCCTTCCGTACTTCGGTAATACATATTCTGCTCTAGTATTATGACTTCTTCTGACTCCAGAGAAGACTCGAGGCGCTGCATTGGTGACAGCAAAGAAGCAAACCCGATTCCAAAGCCAACTGTTCTGATTTCTATTGCTAATTGCTAAACATTAACATCACGGAAGTAGGGCATATGCTGCGACGACCCCCAATAGAAGAATTGAATTCGACGTTTACCCTGGACAGCTACCCCAATCTCGTGTTATGCAGGAATGCTGTTAACACCTGAAACAAAACTAGCCGTGAAATATCTTAAACGTTTGTTACGGAGCTGCCTATGGCGCCTGTATGAAGATGTCAAGTAAAGGAACACGCGATACCTCGTCCTCCTTCCTACTATCTGGCGTGAACCCAGATATACACGGCTGGACAGCACTGGTTTGAGAACAACGTGGCAAGTAGGAATGGGCGCAAAAGCAAATCTTCAAGACGTTATTTTTAAAATTTATCCTTTATAAGATGACCCTTTTTTAGGGCAAGTGCTTATACGACTAGCGATGGACATACGAGATGGTCCGCACATGCGACCTTCCTTAACACAGTAGTCAAACAGGACAAAAATCCAGATCGAGTGAAACTGCCAAGAGGGATCAGCGACTTTACGGTCTGATATCTTGTCATTTGCACGCCAATTCAATAACTGGCGTGGTTGGTTTGTGTGTGGGTTTCTTACACCACAGACCCTTTGTGATAACTGATGCGGGCGGTTGACGAAGGGGAAAGCCGCTGAAGAAGCTCAAAAATAAGGCGCTACATAATGCTTTTATTTTTTTCCTGACTAGTTTTTTCTATTTCAGGGGGACTTAAGGCTCCGCCAATGACTTCCATTATCCCCCCCAGCCCTTCTGTACGTCGGTAATGCATTTTCCCACTCAGTATTACGACCTCTTCCTACTTCAGGAAAGACTCGGGGCGGCGCTACCATTACATGATAGCATTTATGGATTGGCAATCTTCAACGGTAATATGTCTTAGCATTTTTTCTATAAATGGGTCAACTTTCCTTCTAATACTCTAATGTTCGTTTCTACATATTTCTTGCCCAAGTGTTGAAAATGCCCAAATCGGTGCGATAAAATTTGGTTTCCGTCTTTGTTGTAAAGCTTCACACTGATGGGAGGACTATTTTCATTCGCAACTTGTGGTTTGGTGTCGCAGGTAAGCAACTGAGTAGATGCAAATTAGCGATTCACTGGTATGAGATGCGGACGTGTGTAAGGTAAAAGCCGTATTCTGAGCGACGAAATCTTCCGTTCCAATGCAAGGGCATGACACATGAACCACCAAGGTTGCAAATTTTCGAGGTTATGCATACCTGTGTCCTAACGGGAAATTCTTAAGGCACTTCGAAACCCACAGTCGGTTTCAAAGCGGTAGACAGCTGAAGGCGATCCCACACCTTAGAAATTACTTCATAATTGCTTTCCCCATGTAAAACTATTTAAGGCTAGCAGTCGATCTTGGCAATTTATTTTGGGCATTCATTTGGAGCTTCCTCGACATCAAGGAAAGTTTAATTTACTAAAATACGGCGTTTTGTAGTTTATCATCCTGCAGAATAAACGCCCTAATTTAAAAAAAAACTTATTCTCGGCAAGAGTTGGACTTATCTGGTGTGCAGGTCTACTTGAGTGAGGGACGAATTCCACTTTACTGATACGTAAACCCAGTAACTTGTTCCATGCTTTCAGCTATAAACTAAACCTCAGTACAATCCAAATAAACTGCAAATTCAGATGCTGACGTTCATTTTGCCACCATAATCACACGGTATTGCACCTTCTGCTGTGGTCCTCACATTGGCCCACATGGAATTAGATAAGGGTACCCGAATGTGACCATTTGAAACATGATGCAAGGGAGAACCGAATGCTAATGGGGTTTACCGCCTTTATGAGTGACGACAAGAAGGATCGCCGTTATGCTCGCACGACTAACTACTCTTCCCACTTTACTTCATGAAATATTATTCATCACTTTGTGCCGCATTAGTTAAACTCATTATAAAACAACGCCAAAACCAAAACCTAACATTACTGCAATTCAGGCGATTGCATGAGCATGCCATACATTCACACATGCCTGAACGGGTGAGTTGACAATCGTTTCAGCGTCTGGCAGACGCGATGGTGTCTCGCATTGTGCGTCCCATTCTCAGCTAGGAAGGTAACACTAGCGCACTACATACCTTAATTTATTTTAAACCAAAGAATCTGGGGATTTAAAAGGCGACCGGTAAATAGCTGAATTCGCCCCCTACTAAACAGCAGTCTGGCCGAAAAACAGAGAAATCATTTGCTTACTCAGTTGCGTTTCGCTAATCTTAAGATCTAAGAATTCTAAAAAGAAAAACATTTACGTCATTCTTATTCGATAGGTTAGGCTTATAAGTCGAAATATGTTCCACAATCTGTGAAATCACAGCACTCTTGGTCATGGGACATCTGGACAATGGCGATGACACTTTGGCACCACCATGGCTATTTCTATTTTTTAGGGGCAACGTTATGCACACACTACCAGTATCTCAAAACCGGCAATCACATTAGAAGAAACAAACCGTTAAAAAGGGCTGACGTGACCTAAAGCCGAGCCCTCCTGTTCTCATGCTAACCACCATTGCGAATTTCTCACTGTGGGTTGTGTACTTTGTAGCGTTTAAGCTCAACCACCGTGGTCATGGGTGCTGGGGTTTCGCATTAACGCAGAAAACAAAAAGTTTTGTTTTTCTCTGAGCTCTAAAGGTAGTTGATGCAAACAGTCTTAATCTGAACAGCAGTTTTATAATACACAACCAACAATGAGGAAAAGTTCCGAATTCAGCAATGAAAAGATGTTAATGTTCGGCCGGGCGGCAAGGCCAATAGGTCGTGCCACTAACCCTCCCTCGGCCCTTCCGAAGGTCGGTATTGCATTGACTGTCTTGGTATCATGTTTTTCTTCGACAACAGGGAAGTCTTGAGGCGCTACGTCGGTGGCGGTGGAAGGCAAAACCCTTCTTAAAGAACATCAAAGCTGATTTCTGTTGCTGAGTAACAAGCTTTGACGTAAAGGAAGAAAGCCATACCCTACAGATGGGAGAATCTGTGACGAACTCAAACAGAAGCGTTGAAGATGAAGTCGACCTTCGGCAAACATCCATTCCCGTGCTAATCAGGAATGCTGTTAACAACTGAAGCGACACTAGACAGGAATTATTTGCCAAAGTTTGCCATGAAAATGAAGATATCAATTATATGAACACTTGATATTTCCTTCACCTCTCTACTAGCTGGATAGGGCTCAGATAGATATAGCTGAACAGCGCTGAAGCCAATGCTCTTAGCATTAGCGATGGATGTACGTGATGGCCAGCACCTTCCTTTCCTCCATTACCATTCCCAAATACTAGGAAACTCTAGTTCCGGTAGAATTCCCAAGGGAGATCAGTGACGTTGTGGCCAAATGTCACCTCAGTTGCACGCAAATTCAATGACTGGTGCTGGAGGATGAACAAGAGGAGTTGTAGGGACGGCAACTGAAATGAAAGAGATGCTTTAGCTTATCTACCTATTCGCTTCGGTCACACAGGCATTGATGTACACGGCCGTTGTAATTCCGCTGGGCGGCATGGCCTGAAGGCCATGCTCATAGCCCCTCAGTCCATCTGCGCTTTATTAATGCACACTCTGCCCTAGTATTATGTTTTCTTTCGTTCCAGGGTACTCAATTTCACACGCATACGTCATATATTTGCATTTCAAACGGTTAGGTAATTTAACAAATAACCAGCATTGTCTAGAAGATGTACAACATATAACACCATTTATTAGTTTCCAAATCCACGTTTGTTGAAAAGCACATACAAGTTTGCATATTATTTAGTTCTCGTACTGCAGACATGTACAGCGCAGTGTAATGTAATATCTCCCGCAATTATGATCAAGGAAAGTTATCATCTTCAGAAGTGACACTGGTCTGAAACACCTAGTAAACCACATTGACCTAAGTCATTTAGACGTTTATGCAGATGGCTGGCCACAATACTGACCGTGTCAAGTACGTATTAGACATCGGTTTTTGCAATTCGTCGAGTAGGTGATCTAAGAACTCAAGTATTTAAGTACTTGTTATAAAGTGTTCTAGGGAATACCTCATTTTTGGAGACGGGTATGTGAAACATGTCACCTAAATGGATTTACAAGCGCCATTTTTTGACAGCCTAATAAGCACCTCAAGTAATGTTGGCATTTTCTAAAAACAAAAGGTTATTTTGTGATCACTCACTTATCTACATCGCAAAAAAATCTGTGATTTTTGAGCACAAAAGGGTTTGGATTTTACCTGAATGTCGCAAGGAAGCCCCGAGTGTTGCAAGTTTTCCATGTCAGCTACCGTTGCCTTCCTAATGCGATTTTCGCGGAACGCTAACCACGGAAATTTTTGAACAATTCCGCATGATTAGCGGGTATGACGCATTTATGAATACAATATTTGTTAATTCAAGCCAAATATTAGTAGCAATGGTGAGCAACACCTGTATTTTTTGTTGCATCTAATATTCAAATTCGCTGTAATGACTGTAAATAATAGTTTGGGTTGTTAAAACGAATGCGAAGAAGTGGTTGTTTTCAAAAATGAGCGGAAAGAGGAAACTCAGTACTGTATTTTTACTAAATCAAAACGCGCTATTTTACAAGAACTTCAGAGTAAAATTTACAGATAGGCGAATGTGAAACTAACTGATTGAAAGAATCCAGTAAAAACCTACCATGGAGTGGGATAAGTCAAAACCTTTGGGGAAAATGATAGCACTGAAAAAATGAAATCCCTCCTTTCTATTTAGTGTCCGTATTTCTTCCCAGTGTATCAAATAGAAGTCGCATTCCCATCTGGAAAGTCGTTGAACAGCCTAGGGTCATTCCCACAACACTCAGCATAATGCTCCACGAGCCCATGTAGAGATTGAAGAAGGCCAGCATGGCGCTCATCACAAAAAGGGACGCAATGGCACTCATTCCAAGTGCCACATAGGCAACAATACGACTCACACGGTCATTACGCAGGTGCAGATATGTCTGTGCGAGGTCAACGCAGGCAGCAATAGCGTAGAGAATAATGGAGATACATATTAAGACCCCAATGGGCAAGAGAGCATAGTTTTGGGGGTTCACCTGACAGGAGTTGGCAAAAACTCCACCACAAGGCCAGTTTTCAAGCGAGACAGCGAGGATGAGAAACAGGAGAGAGAAGAGGGTTGTAATTACAAAAAATATGCTCTCGAGCATGCTACTCATGTGCTAGTTGAGCGAATGTATGAGGGAGTGAGCGAGCGAGCAAGCGAGGCAGAAGTCACCCGTTTGGCACCAGGAGACGATTTATGGAGGCCGGAAAGGCTATTTGCGTATGCGTACTCACAGGCGCCCACTGCGCGGTTGCGTGTGTAAGATGCAAATTGACCTTAAGCACAATTTGCATATTCTGAGGGAGCCGAGGTCTTTTTCTTAAGGCACAATTCTTCACCTGGCAACACTCAATTCCCATCACGGAAGCCAATTAAGTCCTTTGGCCTTCGACATTGAAGAGTGTGACAGACGCAATTCAGGTGAACATAAATGCTTTCTGACCGTCGAATGAGGGAAATAAATGAGTAAAAATGTAATCTGGCTAAGGATTAGAGAATCAATATTTTGATTGTTTGCTGATGAAGCAAAACAACTAGATGATAGTCGCTAAGCCCACAAGTACACCATTTGTTCAGAGAGCTTCGACCGCTCATTATGATTTTAAAAAGTGTATAAATAAACGCTTGGCCTACGGGTAACTGGAAATGAAGGAATAGTTAGCATAGGTGTAAGACAAATAGATTTCTGGTCAATAATCTGTAACCTTTTTAAAAAGTAGTCATGGATGCAGTAGCATTTATTACCGAAATATTAAAGAATACCTTATAAGCCAACCGGATAGGTGCTTGAGGTTTCTTGGATTAAAAAGAAATAAATAGGTAAAATTCCTAGAAAATATAGCATTTTTAAATTATCATCATTAAACTTCTATGGTCTTATGCTAACTTCAACTTCATGAGACACCTTCTTATCTAAAAAGCATAACATAGTAATAGCAGTCTCAGCTTCTCTCACGCTATTATTCCCCAACCGTCTACTGCATATGTGACTGCCTAGTGTGGAGAAAACGTGTCAGTCACCTCAAAGAATGCGAGAGGAATACTGAGGGCAAGGTGAGGCGGCAATTCCTTCCATCTCAGGTTAAAATCTCACAGATAAGTCTTGCATTGTCTTTCAAGAAATGAGCTTTCATTTGACCGATCCACTAGTGCCGACTCCCTTCGAGGAAATGTACAGTGAACGTTTACACCTGCAGTGCACTCTCCAAAGCAATTAGTCTTCTGGGAGTGAAGTCGTATTTTAGGTGTGAGGTTTTGAGCGAATACTTTAAGACTAACCATGACGACGGAAGTCAGTCAGCAAACACTCGAAAATGCGAGACCTTTTTTCAACTTTCCATCTATGTGGGCTCGACCCATTTGATTGGTGGCCTTCACAACTTCCACAGTTGGTGTCGGAGTAAATCACTTGTTTTGGCACTCAAATTAAAATTAACGGGAAGTTGATCTCGATGCACAATTCTTCACTTTGAAGGATAGAGAGGCCTTCGAAGTGGGATGCATTTTTGGTTGATTATTTCATGCAATTAAAGTGATTAAGTAATCCCTGGGTGGCGTGCTGCTACCTTGTCTTTTCCAAAGGCTATGCAACAAACTTGAAGCGAAGTTTCTCCAGTTTTGGAACCAAATTCAACTTGCTTTGTAAAGCCGATAGGTTCAAATCAACATGAAATACAGATGGATGGACTCATATATCCGTGCTTCATAAATGGATACAAAATATTCGCATGCATTTTGCAATTCTTTACACATCACAAAAAAACCATTGCATTGAAGCATACAGAGAACTACACGGACTTTTTCAGTCGACCAATAGGTAAGAAAATTGTTTGTGAAATAAATATACTGTAAGGAAGTTCTATTTCCATTGGATGAGGCTTAGAGACGCTCTGATCTACTTATTATAGTTAGGTACAAATTATCTCCAAAAGGTTCCATTGCTTAGCAAGGAATAAAATATTGCAAATGCTTTTGGAGAATTTATTGTTGCTCTTTTCTTAAAAAATACCTGAAATAAATGTCGCTATATTTATCTAATTCATAATAACTACTGTTGTTCAGCACCGTGCCGGCTGATTGGTACTGCGTGTTACGATATGGTGTTGCCAGTAAGCACAAAAATTATATCATAGTTTATTTTAGGAATTTGCTGACCTCTCCTTCTAAATGGTTTGCACTTGACCATTACAAGTGCTGAAGAATGGAAGTGAAAACAAAGGATTTTTGAAAACTAGATTTTATTATCGTAACTTTAAATGCAGGAAGCTACTATGTAGTGTTATGTATGAACGCATGGGAAGATAACTGCAAGAAAATGAAATCTAAGAACCATTTATACAAAATTCAAGAGGGGTGTCAAGCGCGAAATGCCTTCGAAAAACTGGTGATGTAGCGGCTTCAGTGTGCATAGCAAAAGATGATGAGAACACTACAACAACAAATGTTGCTATGCGGGGCTCGGATGGAGCAGAGCTAGTGCCGAGAGGAGCCCATAGTTCTGAAATAGAAGAATGGCAATATGTAACAAAGAACAACGTATCAAGGCCAAAATATCGACATCGATATGCCACAGAGGGAGGCTGAATTAATCTCATGTTTTCCTATCGGAGGAAAATAATGCGGATCGTAAATTATTGCCACAGTCTCGCTAATTTATCACTTAAATAGTAACTCCAAAATTAAACTCCTCATAGAAACTCATTTTTTTCCTGAGTTTTAAAGACAAAACATTACGGCATTTATGTACTAAGTGAATTTGAGGTAGATGTTTTGACCGTATAAGCACTGAAATTGTAAAAGACTCAGATAAATTGTCATAAACATATTTTACAAAAAAAGCTACTGGTCAGAAGTGGGAATTTTATCATTGTTAGGATTTTTAGAACGATTGAAAAGCCGGAAAACATATAATAACACCTAATCAAATATATAGAAATTATTACCCTTGAAAATTTCAGAGAATTTTCCAGCTTCCTTTGAGTACAGAGATCACTAGTAAGTTAATAAATGTGCAAAAGGCAAGTCATATTCCCGCACATAACTGCGTTTAAACAGATTCAATTTATTAGCATGAGGTTAAAGCAGCACCAACTTGACCCTGGAGTTTTTTGAAAAGCATGACTGATAGATGTGTTTCTCCATGAGTCACGCGAACTGCACAACTGCTCCAGAAATCAAATTCCTTGGCTTTATTAGAACCAGCCTGCCAGTAATAGAAAGTCAAGGTGAAATTGAAACAATGCCCTGTCGGCCACGTTTGGGCGAACCTAGGTCATTGTTTTGATCACACAGACGTGCTTTCAACGGATAGCTGACTGACGCCGTGTGGTAAAAGATAGTTAGGAATTTCACTTACGGGGCTTCTGAAAGAGAACGAGTCCAACAAGCTACGCTTATAATGAGAAACACAGGAATATCTTTTACTTGATCCTTTTAATCATACATTTAATAAAGTTCAATCCGACAAGGAGAGCTTGAGAGAAACCAATATGTGTGTTTGAAGCCAGAGACCTTTGGAACTAAAAAATAAGCACTGTAACTGGCTTTCGCATCTAATTTGCGGCCCAATTAATAGGAATCTCTCTACAGAACTGATTTCCTAAAAGTTTTTCTATGAATTTAAGTATTTCTAATATCTAAGTCCACTTCTTTGCACATCTACCGTGTTCCCTCTTACTGAGAGCATAAATTTGACGAGGTTATCTATGAGATGATGATTAAAATTAATCTACCCGTATGGCGCGGCAACGGTCCGCGAAATCAAACCAGTAATCTTCATCCAAACTGAAAAAGCAGTCGTTATTTACTCGACAACACCACGGGGCATTCACTTTAAATCGTCGAAATACGCCTTACTCTGAGAGCGGTTTTGAGCCTAATCCAGATGCGCCTCGACTCATTTGACTTTGTATTTATTTAACTATGAAGACAAAAATCCATAAGGCCTTAACAAACCTGTTGATTCTACTATAATGTAATTGAAGGGCATTATGTATGGACTTGAAGGACAATGCTCAGAAGGTTAAGATAAAGTAGCTTCTTGTCTACATATGTAAACGCATGTAAATGTAAAAGGGTAAAAAATCAGCATCAACTAGATAAAATGCTACTATTGTAACATGGGCATTCGAAACTGTGATGTTGTTACACAGATTGCCAGATAAGAATGTTGTAGGGTTTGTAGAACACTGACAGCAGGCGACCAGGCTTGTGGATACAGGTTGTAGTGAAGGAACCAAGCACGACAACAACCTGCCATTCCTTATCCTCAATCTCTCTTAACCTTGCAGAAATGCACGCCGAGGCTGAATACAGAGTTGAATTGATATGCTTCCGTGGAGAGGTAGTGGAGAGGACTGACTGAATAATTCTCAGGACAGCCTCTTGTAGGTTCCAAGGCATATCCTGTTCGATTACCACAAATTCATTTTTCGGCATGATTTGAGAGGTATATCGTTCACAATGAATCAAACTATGTTATAGAGGCAGTCTACGCGTGTCATTGTTACTGTCAACCAATGGAAAAGTAGAATTTCGTTTGGCGCTATCATAATGGAAACCCCAGAACTAATTACGCAGTTTATCAGAAGTAGTGCCTCCACAAGCGTCGATTCGATGACTTTATCTTTGAGAGCCTTTCAATTCTTAGCCCATTTATAGCAAGGATTCAGTTAGCAAACTAGGCATAAGATCATGTAAATCTGGCACGCCAAACATCTTAAGTATTTATTCCGGCAATTTTAACTTTTAGAGTTCTCAAACTTGTAAACTATTTCGCTTCTTTTATAATAAAATAACTAGGGTGTAAAGACCTTTGTTTAGACAAGTGCTGGGCCAGGATCTTTAGAAAAAACACGCTTCGTCCAATCGACAGAAAAGTCTCGAGAAATAAAGTGCGCGCACAGGAATAAGAAATGCGACAGATTGTGCTTCGTCAAGAGGCACCTCCAACAAAAAAATGGTCCTTTGAAGTTGCCTTGAGAATCATAATGTATTAAATGACAAAGTGCCCATCTCTTTTAAGGTCAAAGTTAGAGAAGACAAGGTGTTAAATAAATTAAGTCAAGCATGGATCAAATTATTCAAGCTCACTGTATTTAAAATTGTTTTAAGGATTAAGAAGTCTCAGTTTCTGGACACAAATTACGGAATATTGGCTATGATTAAAGATGGATCAAGTGCTTTGTGCTTCAAAACCATGCTGCACGTTTGTTAAGAAAAACTCAACCTTCAAAGGCCTCAAATACGTGCCTTTAGTTTTAAATTTCAAAAACAATTGAAGCGCTACGGATTTCTGCATGCCTTCAAGCCATGACTGATCAAATAATTAATCAGGAAGTATGGACACTTGTAATTAATTTCACAAAATCATAGAATTGCTTTTAAAAGTAAGAATACAAAATGCGACTCAACTCACTAATGCTCAGATCTCCGCAGTATTATCGGTGGTAGGTTTCGTTTCGAGTGCAGATTTTTGCCTTTGCCTAGCAGTCTTCCGGCGGTTCCTTGACTTCTTAGAAGGGGTAACTACTACAAAATCCGCAATCTCCGTGTTGATATCCTCTTCTTCCTCCTCCTTTTCACCGCCAACTTCGGTGTCGCCTACACCGCTAGAGTCGCCATATTCGACCAATGCGGGTTGCTCCACCACAGTTATCTGAGAAAGACGAATGGGAGTGACGGGTTTCAGAGGTGCTGAATGCTCCAGCATTGACGTCTCGAACACTGCTCCACCTTCTATCTCCTCGATAACCTCATGAAGCTCCCTGCCGCACTGCAGTTGCGTGATGGAAGGTGACTGGCGAGTCTCCTCCATCATGATGAGGTCAGGTGGTGGAAGAGGAAAGGGCTCGATGTCCTCGCTGCCCTCACTAGCCGAGGTGGAGTCAGAATCGATCTCCTCCACATCAAGGTCGGATTCATCTTCCTCCTCCTCCCCCTCTTCCCCTTCATGATTTTGATCTTTGGCGTTGGTACCGAGGAAAGTGGTGAGCTCGGGGCAGTAGGGCCGACTGGCCGAGTACGTTTCCGCCACACGACCTTCTGGAACAGGTTCAAGGCAGGTGCTCGTCAACTCGTGGTGATGCGATGTCTCCATCGGATTTATAAAACTACCATCAAGTAGTTTTGTCTAAAATCATAAATCAAGACCAGGTCAAACACTAGTTGTGATCAAATGTTTGTTTAGGTGTTGCACAATTGCTACTACATGATCATTATAACCCAGTTTTGTTCTCTCTCTTCACAACCCCTAAAAGTATTAGATATCCAGCACAAACTTCAACTTAAGTTATTATTTTTTTAAATTTCCATACAATTTACAGGGCCGTGGAATCAAACGAGTGGTAAAAATGGTTATAAACGAGTTAAAAATGGAACCGAGGAAGGTAGGTATATAAATAACTCAGTAATTTTAACTTTGTTCAGGTGATTTTTTCACATTTTGCTTGCAATATTACAGACAATCCAAAATAATTTAAGTGAAAATGAAAAGTGGCATTTGCCGAGAATACGAAGATTGAAATAAGTGAAATGTGAAAACTTTAGCTGAACCAAGTAGACTAACCAACCGCTTAACCTAACTTTACACCCCGCAGAGGCTCAACATACTGTGATAATAGATGTGACTTTGAAGGGTAAGGCTGAAGCTGCCGTGCAACAACACTTACTAAGTATTAACCCACTGAAATTTTCAGCAATTGGAGTAGTATCTGTTTCTAACACTTCACGATAAGTCTGAAATATTTAGCAGAAACTAGAAAAGTTTGTAAAAAAAGCTGTAACCCAAGGACTAAATCTAAGTAGAAAAGTCCAATTTTTCCTCCCTAATACCAGCATACCGTATTTCAGTCTTTCATTACCATAAAAAAGTACACGAGTAAACTCGAGAGGGTTGACATTCATCTACAACTAACTCTTTTCGTGGATTTGCCGGTTGAAGGATCATTTGCGAGGTTAGGCTGAGAGGGCGGTACAATGGAGGAAGCCGACAGGGGTGCATGAGTGAGCGATGAGGCCTCCGAAGACACTTTGGCATATGTGTGCTTCAAGACCTGTCAAGGAAATTGCAGCATGCCTTATTGATCACCCCACTGGCACCGAGTTGTGTCACACCAAAATCTGAAGTGCTTCCAGGAGCACGTGCACTCACGTCATTAAGAAATTAACATCTAGAAGAGAGGCATAGTCATTTCTTGGCGCACCTAGATGGTGATATACGAGTGATTTTGAATGAGCGATGGAAGTAATTAGGTTACATAGGGGGCTGCAATAATGTGATTTAAATGCCAATGTCAATAAACCTTATTGCCCACCTAGTCCATCAGGCAAGGCTGGTTGCATAAACAAATTATCTAAATGTCCTCTTCTTACTACGTATCGAAGTAAATGTCCTTTCAATCACGAGGTAATTTTATCCTACCTCCTTGATAATGTCTCTTGCAAGACCGGCTTCCTCAGTGATGGTAAGCGAACAAAATTGTCGACTGCCGTCTCGGGCGACTGTACCCGCCTCTTCAGTCGGCGGTTTGCAATCTTGCTTCTCGGTGGTTGGCGCTCGTGAATCCGAAGCCTACAACATTTCAAAATAGCGTTCCTTTTTAGGAAAATTACAAAGTTTTTTTTTAAAATTATATTTGAATACAATTATTGAGTAATGAGCTATACATAAATCCAGAATAAATGTAATTACACCTCCACAAAGTTTTACTCGGGAAATTGAGTTGTTTTTCTGTATTCAACATAATTGTACTTTTTAAATGATTAATACAGACTTAAGCAAACATTTCATTATTTAATCATAATTGCTTTTGAGATGAAGAAATACCTTTGACAGTGACGATGCCTGAAGGGATGGATTAATGGTAGAGCTAACTTCCTGCTGAGGTGGCGGAGGAGACTGTGGAGGTGGAGGGGGAGGAGGCAACCCTTCACCCGGCTGGTCAAAATTTTTCGCTTTTCCATCTACTTCAGCATGAGCAGACTCCCCTATTGAATGGCAATAAGTAACAATGTGAACATATTTATTGCCTCGACTATCTTATTCTGCATTCGGGATTACCCAAATGGGTCCTAAATCACACTCAGGAAAGAAATCATGAAATGCTATCCCACTGCAAAGCGTTTTCAATTATTTATAAGTCCCCTATAATGTTCTACACATAAGTAAATAGGTTACCCTTTTTGGATTCCCCATGGGCTTGTTCAGCCACTTGCTTTTGAGGTTTGGAAGACTCATATTGCTCTTCTGGGACTCCTGTGACCTCCTTATTTCCCTTCTCCTTTGAAGATGTAGCTTGAGATTCATCCTTTCCATTAGGACTCATCTTGCGATGCCGATGGTGTCGGCTTTTTGATCGACTACGCTTTCGATGCGAGGCGCGGTCACCAGACTCTTCCTCATGTTTGTCTGATCTAAGAGTGAAGGAAGTAATTATATTTCAATGAGGCTTGCTTTAAACTTAACCGATGTTTTAGTTACCAACAGAAGCATTACGATTATCATTCATGCAAGGATCTTTAAGTACAGCACAAGTAGACGATTTGGAGATGATTTACCATGCTCCATTGAATCCAAACATGCAAATTGCAGACGTTGTACTAGTTAGTGGAGCTAAACGCTTGGTTACATCATCAATTCGTCGTAAAATGAATCTCACTTTATTGCATGATAAGTTCTCCTGAGCAACCACGGAATGGGCCAGATAGCGTCAACTTCGTGTATGAACTTTATAGTGCCTAAATGAATCACTAGTTTGCGTCTGATAGCTGCGAATGCATTCTAGCGATCCCAATATCAATTTATGAACAGAAGTTGTTTAGAAATGTCATCAAACTGAACCGCATCGGCAAAAATTAGATATAAATGAAATGCTACTAACATTGCATACATTATTACTTACAAGAGTTTTTTGTGCTCCTCTTCGGAATTTCTCTCTTCCTCAGAATAACTAGGCTGCCGACGATGCCGCCGACTCTTACGATGGTGATGATGTCTTCGCCCGGAGGATGAGGAGCGATGATGTCCACGATGAGGGGAACCGGCAGGCGAGGAGAATTCTCTTTTTCCCCCCTTCCGAGGTACCTCCCCCTCCTGCTCTTCCTTTATCTTAGCCGGTTCCTCCACCTTCTTTTCCACATTTGCCTCCTCTTGCAGTAACTGTTGAGTTCGCCTCTTCGCTTCTTCCAACGCTGCTGCAAGCTGTTTCTGCTTTGCCAGCTCACGCTTCAACAGCTTCTGCTGTCGCGCGATTGTCTCCAATGCAATCTCATCATCGAAAAAGGTCTTTAGCAACATGGGATCAGGTCGCACGCCACGAGAGGAGCGACTAGATTTACTTCGCTTTCCTTCAGACTTCTGGTCTTGGTGGTAATTTCGATTCCGCTGATGATGGCGGCTGATAATGCGATGACTACTGCCGACATAGGATTGTAGGTGCCCTTGCGAGCGGGAAATGCATTCGTGACAAGTATGGTGGTGATGGCGTGGTTGGCGTCGGTGTGAGTAGTACTCCGGTGACGGTGACGTCGACGAAAAACTTGGCTCCTCGTCAGACGACATATTCGAGGATGTGGACGGCTGTGAAACGCTTGAATCAACCGAAAGTGCCGCACCTTTTGTGAAGAAGATAAGCACGTGAAAGAAGTAAAATAAACATGAAATTAAAGGTTACTATGACAAGCAACCGATAAACACCCCCTAAATTACTTAATAAAATGATTGTTGTTCCCATTTCACATAAATCTACAGTACATTACCATACCAAATGAAGAGTTCTCTCACCATGACTAATATTTTAACAAAAGTTCATAAAAAGTGGCTTCCTTTCCCATTTTAGTCTACCATGTGAGAAGAGAGACTGTGAACGCGAGTAGGAGACAATAGAGGAGTCAGAAGAACTGGTTGATGAAAAGCTGGACGACCGTGGCAGGGAGGGAGGCTTCGGGGCTTCACCAAGACTAGACATTCCAGGCGGTGGAATTGCGGAATGCCTCGAGGTACTTTCGCGCAAAGAGCGTCTTATACTGTGCATGCCCACCTGCTCTGGACTAGAATCAGATTCCGACTCCAGGTGGGTGGCATCCTGAGGTGCGGCTAACAATCCTGAATAACGAAAAAAAAACACATAACAAAGTAATCAAAGTGCAAGACGTGGTAGCTACGCATATTCATTTACCTTCGCTACCTTTTCCAATCTGTGTAGGAGTCTTTTTTTGTAATGAATCCTCGCCTAACCCACTACCGCCTGCTAGAATGGCACTTCTAAAATCCCCCAATGACGCCGACCCTGAAGTGTCAGCTAGACGGGCTGCAGCTTCATCCGAAGGAGAAATAGAGGGAGGAGGGTGCTGTCCACTGCTTTCTGGAATGAAACCTCGAGAAAACGCACTACTTCTGCCTAAGCCTCCTCGAGACGGTGCAATGTTGGATTTCGCAGCTGCAGTGCTTGCCGTAGTAACAACCGACGACGCCGTCTCCACTGAACGCAGCTCCCTTTTGAGGGCTTCGATACTTGCCTTGTGGGACTAGAAAAGTGATGAATAGATTGTAATTACATCAAGTCTACTTTCAAAACCGGTATTCACTCATATTGATGGTGAGTTAATTACCGTAACCTAATGAGTTCTTTTACAAGCGTTCTTATATAAAATCAAAATAAGAATGCCGAGTTATAAGGCTTGCATAGTCACTTTCCCACGACGTCGGAAGAGCATGTCCTTATACAAAGTTATTCGTTGCGTGGCTACTTAAGTAGCCAAGCAAAGAATTTCAAAGTTCTGTTATTGCATAAAGTAAAAGGGCTGCATATTGAGGTTAAATTGGGGGATAACTCTAAATTACCTGTCTATCGAATTCATAGGGGTCGCATGAGGATATTCAGAGTCCGCTCTCGCAAATAAGATAAAACTGCTATGGATTCTGCATGAAAATGTCACAGTGTCACTAAGCAAATACATGGCAGTGGCCATTACCCCAATCTTCTCCATATACTCCTTAGGAACAGGTATCTTCTTCCCTGCAGTAGAGGTGACAGTGGAGAGAACTGGAGATGCTTGGGTGACCCCCACTCTACTCCTCTCCTCCCCAAGAATCGGTGACGAAATTCCCCACGACTGCGGCTCCTCACCAACTAGTGCTGGCGATTGAACAGGTCGACGTTTAAGTCGATGGGGAGCTTCCACTTGTTCTTCCTGTTCTCGTAAGACTCGGTGATGGTGGTGATGATGGTGGTGATGTCCACCAACTGAGAGTCAATAATAAAGCGAGATTAGCTGACCGTTGGATTATTCACAGAGACCTGGGACCCACCACCCTCCTACCTGCTATTGGTTGCTTTCGATCGTCGCTTTTGGAAGGCCTACCCTCCTCCTGACGTCGCTTGCTACCGCCGCCGGTGGCAACAGCTGTAGTAACAATGGACTGGGAGTGAAGTTTGCATACATGCGCTTCCTCTTTCGCCTCACCAGGTTTCAGTGGTAGTGTGGGTGGTTGAGGTGCACCCAAGGGGGTTAGATGACGGTGATTGTGGTGGCCATGGCTTGACAGCGCTGGTGGCTCCTCCTCATCACCACCGTCACCGCTGACGCCTCCCTCAAACGCTTTTGATGCAGATCCTGATCGCGGTTGTCTATTTAAATTGTCCAGTAATTAAATATTCTAGACTGTTCACATAATCAATCATATATGGGTTTTTAAGTGGCACATTTGCCAGGAACCCAGGTAGATATTTGAATTTTACCGACCTGTCCAATTTACTGCCTCTAATGACTAACACTGGAAATGCACGCCGTTTTGCAAATAGATTGTCATTTTATAAAAGACGCTATGGTGACTTTAATATTTGTAAGTATTTTTACCATAAAGGTTCTTTTACTTCTCATGCAACATGTTAGTGATATGGTAAGTTGATAATAAATAGGTTTCAAGCCTTTATTCGCCTTTACGCCTATAGATAACCTATGTGGTAAAGGTATCCTTCACCAAGTGGAAGTTGGAAAAGGCAGACATTGGATGCCAGTCAAACCCACTCATTTGCATCTTTGTATCGATGCTTGCCCCTCCTCGTAAGTCTGTATGGTTGTGCCACACAAGCATCTCTTGAAGGCATTGCATCTCGTTTCCTGTGGGAGCGTTTGTGAGAAGGGGAGCTCTCATTGTACGCGCCATAGGGATATCGCGGTTGGCCATGACAACAAACATCTGCGGTTGGACGAGGGGTTGGGGGCGCTTGACCCTGTGTCCCGTGCTCCTCCCCCTTGTGATGACCTCGGTGATGATGATGGTGACGATGGCCTGCGTGATGATGGTGGTGCTGGTGAAGTCCCGCAACACGATCTCTGTGCTGCCGCTGACACATCTTCATGTCCTGGAAGAAAAAAAATTACCTTTTTCGAAAATCGACGCAATGCTTTTGTCACAAAAAATCAACTCATTGAACATGCTAATAAAATACTTAGTAACCGTTACACTCCGCTAGCTGGTGGAATATCTCAGTCCTGCTTTGGGTACGAAACAGCGAAATTAGTTCTCCTTAATACGATGTAATGGTATAGAAAGGATTTGTAATCTTGAAGTAAATGACTAGCAAACATCGGATTCCTATGTATGAATTCAGTCACGCTCAACACAGCGGCCAGTAACCCCATTATTTGAACAAGTACTTATGTTTTTTAAACATTATAACGCTCTCTTCCCAGTGGAACGCTGAAATGGACGCCTAATTTCTCTGAGTGGCAGCGAACAATTAATACGACAGCCAAAATATGGTTAATGCATGCCTGCAGTCGAAGTGGATGCATATACAGGCAAGGAGCTACTCCCTCGCCATAGAAGCCACCCTGGACGTTGCATGTATGAGGAGGTAGCATGTGAGAGGAATGAACTGGTTGGCGAGGCACAAAGCCGAATGGAGTCAGCTTAGGGTAGCTAAAAGGTTCCGCCGATACTGGAAGGTCTTGTCTGTCCCTCACCTGAACATTGAAGTGGGAAACATTCCACGTAATTAAAAACATCAAAATCTTCCAAAATATGAACTACATCAATAAGACAATTTATATCTTTGGATTTAAACAGATGTGCACCGAAAGGCCATCTGAGTAATTTACCTGAATTTAGATTAGCGCTTAGTGATTTGAAGCGAAAGTTTTAAAAGTATCTTAAAAAGTACCCAATTAGTTGGAAAACCGATCTCAGGAGTTTTAGAAAAGTTGCTGTTATCAGGTGGATCCGTCAAGCCAGCCAAATGGACACCAGCTGGAATTGACCTCGAGAACCCGTATGAAAAGCCAAAGGGTTGAGCACTCGCTCGGGCCTGGTCTGTTCGAGCAGGTAATGTGTCGGTTGGCAACATGTTTGATAATGTGTTCATCTAAAATCGCAAAATGTTTTTGTGTAATTTATTAAAAATGATGTATCTAATAAGTGTGGTTAATGAACATATATCACATTCTCTGATTTTTCCGTTCGTATCGGGTAGTTGGCCACTTGTTCCGGTTGAGGTTGAGCAATCGAAGATTCTGGATTTGGCTTCACCTCATGTTCGTTTGTCCATTCGGCTGTAACACCACTGCGTATAATCACTCCGGTGGTGCTCTCCGTACCACTGGAGCTCCACTGGTCGATTCCGACGATTTGGGCAGCTGTGGCCGAGGAGTCCGTACCACCATCGAAAATAGAGTCGACTCGTCCTGAAGACGATTGATTCGAATGTTGGCGCAATTTTTTTCGACCAGGCCTGTCTGGATTCGAACCTACGGCTACCTCCGCTACTTCCACCACTTCGGCATCGTCCATTTTCCCGCGACCAACTTCTTCCTCCTCGTCACTGGCTGGAACCGTTTGAGTAGCCGTGGTTTTACACCGACAAGATGTACCCAGTAGTTTCATGGAGGGAGGTAGCTGGGTCTCTTCGACGTTTTCTTCTGCTTGAAGTATCTCCTCCTTATGTAAGAAGAATTAATAACACGCAAAATTACATCGTTCGATGAAACATATGTATGAAATAGTGGTTTTGAAAGTGATAATTAGGACGTACCTCACGATATGGTGTATGCGGTTGGAGATTCTTCTCAGAAACGGTGGTAAATAGCACATCACCAGTCGTTGGATCATGTACATAGGGAGTTCTGACTTGAGCTGTTGTGATAACGGTGTTCATTGTCATCGTTGTGGTGCTCACTGGTGATGGCAGCAGACCATTTGTAGGCTTGACAAGAACCTGCACTGAGGTTTGTGGCTGTTGACCAAAAGCGTAGATGGCTGATGTTGACATTTGCTTACTGTGCAGAATCAGTTCTTCTGAAAAACGTAACGTAAAGTGTCATTTCTATCAGATAAAGCACGAAGTCTAAAATTAATAAAGGAATAAGTGGTGCAGAAAACAGTAATCTTTGAGTCACGTAACATCTACCTGCAGAAGCACCTTTTATCACGCAGGATAGAAGGGAGTTTAAATAACTGTTTGTAGCACGAAACAAAGTTTAAAGCCTTAGAACTTCGCAATTCACATGCCTCTCCATTTGTCTAGAGGTCAATTAATCACGCAGGACGATTTTGTCGATGAAGTTTATGTTTTTCCCGAGAACGGAAATAGCCCGACTAAAACGTCTAAATCCAAGTAAATTCACAATTTCTCCCCTCAAAATTGAAGGTCGGGTAAGTGAACTGTAATTTCTTTTTCAAAAAGTAGACTTAATGCACAACAGCTCTCTCCTCCGGTCCAATGGGGGTACGAGCTCAAATTAGGTTAGCCACGCAAGAAAAAGCGAAAGCCGATGAGAGAGGCAGTTGCCATTGGTTAGGCATAATTTGTGGTCGCTAGGAGGGTATTGGCGTGCTGAAACTGCACAAGCCCTGATAACAGAGTTATGGCCTAGGGGAAACCCAACAGCGATCCCTTCATCTACCCACCTCTCACTCTTAGTTTAAAGCTTGCATGACAATGGTGCGGCAGTTGCAAAATCAAATCCCAATTCGGACTTCCTTCACTCATTTTTACTGACGTCAAACAAGCATTTATACCCGCCTCGGCAAATTAATAGCATAATGATAAAAAACTTCAGTCAAGTGAATAATTGCAAGCATGAAGTAGCAAATACTAATTCCGTATCACTTCGGTCCCATCACAACAGTCTGTACAAATTTGACTGAATCCAGAAAAAAGGGCATCACTGACCTTCAGCTTTATCTCCACCGTAGACTTCACCCTGTCGGCGCTCAGCTAGAGAGGCCTGCCGCCTGAGTGTACCGCCCTAAATTGAGAACATACAATAGCTAGAGTATGCAGATCTCAAAACGTCACTGGGACAAAATTTTGTTTTGCTCCCCTTTACACCCGGACAGGTAGTGAACTACAATGTTCTACTAGGGAATGAGCCAAAAGTTTCATTTAAGAGTTACAATTTCCATAGGGTTTCATAGAAGAAGAGTTCAAGCCTTCGCATAGTTCGCAGGAAGTAAGCAAAGTCCCGTAATAAACTTGCTTTTCATCGTTGTCGATTTGCATATTGCATTTCATGAAGTTTAGTAATAGCCGCCTAGTTAGACTTGTTTCAAATAATTTAAACTATTAATTGTTACTGGTTAAATGTTACCTAACTACTTTGATGAATGAAGTGCCACCAAATGAGGAGAATTGTTTAAAATTTAACTCATGCATAGCAGTGGCTGGATGCACGCGGAAAGCGCCATCAACTTGAGCATTTTCCGACAAACTGAGGAATTTTAGAATGGAGAATAAATTTCAATTCTATTTCCAGTCAAAGCAACTGCTATGAATACTGTTTTCATGTACAGCTTTGGTGAAGTGGTCATCTATACGGCAATTAAAATGAGGCAGGGACGGTTATGGTTGGCAACGCGACCACACTTAGGGCGAAAAGACTGACGTTGATCAGAATCTTGCGTTAATGGCGCAATAAAATTCAGCGACTTGTGCAGTATGTGGGTTCGGGACGCTCAAAACAGGGCTATTTGCTTATCAGGCCGATGATGGCAAGGGGTACCATGAACAAAGTTAAACTCGGATATTTGATGTGTATTTTACGACCATTGCAAATAAATTCTTCATTGAACTAACATGAGCTCCGTAGACAAATTCATTATTCTGTCGCCTAGTAGAGCCCGTAACAGACATTCTAGTGGGTTTCTGCGGAGGCTGTGGTGGTGCCGCAGTAGGTGCAGAATTAGCCATGGTGGTATTAGTGATCGAAGCTGTGGAGGCGAGCACGGCAGGTGGGACAGTGGCGACGGGACTCGGCTGCCCATCGAAATCAGTGCGGACGAGGCCGGCGGGAGGCACCATCGTACCCATTAACTCCTGACCAATTACTTTACCTCGCCCACCGCCGCCGCCGCCACCGCTCTCCTCCAGCGATTTGCCGTCAGCGTCCAACCCCTCACCAGCCAAGTGACCACCGCTGCTGCTTTCACCCATTGTAGAGTATCCGCTTGTCGCCACTGCTCCAGTCGATAATCCTGCAATTTATAAACACGGTAAATGAAGTTAACACTAAACACTGTTAAATTCATATTCCAAAATAAAACACCCGAAATAACCTAATTTGCCGGCTAAATGTTCAACCTCTACATCTGGGGAAAAAATTAAGGTTTAACAAGATCTGTGCATACTTGTGCCACTTTAACAAACTACTTTCTCTTATGAAACTAAAATCATTTTTTTGGTACTATTAAGTGAACAAGGAGGTGCTTCCTAATTTTTAACAGTTAATGCACAAAAAAATTCGCCATCTACAGACATCTATTTAAAATCTAATTATCATTCAATTCATTTTAGAACTTAAAACTTTATTAGTATAAGGCCGGAAGATAGAAAGGAGGAACTTTGGACTTGCCGATGTTAGTGGCGTTGGGAACGAAGCTGGAGTGAGCGCGCTTTAATTGGTTGACGCTGTTAACACCGGCAACAGCCTGGTCCAGCAAGTTGCGAGAACTACCGATGATTCCACCATGGAGATGAAGTTGACTTGAGTCGAAGAGTTGGTGTCGCCGGTGGTCGGCGGACTTGGAGCGCAGGGTCATCGACATGGTGCCCATTCGTGCGTGTGCGTAGTTGGGACCCGTCAGCATCGTCGGATGTGCTCTTCTTGCTGTTGAGGGCCTGCAAACCCCCACAGTGACCCCACTTATTTCCCTCCCCTCAAAACACATGTTACTCCCCTTTAACAAAATAAGCGACCTTAACATTTCTATGAGAGAAGAAACAGCTTCTTACAATTGAAGGTATAGGAATACTTGCCTCAGTGTTGGCTATTTCTACAATCCGAAAAGATGTTCTGCCTATATTTTTGTGTAAGCAAACACAGGGAGCACGCAGATTTGTTCAACACCTACTTTGACGGTTGTGAAGTGGTCTGAAGTGAATTCGATTTCAGTTGCGTGGAAGGAAAGCAAAAGAATTTCCTTTTTTACTTTTTCTAAAGTGCAGATCCTAAGTGCTGTCTAAGTACAGGGGTAAACTTTGGCAGACAACAGACGGCCTCATTCTGAGTAAAAAAAGTTGGCGAATTACAAGCTATAACCAAATAGCTTGCCCATTTTGAAAAGAACAAATTTCTTTGAAACATCTCATATAGGACTTCCAACTAATGGGTAGAAAATTTGGTGGCTGACGTTCCAGTAAGCGACAAATTTATTCTTTCCCTCCTTTCTATTATCTGGAAATACGCAAACCTTTTGAACGGTGGTCTTCGGACGTTGCTTTCACGCATGAAACGGATGAGTTCCTTTTGTGTTCGGCCAATATAACTAAAAATAAACATTCAATTTACTAACTCATGACTCCAGAAGTAATTATTAGGAAAAACAACTCCACTATGGATTTTAGAGTAAAACTTACCAATAGTTAAGAAAATTCTCTAAACAGTTTATTGAATGAATGCAGTCGAAACTTCTAGTGCCAGGCCTTTATACTGAAGCGATATGCACCATAGATAAACTGTTCACGGGAACCAAATCTGGCCGGAAATATGCACTGATATGGCAGTTAGGGGAACATACCTTACCCGAACTCTTAAGATTTTACATCTTAAGACTCCACAGTAATACTACCTAGAACACCTTAGATCTTGAATTAAAATTACCCATTCAGAATGCTTCTCGACTCATCGAACAATGGAGGTAAGCACATCATCCAAGAATCTAACATTTGGGCAACGCATGTAAATAACATGTATTGTTAAAAAAACGCATTTTGGGAGGCATTCGCTGGTGAACAACTTGAGTTTGTCCCTAATCCAGAGTTGCATTTGTCATTTTTTGCGGAGTCAAGGCAAATTTACAAACCAATGAGAAATGCGTTTGTTCTATTGAATTGAACTTCACGCCTAAAATAGACCAACACCATCGCCAATTTCTGAACCAAGGCATGTCCCCTAACACGCTAAAAAGGCATTTTCTTTTCGGCAAAAATATGCGAATTTATGAAATTTTCATGATTGAGAGAACATTTTATCTCTGATGATCACGCCATTTTCATATGCTCCATTACTCGGTCATTACTTGATCCAAGGCTCATTCGGTCAGCACTGTTGGCACTGCTAAATAGTTCTATTTTAATTTCTATTTCTTAGGGGTATGAATAAATTGCATCTCCTTTCCACTGCACATTGGTACGCTCACCCTTGCGGTTGGCAGAATGTAATAATTCGAGTGTTTGTTTAACGCTTCGTTTGGATTTTGCGGGCGCTTAAGGCTCCGCCTATGTGCTTCCGTCGGTCGGCATGACCTCGGGGGCATGCCAGTGGTCCCCCCGCCCCTACACATTCGGTCCTAGTATTATGACTTCCTTTGTCTTCGGGGAAGACTCGAGGTGCTGCAAAATATTTGGCCAGGACTCGAGTGCTGCATCAAACTTTTGGCCGAATCTACAGCCAAAAAGTTATCACTAGAATGCTCACAAATTCCGCTAGGTGATGCGCCGAAGAAGGAAACATGCATAAGTAATTATAAAACAAAACAGAAACTAAAAAAATGCAATATTTGGTGTATATTTTCAGGTTATGTTTTGATAGATTTGCTTTGAATATATATTATGGCAAATTTTTAATGAACCCCTATGCAAAAATGAAGGCAATTGCTCGCATTCGTTTACGTGGTCCATTATGTTTTTACTCTACGGAACGTTTTATTTTTGACAAACGGACTCGAAGAATCTTGGTCCGTAATTTGATTCTCGTGTCAAGGCAATTTATGAAACAACAAAAATTGACACAATGAAGATAAATTTGTCCACGGAAAAAATCAACTAAGCAACTTAATAATGATAAAACTATATGGAGAATTTATACCTGTCTATGAACTTTTGGAATTAATGGCTTCTGTTCCTTCTGATAAGTACAAAGGAGGACTATAATGCTTAAAATAAACTTTCATTTGTGAGTTTATTAACTAAAGTCATCAAAATATGCTCACCGGAAAGAGGAGCCTTTTGTGACCACTTTTGGTCGCCGTTGGGATGATCTTTCTTGAAGAGGGCACCGGAAGAAGGCGTGATGCTCGATACACTTCTTCCAAAACCGTTTGCAATCGTTTCGCGTGTCGAAGAGAAACTCAATAACATCCTGTTAAGGCGGCAAAAAATTACAAATCCATCAATTCCATTCAGTGTTTTGGCAAGAAACAAGAAGCCTTTCTTAAAAGATTTCTTCCGTGCATTTGGCAGGTTAGATTAATTCATTGTTTACAGTCAAACGAATTGTTGAGCCATTAGTGATGAGAAAATTAATGAATCTCTCTTCAATGGTGCTGTGAATTTCTGTCTTCCAGTAGCGACACGAAAGATAAAAAGGAGACAAATCGGTTAGCAGCATTTTTCGTGTAATGAGACTAATTCAAAGAATTCTCCGTTTGAATAACGTAAACCTGAACTACTTAAATTTAGGCTCATCAATAAGAACGGGGAAAGTGGTCAGCTTTTTGAGTGAGAAAAGCCTGAGAAAATTTGAATAAACTAGAGCGATGTGAAGGTGAAATGTCTACATTCAGCTGCCTCCATTTACTATGGGTAATGAAATGGAATTCTGTTCCAAATTAAAATGCATTTTTATGCTAGAGAGAGGCAATTTTGTCGGTCACCAACGTAATTTTTTGCAGTGACCAGAGTACTCACGTAATCCATAGAGTGAAGCTTGATCAGAAAACGTTTGCGGCGGAAGCTTAGTTTTCTTATTTTTGCCCACGAGAAGGTGTTGATCTTTGTCAAATTTTGAAACACACTTAGACCCAAATGCGTCACAGCAAGACTCATTGGAAGACCTTCCATGTCCTGCAAATAAAAAGCAAAAAAACCTGAGCCATTTCAAAGCTGGGAGGTTTGTCGAGACATGGTCATCCTCTAATACACAATTTCTGATCGGTTTCAATGTCTCATCATGCATAACCAAGACTAACCTAACTCAGGAAATGCTATAATAAAGGAACGAAAAACCCAAAAATGTATTGTGCAAGCATTTTGTAAGTTGCAAGGCAATTTCACTTTAAGTTTGGAATACGCACATCTTAATCACTCATTTTTTGAAGAATTTTACTTTCTTTTGAATGTCTTTTTGCAAGCATTAGGCGCATACATGCACTGCTTTGATTATTTGTTCAACTCTTCGTTTAACCTTCGCAAGCACTTAAAGTTCCGCCTTGTACTTCTGCTAGGCGGCACAGTCTTCGAGCTATGCCTTCTGCAAGTCGGTAACACATGTTCCGCCTTGAGATTACGTCTTCTTTCGAACATTGGTGACAGCGGAAAGCGAACTTGATTCTCAAGGATAACTGCCCTTATCTCTATTCCACTATGGTAAACATTAACGTGACAGGAAGTGAAACATCATCTGCTGATAAAATAAATCCGTAAAGACTTCTACTAGAAGGTGTAAAAATGACGTCCACCCTCGGCAACTACCCCAGTCCCGTAGTGTGGAGGAATGCTATTAACAAGTGGGGTGACATTGGCTGTGGAGCTGTCTACGGTACCGGTATGAAGGTGTCACTGAAGCGAACACGCAATATCTCCTCCATATCTCAACTAGCTGAATCTAATCCAGATAGATTATGAAATCACTTCAAACTCTGTCTCTAATTAAATGGCTCTACTTTGAGGCCAGTGTTCTTACAACCAGAGATGAACACACGAGATGGCCAACACAATCCTCCTTCCCCCAATACAGTTCCTATACACTGGGTTTAAAACTTTAGATCCAGTGAAATTGCTAGGAAGGATTAGTGACGTTGTAGTCAAATACCTCCACAGTTACACACCAATTCGATAATTGGGTAGATGTGACTCATAGGTGTTAATCTTACACCATCGTCTACGTTGTGATGGCTGATGCGGCAGATTGACGAAGAGGAGCACTGAGGACGACTCTCGACCGGAGAGAGGGACTATTTATTGCTTTGATAATTTGTTTAACTCCTCAATTTGGTTTCGCAGGTATTTCAGTAACCGCTACTGTACTTCTCCTGGGCGGCATGGCGTCCGGGCTAGGTCAGTAGCACCCTAGCCCTTCTCTATGTCGGCTATACACTTTCTGCCCAAGTATTGTGCCTTCTTCCGTATTCGGGAGAGTCTCAGGACGTTAAAACCACGTATTTGTTTCAGTGAATTAAAAACGAATTCACTTACAAACTATTCCCCAATCATTCTCATTTGCTCATTCTTCAAGCTTGGAAATTGGGGAGATAAGGTATTTAGTCATCTGGTTAGAAATAGAAAATCAAGGGTAGTTCTTCAACTCACCATCAATTTTATTTAAATTTATTTCTGCTTCATTGAAGGAGGAAAAGTGGGTAGTAAACCGATCTACTTTCGCATTGACTGATGGAATAAACTGAGGAAATGAACACATCCATCAATACACTTTGCCAACGTCTTAAGTAGGTGCCCCAGGTATTTTCGCAGGTAGTGAATTTTAGGAGCCAATTTTAATGCCCCAAGAAAAAAGCCTAAGTATAACACCACCTACTTAAGGTCCAAATTTTACTTATTACACTTCAACGCATTCCAAATCGGAGGCACATTTTTCATGACTATTTCCGGGAGGAATTCTCAGTTACAATATTGTTTTTAAGTATTTATGGAGCCCGAATTAAAAACGGATTGTGTGTCCTTATGTTTAATTCATAAGTATAACATTCAATCGCGCAGATCATGTTTGCTCGAGATTTTTCGTCGACTTTATCCCTTTCCCCCAATGCAAGATCCAACTATGGCTAAACATATTTTGATAAAATGTCAGCACACTAGGAAGTTATAATCTATCGGTATTTTTTCAGGACCAAATGGCCCAAAAATCACGCATATTTACTTTTTGTAGCATTTTGAAACTAATACTTATTATTAGCTTTTACGGGATTAAAGTAGTCAGTGTTGGGACGCCACAGAGGTAACTTAGGCGTCCCGAAAGGTTGTGAAAGCGAGGACAAATTTGAACACTTTTAGTACACTCGACAACTTGGCACTTCGGCGTTTGACAGTTATGATGGTAAAATGTGCTGAGATTATTGCTTTTCTTTAAATGCCTAATAAAAACCGCTTTCCCGTTACTAAAAATCACATAAAAGGAGCTGTATGTTTGAGAAGCACAAAAAAAGATTTTGTACGCGCGTAGAAGTCATTAGCCCCAAGTCTGGACGATTACACTAAAATTACTACCGAAAAAGCTTAATGTGTTTAAAGAATCCAAATAAAACGAAAAAAAGCTGATCAAGTGGAAGACTCCTGAGCTCCTGCTTTGTGTCCAGTAAATTGTTTATTTACCATTTCTCTTGCTGTCAAGCGAGGATTAACTCTTCTTACGTGTGGCACATCCTCACCCTACACCCCACCCCACGTGAATTTTCACCCTTCATTAAACAGTAAAGAGGCTGCTAAAAATTATTTGGCTACAGACGGGATCACTAGTGACCTCCTAGTTAAGAATTCAAACATATATGTATTCCACAAATTGGGCTTGAAATATGTGCTTTTCAAAAATTGTATTGAAACACAGTCTTCTGCTAATGGCTTTAAAATCCTTCATTACTGCTACCCATTTTCTAAGTATTTGTTTGTGTTGTAAATTGGCCATTTTATTGCGTAGTAGCTTGAAAGTGTGGAGAGCAAAATAAGCACTTTCAAATGGTAATTTCTTTTTTACAACAGCAACAGCAAACACCACCACCAAACGCTTACCCGTGCCGGATGAAGGCGCACACCATAAAACTCCACCTTTCTTGCCGTATCAAGAAGCGCGAAATCTGCGTCCGTCGGAGACATTCCACTAGGGAAATAAAGCGATAAATAACAACGTCGTGGAGCATCTGCGCGGCCTCCCTCCTAAGCACGTAAACTGTTACCTGATTGCAAAACCAAATGCGTTTTACACGGCAAACAGCCATTTTTTTGTCATTTTATTTGTTTTCGGTCTTTGAGTCTGCTTCTTAGCCTAATATACGTGTCTTAACCCGGACTTGGCGAAAATGCATTTGATTTTTATAATAAAATTCAAAATAGGCATTTTACCTGCCCATTTTATTTTATATGCCCTGGAGATCACCGAAATAATCAAATAGTGAAAACATGATCCTTACAATGAGACAAACACTACCACAAGACATACTCGAAGGATATTCAGGACAAATAAAAATTTGATTGAAGATTTTCTTTCATGTATCTTTTAAAATAAAAAGTAGTGTTTTAACAGAGAATATCACCTAATACAGCAGTAAATTTAATCATTAGGCCTTCCGACGAAGCATTTATGAGAATGCTGGTTAAACGACGGCATACAATCACAACTTTCACTAGCGGTTGCTAAAATTCACTTTCAATACACCGTAGCTACTATCTGCCACTGATTAGGCGTCCAACATTCGTATTCACGAAGAACAAACAATGCAAGCCTAGTTTTTATTCAAATAAGTTCCGCAACGCAAATATTGTTTCGAGACATTGTCGACTTTATCAAAGCTTTCCATTGCATTCCACCTGCATAATTGCTTTTTGATGTCTGGAACAACAGCAATAGGTGCATAGGAGAGGTGACAGCGGAGAAATATTCGAATAAGTCCTAGAGGCTGCCAGACAGGCCTGCCATGCCCCAGTCGGCGGTGGCGGCAGCTTGTGGTGATTCGATTTTGCGTCGGCCAATAGGCGCTTCACCGTCCCCGTCACATGGCTACGAAAAGTGGCATTCCTCCACTCACACGTTTTTATGGAAGCGGTCAGGGTTCTGCCTCATTCTCTCCAAAAGAGACGATATTAACAGGACTGATATAATTACCATGTAGTGAAAATTAACACTATTCTGCTCTTCAAATGAACGAGGAGGAGTCAACTTCACAATCAGATATTTGAGGAGTTCTTCAGTTCGGTTTGCGAGTACTAATTAGTGTAGATTATATGATCCACATTTATTATTAATCAAACTGAAAGAATCCCGCAAATGTGATAATTATATTACTTTGACTATTTGTTAAACCCTTCTCTTGGATTTCACGGGCTCTTAAGGCTCTATCTTTGTATGTCCGCTGGGTGGCAAGACATCTGGGTTGTGGTAGCAGGCCCTCCCAACCCGCCTGTACGTCTGCAATACATAATCTGCCCTGGTATTGTGGCTTCTTTTGTACTCTGGAAAGGATCCAGGTGGTACAATAGCTTAATTAATTTATACTCACCAGTTCTTCAAAAACGAGTAAATACTAAGACAAAATAAATGGTAATTAATAAGCTCTTGCATAAACAGCACGTATGGACTAACCCCTACTTTGGTGGAATTCACTTGAAATCACAGAAACAGAGAGCCGAAAATAAAGACAAGATGAGTTTGGAGGATTTTAAAGTTGCTATAACCAATTAAGTCGGCTCCATGGCAGCACATCTAAATTAAGCTTTAGTCCGTGAGGATTAAGTGACTAAATGAATCTTTGCGAGTGATTTGCATCCAAACTTTCACTCATTTTAAAGGTGGTGGCTTCGGATGGTATGTTTTGGATAAATTGTCTTCAAGCAAAAGCCTTTAAAATATGTTTGCTTCTCTCTCAACAAGCCGGCACTGCATCTGAAAAACGTCTCCTTGGAGCAAGAGCTCCAGTGTTCTCTTCTCAGACAGTTACTTCCCACCAGATACAAGGTTTCATACTGACATCAAAGTGGGTAAAGGTGAATTTATGGAAAGCAAAGCTTCCTTGTTGCAATATTTATAAGTTCAAAAAAAACACGATTTTTATGCATCTGAGAGTCTTGAAGTGAAACGGGAGGATAGACTTAATGCCTTTGAAAGCACCCCTTGAAAGATTGCTTTCCTGGATGGATTCCATTATTTTTGATAATATTTAATGCTATAGCTACTTTCTGAACAAAAACGTTGCCTGATTGTCTCTGTAAGGATTTTTCCCGCCATACCATCATCTACCTTGTATGATCAAATCAACTAAATGCTTTTCTTCTCTTCAATGGGTACACAAGTATTTTTCCCTTCTTAAAAGCCAGGTCACTCAGGACGACAAAATGTTGCTAAACAGCACGCTCCAGTGACCATTGGGTTTAGGAAATCAAGTCATAAATTTCAGCAAATTTTCAATTTTGACAAGAAAACGTGTGACGACTAGATAAAGCGTATTGTCTTCTGAAAGCAGGACAAACTGCCCTTTTCCCTGGGCTAAGGAAATTAAGAACCAAATTTAACTCGTTTCAGCGAAGTTTCCCAAAAATGACAAAAACAAATTTGGCGGATGAATTATAGTGGTCAGAAGTAAATATGAATCCTAAAGCCCAATATTTGAGAAAAAGCAGTGATTTAATGAAAGCTATCTAAACAAAAACAAATGCTCAATTAACAATAATCCTCGAATTGTCCTTGGATAAAGAATTAGCTAAACGAATCCAGAAACTTGTCAGTCTCACTTAAGAACCTACAGTTTCAAATAAGTTATTCCTAAAGCTGTGGATTTGGGGAACGGAAGTATAATTTAATGTGGCTTCCAAGAAAAAATCATGGAAACTAATTAAAGATGCATTTCGGAGATTGGAAAAGGTAAATGTTGAATAAGACGTGAATGAACAACTATAAAAAAAGCTACCTCAGACCAGTCTAGATAATAATACCAACCGACTTTGTCCCAAAACAATTAATGCTATTCTAAGCATGTATAAAAGTAGCCTTTGGTGCACTTACATATGATTTTTATGGAAGTCCATGACCCTTCTCAGTCGATCGTCGTTGGGCTCGTGGAGGATTTTCAAGTTTCGTAGATAACTGATGTCTAGATACTCCTCCTTAATGAAGTCTCCAATCTCAGCTAATGTCACGGAAATTGTGTTCAGTAAATATATTTAGGAGTAAAAAGGGTAGCCATCAGTTACAAAAATTGTTTATTCAATCAGGACCAACACACAGTGTAACCCCTTTTATGAAGTGGGTTTGTAATGATGAGGAAAACTTATCAGCCATGAAAAATCTACGAATATCACATAATATGATTGCAAAATGGAGACGTGCCATATTTGAAGATGTCTGTGTTTGTGACTGACAATATTTCATACATTTAGTCTCGTACATGAGGTATCAAATCCTAATTTAACCACAAGCTTCTCGTAAACTTAATGGTCCTGATTTTTTATAAAATCTACGCCTTGGACTGTGAAATGCTATAGAAAACTTAGAAGGCTACATGGTTTAATCCAAGCATTTGCGTTTCAGAGGCTTTACAATGCGACAATGTGGCTGCATCCCCCTGCGCCAGGTATTATAAATCTGCTGCTAAATTTTACCTCTTGGTGAATTGCCCGAGCTTCGGTTCTATTTTGACAGTTTAATTCCTCCAACAATATCTCTCCAATTTGCATTCACCACACCTTTCAACAGTCGTAAAATAAACTTTTAATCATTTCAGGAAATACTTTAGCTATCTCATACATTCTAATGTTAATTATGATACCCCACTGTTGTACTTCTCATTCAAAGGATAATTAACAAATTACCGTCACACTTTGGGGTATTGAAAAAATATCAGTGATGAGTAAGTTTTCCCATTTTTATCATGCAATTAAATGTTATAAGTAGTAAACTGACTGCTGTTAAACATGATTAAAAGGTAGTTGGTTCCTACCTTGGACAATATAAGACCCAAGAAGAGCAGCCGTGTTTTCGCTGCATATCAGAACACCAGTGACTAAATCCCGTTTTATCTGCAGTGCAAATAAGTATCTACAATGAAAAAAAAATATGATTTTTGAGCATGTCATCAGGATATCAGTGGTTGTTCGTACTTATAGACAATTCTCGAAAATGAGCATAAGTGTGCGAAAAGAGTGCCCTCAACGTCAACAAAAATATAGGGACACTGCAAGCCATCTTCGACACACAGTACTTCGCTCCGCAATTAAAGAGGGCACTTTGAATTAATTGAGTAGAAAAAATGATGCCGTTTGGAATAGGCTGGTCGTAACGTAAAAGTTGAGGATTTTGATGCTTCAATTTTACGAAGACCATACCATTTTGCTTAATGACTATAAATTTGGATAGATGTGATATTTAAGGAAGAAGGGTCATTGCAGCATGCCAAATTCATTAGGTCAAAGCACAGACCGTGAAAGACAGTAAGTTGTGAGCGACTGACTCTCATCCGAAAAGCCAAAATTTAACCGACTTAGCAATATTGTATGCAAGACCAGTTTGAGCAAACAACTCGAGCCTTGAATATACACGAAGTGAGACTCAAGCCACGCTCTGGATAGCAGTGCTGGGAAAGATACCGCATACCCAAAACTCAGCTTGCACAAATACGCATATTTCATATCATAATCCAAAATTACGGACAGGGACGATTAATGGACTCCTACGTTATGCATTAACTCCCGTTAAAATAATTTAGAAGTAGGGATTGTTTTAAATGAAATGCTGCATTGAATGACTGGTAGCTTGTAAGCTCAGCCTATACCTTACCTCGTGTATTCTTCTTCAAGAAGATTCGGATGCGGTGTGTAGAACTTTACACAAAATCGGAAAACCAAATCTTTGCCATGGACAATCTGGCGCACCAAGGGTCTCGTATGATCCAACCAGCACTAAAAGCAAACAAGGAATTATGACACTTATTTGAAAATAAAAAGTTACCACTTGAATACGAATTTTTAAATGAGTTTAAAGGTATCTATGTGTCCAAATCATTTTCAGACATGAAATAGCGCATTACTCCTGATATGCAGCTTGATCAAAGATTAGTTTGGTTTCGACTTCAACACTAGGCTTTTGACCGAGCAAATTTATTCATTTTATAATTGAAAAACAGTCTTTAGTAAATTCGTTCAGTTGGCGTTTAAAACAATAAACAATTCAAATCCTTTTCCGATGAATTCTTACAGAGGAAGCCGTAACTCGTCTATAAAGAATGGTATTACAAAGGTAACCCCTTAAATACTGTGAAATGTAGGATGTATAATAGACATGAGATCTCATTTCATCAAAGAAACACTAAAGCTGATATATATATGCAAATAGTTGCAACCAAGAATACTGTAATTTGGTTTGGACTTAACTTTCTTTGTAAAGTATCATGGTTTCAAATAAAAACAACCATATTTATGTACTCTGAAATATTAATGTTTATTTTTGTAAAAGATAGGCCTTCATTACCCTGATTCCATCTTCATTCATAAATTCAAGGTCAAAATAATCTGATTCGAGAATGTTGAACTTGCGTATCACTTGCACATAAAGGTCGGCACCACTTGCATGATGCTATAAAATTAAAAAAGTAAAAGTAGGGAGTTGCACAAGCAGCAATTGACAGGAATACATAATAAATACTTACAAGAAGACTGAAATCATGCACAGTTTCATCAAGGTGCAAAACCCGGACATTGATTGTCTTGACCTTCTTCTCAGCAGTAGTTTTCTCAACAGCTTCGACTGTCATTTTAGTTGCTCATCACTTAAATATATTAAAGGTCAGCGAGAAGAACAAAAAGAAACTATAGTTATTTTGTTTAAAAAAGTTTACACGTTATTTTAGACAGTCCAAAAATCTTTTGTTAACGAAATCAACTTGACATGATGGGAGTTGCTTTTATCAAACCGAAATTTGCATGAAAAAAATCCCAAAACCACCCTATTTTGGCTAATAAAGATAAAAGCTACAGGTGCTGATTTATTAATGAAACAAGTTTTACTACTGCTTATACACTCTTAGATTTGGCACATAAAACTCATGGCTAAGTTGACGTGCTTAATATTAATGAACGGAGTGATAAGGATGAAGTCATAACCGACTTGAAGCGAGCCATTAAAACAACCCCAAGGCCCTTGCGATTCCCAAAATGTATTGACTATCATGTGGTTTGTTTAGAATAAATAAAATAGAACCCTTTAAAAAAGGTTTAAAATCTCGTGCACTGCTTCGACTTGGTGCTGGACCTCAAAGAATAACCATATACCGAAAAACAAAACAATAGTGCAGCATTTATATTATATTAAAGTGCTTACATTTATGTAATATAGTAATAAGTAGTAAACAATCCAACATCAATGCTAGATGGGGCGAAATAGTGCACCTACGCTCATTATTTTAAGAAGCGCCTGTTAAAGGGCGGACAACTTTTTTACTTTCAATAAACTTAAACAAAAATGGGTGGCACCAATATTTATTAATTTTTTTAGAAAGTTAGAATTTTTATAAAAAACGTAAGTTAAGATTATAATTGCCAATAAAATGCCTTTTGTTTGCACATAGTAAACGTTGCATAAGCAATCACTAATATATTTCCTCACGACTAATAAAAAATAAAAGATAATGCCTTAAACGTTTATAGATATGATTTTATTTGTTTGCTATTTTGGTTTTGTAAGCTCTACTAAAGCGTTTTAAGACTTTTTTGAGGACGAATGAATGCACATTACTTGGGCAGTCTATACATACTCAACACAAACGAGGACTTGTGGCACACGGTTGAGCTAAATGTTAATCTACTGTGTCTATATGAGTAACATGATTATCACACAATTTACATTGCAGAAATGGTTGTATGAGTGTGCTGCAGTGCCTTGGACCTTGCCTGAAGTCGTAAAAAGACGTGCCACTAAGAGGAGAATAGCTTATTTTTGGCGTTCGTTAAAGCAGCAATGCTGCTGGTATGGCCAGAAGGCCACATTACAAGCCGCTAGCATATAATGCAAGAGGCAAGGGACCTTACATTTGGATATGGGCAAATAAAGTTCAAATCACTACGGAGTCACAGCCGCTTTATAACTAGAATTTACTCCATCGTTTTATATAGCACTACTTTTATAAAGTGCCCTCCTTTAGCATCATATAATCTGAATTGATCTTTGCCAATTATTTTATCTATTATTTTTTAAATTTATGCATAAAATGACCACACTAATGCATTTTAGCGTTTTTTATTCCCTGATGTGGCAAACAACTCAAAAAAGTACCACATTTAATGGTATTACACACTCTGAACTTTAATTCCTTCATGCAAATACGACTTTATTTTCAAAATAAATTGACGAACTCGGGGATACCACATGGTTCGTATTCTTTGAGGACACTAAAAGGCATAGGATGGATGACTAGTGCAATATGTGTGATTAAGGCCGACACCTTACCGCCTTTGCTCATTGTTCGGCTGACGAAAGTTAACCGTTTTACTTGTGCAAGTTAGTAGGTATTGCGCATTGTATGGAAGCAGTTACTTCTCGCCGTTATTTCAAATCGATGATTGCCTGACAGAAGATTACTCGTGAGCACCAATTTTCTGTTTCCTCCCTATACTTCATTAAGTGTTATTGCAACACTTTGGTTATCTGAGTAACTCTCCTCTTTATTATGTGGATACTGAGGGCTGGACCTTATACGTTTGGTGGGGGTATTGTCTCTGGGCCACGTCAGTGACCCTCAATTCATCTGTACGCCGACAATACATATTCCACACTGGTATTATTACTTCCTTCGACTTCAGGAAGGATTCAGGGACTGGCTACATTTTGTTCTCCATAAAAAAATTGGTATCATTTTTCCATAGATAACTATGTGAGCGAGAAAACGCACGCCAAAATGTTTCAAGATCGCTTTAAAAATGAATGTCTTACTATTTGAAACAAGTAGCATTGGAGGTAAGCCGATCTTGGAAGCCCCAAAATTGCTAAAGCCTAAAATACGTCATAATGTGTCATATTGTGTTTCCTTCCAATGTTTGATTTCAACATCTCGCCCAAAGAACAAACTTCCACAGGATAATTTACTGCTGAATTTTCGTCACTGTAATTGTAAAGACAGGATACCTCTTGAATTATATTTGTCACACAGGGTTACAAACAGGAGAGAATAGAATGAGTTTGAAATGAAGCAAATAACTCTGTGCAAAGACAGCAAAACTGTTATCTGGAGTAGTTACACAACGGCAAAATGTATGAGATGTCTACTACTGCAGTGTGGATTAAGCATTTCCCATTATTCCTCATGAGGAAATACATTCTCAACTTTTTTTACAGATCACAACCAGCCGAATTGACTGAGGGTTGGCATAAAGCCGCATATGTATCTTTTTAATTGTTACTGGAATAAGGTAGTATGTATTGCAGCTATTCTACTACGTGAGAGTAAATGCTAGTTATCAAGGACTCCTGTTATCTCCTCTGGAATCGTCCACTGATTTGGTTCGGGCGACTTTTGCATCGCCAACTCCGGATTCGATAAGACGAGATCATGCATCTCCACAAGAGACTCTTCAAGCAGCTCAGCAAATCGCGTGGCGTTCGTGTTGGGATCACTCTTCCAACAGCTGATTACAGCCACTATGTTGTTGGGATGGGGGTTATAAGCGGCACCGTAGCCGTCCGGCACCACGGCACCGTAACACATGAATGTATCCATTGTAGTTGGTACCTAAAAGCCAAAAAATGTCAGTTATAATAGAACTAAAGCTAATAAGTTTGTCACCATTTCTATATTTGAGCAGCAGCATTTGCCTTGAGTCGAACTGAGTTCTTTAAGAATCTTTTCGTCTGCAGAATGGTTTTTGAAGGACAAATCACAAACTAAACGTAGTAAATATTCCTTGGATTATAATTTTCCAAGAATTCTTTTTATCTTGCACTTTTAAGGGTTTATTACCCAGACACCAACCTTTAGGTTGAACTACACGAGGCGCTAGTATGCCAGTAAGTGAGGTGTTAGTAGCCAGCAAACTATTTCATCTGTTGAGGTTCATTAAATGACCATAGTCTGTGGACACCAGGGCGTATTTCCAAGCAAATCAAAGAAGGTAACTTGAAAAAATGTGGATATTTGCTCCATGCTCTTTATTTCTGAGAGGAAAGACACACTCAAAGCCTCAGTGAATCAAGCTATCACTACGTCAAGCTTTCCCACCAACTAAGGGTTTGTTTTTTTCCCACTTCCTGGAACGCATTCACACGGTAAGAAAATTTGTCCACTTGACAATAATTGGAGTGATTTGTTTAGTGGAAATAAATCTTGATTAGAATAGCTTTACAGAAGAGTTAATTAATCTTGAATAAATGAATATAAGAGGCGTCCTTAATTTCTGTATTTCTGTGATACGGTTATAGAATATACGTTAGATGAGAATCCCACTCCAGACTGTCAGCCGCAGTTGTTCCATTTTATGGTCTCAAGGTCTGGTTGTAGTGTAATACTTTGATTGCTTGTTTAACACTAGGTTTTAGTAACGGGGCACTTAAGATTCGAGCATTGCATTCCACCCCTCCGCCCTTCCCCATGCTGACAATACATTTTTTCGGCCTGGGAGCACATCTTCTCTCGTCTTCAGGAAAGCCTCGGTAAGCTGCATTGGTGGCAATGGAAAGCGAATCTGATCTTATGAGAAAACGGTTTTGATTTTCTAGTACCGGACTTTAATGCAAGGGTAGAAGGACATATGCTGCCGAAGGAAGAATTCGTGACTTCCACTAACAGAAGATCTAAAGGTGACCCTCACCTTAAGCTACTAACCAGCAAAGCCATACTAGTCGTAAACCATCTGAAAAAATTTGTTACCGAGCCTTCCATAGCACCTGCACGAAGGTGCCAATGAAGTGAACACGCGATACCCCCTCCATATCTCCTCCAATCGGATCGAACCCAGGTAGATTACATGACTAAAAAGCACTGAAGTTGAAACAAAGTGACAAGGAGGTGTAAACGTGATACCTTATTCCCATGAAATCACTTTAAACGCCATCTCTTACTGAATGACCCTTCTTTGAAACTAGCGAAGGACATACAAGATGGTCAACGCAATCCTCCTCCCCCCAACACAGTTCCCTAACGAGACAAAACTCCAAATCCAGTAGAATTGCCAAAAGAGGTCGGTGACATGGTTAGATACCATTGCAGTTGCGCGCAAATCCACCCACCGGTGCTGTTGGCTCATGTGTGTTTGTTCTACACCACCGACTACGTTGTAATGGCAGATGCCGGAGGTTGACATATGATGTCGCCAGGGCAGGCGCCCAAAAAAGGATGAGGGCTATGCACTGAGGTAATTATTTGTTCAAATCTCGATTTTAGTAACAGGGCACTTAAAACTCGGCCAATGTACTTATACAGGGTGGTATGGCCTCAAGGCCATACTGGTAATCCCTCAGCCCGTATGTACGGGGAGTCTCGAGGCGCTACAGTGACACTGGAATAACACTGATTTCTCTCTTTACCTTAAATACTAGTATTCCTCTCTGTATTTCACTTAATCAATCCACTTTTTGCCTGGATAACTCAACAGCCTTTTTTTAAAAATTTCCTTTTCCTTTTTAATGCTACGCAACTCTACCTGCCTGTTCCTATAAATTCCACCGAGAGAATAATTGTTGAGGAAATTTTGAGGAGCAAAGGTGGTGTGTGTGACTCATTCCAACTTCAAAAAAGTTCAAAACCAAGTCGTCGCATTCCAGTTATTGTTCACTGCCTACAGGCCTTCACGTCTCAAATTATGCCTCGTCTGTCATCGGACCATTTCTGAGTTAATAGAGGTCTAGACCACTTATTTAAAGACTGAAGGACAGGCCAATGCGCAACCATGTGTTCTATACAAAGGTTTCAATATTCCAGCATAAATTCTGCTAGCGTTTCCACGCTCTGTTATGTGGTTATAATGCCGTATACTTTCATGCATTGGCAGGTGTGTGTGATGACATGAATTAGGTGTTTTGACAACAAATAAATGGAAAGTTTGAGGGAACGTCCGTCCAGTAACAGTAATCATTGGATTAGTCGGTTTTAAACTAAGTCTGTTACCTAGACACCAGTACAGCTACTCCGATTTAGGTCTACTCAGTCTGTGAATTATCCCTAAAACAGAATTGAGGTTGTTAATTACAACCATCAGTCATTAGCACCTAGTAATGATCAAAGTTTTTAGAAAACAAGGGATTTGTAATAATAGGGTGCACAATTCCAGCATTTGTTGAATGGAATAGTAATATTTTTGCATTGATACGGTACTGTTTTGCCTGTGATATACTCCCGTGTCAATCTGGACCTTTCAAAAGGGGCATTGTGACTGCTGCAGCACAAAAGTCAAGCTTGTGTTCTCGATTCGCTGAGATACTAGGCATTTAAAACACTCACCTGGCTTGTTGAGAGACGAAACCAGTTGGCTTTTTTGTATGTGGGATCCTCAAATATACTCGGCATGAGCTTCCCCAACATTAGAGCCGTCTGCTGCAGCCCGAGCAAGTGAATGTCGACGCCGTAACCGAGAATGGTCTCCAACATCACCTCGGTTTGCCAATCCATAGCTGCGCGGAGCAGTCGTATTCGATCATCCAACTAAAAAAGGAGGAGGTCAAGTTTGTTAAAAATCGGTTGAGATTAACAACATAACTTCACATACCATAATAAAACGTGTTTAAAAAGTTAACATTTACTGATTAACATTCTTGAAAAAGTCTCCTGCCTACGATTCGCCAACAATCGTGCTTAACGAAGTTACTCGTGAATACAAAACATATTTTGATTCTCTTAGCTTCATGGTCATAGACTTGGCTGAGTACATTCACTGTTGCAAACCCAAATGGCACACTGTCTAGTGGGACGGCAACTGTGATAGGTGCTGTATGAACGCACTATACGTCTTACTCCAAAAAAAAACCTTTAAAGGGCGTGTGCTCTTTAAAGGTTTTCTAATGCATCTACACTTGGCAAAGACTAAAATGCTTGACATCCTTTGACATGCCATTCGTGGTAGGCCTTTATGCGGTGCCTCTATAAGTGTCCATCTCTAATATACCCTGCGCCTTCAAGAATCCACGGTCTCGTAAACTTTTCATTGGAACCGAACTGATTTGCAGTCACGGGTTAATCATGAATCTGTAAAATTTTATTTTTTTCGCTTACTTGCCTGATTGATTGACTGGTTGATATGGGCTGAATATCCATTTCGCCAATATACAGTATATATGGTGCTTATTTTCTGAACTTTATTGAGTTGTGCCTTGGGTGTGTGACCTCTGTGATATGAAGTAATCTAGTTTACCCCTCTGACAATGACAATGAAATGTCAGACAGTGCATAGTTTTACCTCACTGTGAGAGCAAAAGAAAACAGCACCGGCTGGGTTAGTATACTGTGGGTGTAACAGCAATGTACTGTGGGGTAAGTGTACTGGTGTGGCAAATGGCCATTAGGCGCACTGCAGTCTACTTTCATGTCAAACATTTTTTGGGGAATTATGATCTAAACTAGCTTTTGATTGATAGTAAGGTGCTCTAAGAACATGATTTAGGTCATATTTGGGGTTAAATTTCAAAAATAGGCATTACTATCATTTTCAGAAACTCGAGATTTGCAATTCCTCTTGATCCGCGGCGAGTTATAGAATTTAACTTCGCAATTGCTCGAGGTATTACTGCCTACCATCTTCGCTCGAAAGCGCTTTAAGCTGGGAGAATGACCACATCGTCACCGTTATCATTCAAAACACCTCACTTGTGCCTTCAAGTAACCTTTATCATAAATTTCTTTCCAATCTTAAAAACTTGCGCCTTTTTATTTACTTGGACCTCATATATTTCGAGTTGATTCGTTAAGGGAATCAAAAAATTTTCTGCAGATTCGGCTCTAGCTTAAGCGATGAGTTCATTTATTTGCGCTAGCCTACTAAATGTACAAAAATAGGAAAAAACACCCGGAAAATTAGTAAACAAGTAGGCAACATTAACAAATACAGTAACCACAGCACTCTTCTCCTTTCTTATTAATTGGGCCAGCGTAAGAAACCATATCGGCTTAGAGCCCAGGGAGTGCCTTCCTTCAACGCGTCGTCAAAGCGATTATGATGGATTTAAAAAAAGCGAGTTACCGTGTTTGTGCCCAGTTCTTCGGTCATTGCGCGACACCATTTCAGAGCTGGCACAGAGGACGCTCGAATGTTGTCCACCCGACCAAGCTGAAACCGTCTGGTGGAGGCGCTTTCATAAGTCGCCACAAGATAACCGTGCATTCTAAAGTTAAAAGTACTTCTCTTTTGACATAGGAGACTTGCATATTCCAAATACTTCTACTCAAAACTAGCTTCCAATGTAGGGGACGATTTTTTGTGTTATCTATCAAAATTAGGCACCCATTTGTCTAGGGAATATAAATCACTAGAGTGCTCTCTATTTTATTTGAAAGCTCAGATTTATTTATCCAAGAGACTAGTTTGATTGATTTAAAGTGACTAGATTACTCATTTTGATGAAAATCCAACTGAATTTACTGTAATATTCTCGAGTATGGTTCTAAGTTCTAAGGCATTTAATTAGATCGTCTGGAATTGGGTCGTGGCAAAGTTGGATGAACAGTGAAATAGCTGTACGAAAAGTGGAAAGTTTAACGGTTTATTATTAGCCACTTAGAGCATAAAACTTACTTGAAATGTGTTAACTGAAGTGCCAATTGGATGAAGGAATCGGGACTCATGTTCACCGTTTTTGGAAAATCTCGACCATATTTGTTGAACCGCATTACGCACAATTCGAGATCCTCGGTAAGTCTGAGCACAAATTAGGATTCCAGTTTTAAAATTGAAAGGAAAATGGGGGTTAAAACATGAAAACAAGATGGGACTGCCAAATCCTATCATAAAATTAACTAGAAAAGAGCACCTATCAAGGTAGGAAAATTGTTTCTCCACGCTCTCCCAATCTTTCAGCTTGTAAGGAAAATCTTGGAGGTTGACTAAGCAACTTTAATATGACCTCTAATTTAACCACAAATATGTTTACCTTAAAATATTTGTTAAAAAATCGCATATACCAATGGGGAGGTGGTTACAAAGCTCTCCAGGCATGCCACGATATCCACTGCTGTGAAATTGACAGTGTGACGATGAAGAAGAGTTGATTGGCTATGGAGTGATTAAGGCCATCCTGTCAACCAGACAGCAATTTATTACTAGTCCCCAAAAATTCAAGCTAAGGTAACAAAGCACGGGCAAAGCGTGTGACGGGAAGTTCGTCCTTCCCAAATAGCTACGTGCATGCCCTTTGTCCACGCCCTTCAATTCGGCAGTACGCTCGCACATGATGTCTCCCTGGGCTATAATTACGAGTCGGCATCAAAAGAAACGACTTTTCCTCTCGTCCACCCTTCCCTTTCTTTCTAGTGGGTCAGTCGTTAACTACAGACCTGTGTCTTTTAAGACGAGAGGATAAAGAATCCTGTCATAAACCCCTGACCGTTTGTAAGCAGTAGGGAAGAGAAGTAAGGTGGAGGTGGTTGAATTAGAGGAAATCCTGGGCCGTAAGGACTTTCAGGCTCAAGTTGTTTTGTACGAGCACAATAAATGATTTATCGCATGAGGTTTTAACATCGGAGTGGGTTAATTGCTCAACTAATTTATGTAAATCCATTTATGTGGATGCGTTATTTTCTCTGGGGAAATAGCAAAAGTCATGCGTATTTTGCAGTCACCTGTCTGATTTATAACACTCAGTTATATCATACCTTGGAAGCATTCATTAATAATAAAATGGACAGTAAATTATTCCCCTTCTAGGATAAGAGACTAGCTGACGGAATTTCATTAGGACATATTTTTTTTTTTATGTTTTCTTTTAGCAGCTTGCCATTACTCATAAAGTTTGTACACTGTGCGTAAACCAAGGCATCCATTAATTCGGCTTCATTGTGGCTAAGGTAAAAGAACTGGAAGTCAACTGGAGATGAGTTATTCCATGCTTTAGTATCAATAAAAATAAGTAAACAGAAAGACATTGCCTTCAGGAATGCATAATTTCAGCAGTCGTCGATTCCCTTTAAATGAATGGCTTACGGACAAGTCACTCCAAAATTGGGACAAAATTTGGCAAGGCCTCGGGCGAATTTTTGAAAAAAAAATTTAGCTGACTGAAGCTCAAAAGCTAACCTGTCCACCTCAGCCAGTGCCTCGTCGATGGCAGCATTTGTTGTCTCGTCGACGTTCCACTTCAGTTTCGTCGGCTCGGGCAATGCGCAAATGGAGGTGTGTCGGGTGAATTGCCAACGCTTTACCTCCTGCCTGGTGTGTGTGTGTGTGTGTGTGTGTGTGTGTGTGTGTGTGTGTGTGTGTGTGTGTGTGTGTGTGTGTGTGTGTGTGTGTGTGTGTGT